AGGCTCCTTCTTCACTGGATCCCGAGCGCCTCGTGGCCTCGCTAGAGTGGCCTTAGCGAGAACCAGAGGCGATGGACGCCGACGGACGAGTGGTCGGGACCGACTCAGGCGCTTCGGGAGATCGCGACGTGCAATGCACGTCGAGACCGACTCTGGCGCTTCGGGAGATCGCGACGTGTAATGGACGTCGAGACCCCCTCGCACCTTGATGTTCCTCCTTCACGACGCCGCTCGCGACCTGTTTCACTTTTTGAGCAATGAGAAATACCTAAGCAATGCGTGACGCTCCCGGCCGAATTCTCGAATAACGAATTTGCATCAGCTCGCTATCAAATCGGAGTTCTGGGTTGGATCCTTGTGCGGGGAGCTGCAAGGATGATGATCGTCGTCCGTCCCTGTATAAATGAGAAGTCTTCCTTGAAGTTTTCTGGTTCACGGTCCCGCGAAATCAACGATGAGCCCGTTCGTTGTACATATCGTGAAAGGTTTGCATAGAGGAACTTTCTTCTGGCCGGAGTACTCTCGGCGCTGGAACGCGTTATTGAAACTCTTCTGATGGCGGACGTAGGTTCCGTCAAGTACGAGCGCCACTTGATTCGGATTCGAGCTCAGCATTCTCCTAGCCGTTGTCGTTGTGTTCGCTAGCAGATCCTGGCGAGTCAATGCTCTGGGTCCGAATTGTTGCGGCAGAATGTCTTTCTCAAAAGCTTGGAAGACTCTCGAGAAGCCAGTCGAAGCCTCCCCGATTCCAGAGTATACTCGCAATGACGTCGTTCGAGTTTGTTTTCGCGTCGGCGTGGCCACAGCTTGAGCGCCACCGCGCGGAAATTCAAAGCAGCGAGAAGCGAAGTTGATCGGCCCGCCTTTTTCTGGATTCCATGGAAAATCTCGAGAACCCGACGCTTTGCCTGTCCGAATCGGGTGACCAGGGGGTGCAATTGAAAGCTCTCGGCTTCAGCTTTCAGATTCCGGGCTCAAAAACGGGCTCCTGGCGCTAGTTTAGGAGTAATCGGGCGAAAAAGGGGCGAACCGGGAAAATTCCGGAAAAAAACGGATTTTTGCCGGGGAAAATAATAATTTTTCTCACCAAAAAGGAACGCTTCGATTTTCCTGATATGATTCCTAATGGATGGGGGACACTCGGGACGTTTATCTGACAAAGTATCAAAGTGGCGTCTCGTGTGGAAGTATGAAAGCGAAGCTTCCGAAAACTTGTTTTCTCTTTTTTGAAGCCTTAGGAACGGCCAAATAGGTCGATATTGGTATCAAAAGAAAGCTCTCGACGAGAGTTTTCGATCGCGCTATCGCACGACTCTGTAGCTATAGCCGTTTTCGAGATAGAAGGGGTTGAAGAAAAAACTTCTCCGGGCATTTATTCCGTCCAGGAGTACTAATCAGATCCGGGACCATGCGGAAAATATTCCTCTCAAAATTATCTTCAAAATGAGACCCCACTCGATCAGATCGGCTCCGGAGGGCAGATTTTGCCCAGACCCTTTTTTTCTCGACCTTGCGCGGTCCCTCGGTGGACTCCGCTTTTTTTCGCGAGTTTTGGTAGCGGTTCTTCAGCTCCGCGACCACCGCCGCGTTCTGATTGAGGACCTCCGCTTGTGCCGCCCCACAAGCGTGGGCGATCTTGGTCGTTCCGATTTCCATCACGATGTCGTTTATGTCGGACATTGCCCTCGCAATGTCCGACAGGAGAGCCAGAAGCTCCTCCGTATCCCTTTCGTGCACGCTCTTCACATCGAACATTGTTTTTCGATGGAGCCTGATGCGGCAGCATTCCTCGATAGCGGCCCCCTCCGTTGTATGGAGAATCGCCCACAGGAAAAAAAGCATGATTGCAATCTGCGGAGAGGAGAGAAGAGGCTCGAAAATTTTGCATGCATGGGATCATCTATTGGCATGGAACGAGCGTATACTCGGAGTATAATTCTATTGGCCAAGCTGCGACGGTCATCAGTGCCATAAGTCGGCACTGATCTGAAGAGCAAGCCGTTCGCTGATTGATTCATGTTTTTGCGCCAGCCGTGAACTCATTCCACGATACATACTTTCTGTCATTCACTAGTACATACCAGGTCATGCCTTGGGGAGATGAGCGGGGAGGAGGCTCACTTTTACCTGGATCCCGAGCGCCTCGTGGCCTCGCTAGAGAGGCTTGAGCGAGAACCAGAGGCGACGGACGCCGACGGACGAGTGGTCGGGACCGACTCTGGCGCTTCGGGAGATCGCGACGTGCAATGTCGAGACCCTTGATGTTCCGCCTTCACCACGCCGCTCGCGACCTGTTTCACTTTTCGAGCAATGGGAAACACCTAAGCATTGCGTGACGCTCCCGGCCGAATTCTCGAATAACATTTCCGCCGGCTGCTACTAATGGTTTACATTTCCACGCGGCGGTGCACGCCCGCTGATTTTCTCGGGATTCGAGGATTCTTGATGTTCGCTTCCCGTTGACATTTTACCAGATCCTTGGTCGGCGGAAATTAATCCATGAAATTCTACCTAACTCCATAGAGCAGAGGTGTTCACCAAAAATTTAGGACGGGCCGCACGGGCTCGCCAGCGGAGAGCCGCGGGCCGCAACTCGGAAAAAATTACCTACTCATGTTGGACAATATGAAATTTTTTGTCATTCGATATCAAGACACCTAATGACTGTACAACGGCAATGATTTATTTCAAACTCCCACGTTTTCCTTGAGAACGATGGGCGCAAAGCCTCCGCAAGTTTTTTCGAATCTGACAGGAAAGAGCGGTTCGAGGCTATCCTGAGCGTCGCCCGCAGATTATTTTGAGTGAGTCGGGTACGATGTTTAGACTTGCAGTCCTTCATGAGTGAGAATAGTTGCTCAAAAAGATACGTACTGCCATGGAGATGTGCCTTGCGGCTTGCGGCATTAGTCCACAATTCCGGGGAGCTTTTGACAGATGCTCCTGGTGGAAGTCACGGATTCTCCCTCCTGGTCGGGATGATGAACATCCGAGAATCGGGCGGATAGTGTATTGTATTTACATGAATATTCGGAAAGCTGCTCCAGGGCCGCATCCTATAGTAAGTCGGGAAGCGGCTCGCGGGCCGCACGGAAAAGCCCGACGGGCCGCAGTCTGATCACCCCTGCCATAGAGCGAGATGTGCAGTCGGTACATACGAGACGAAATGTCGGAGTCCAGAACCGGGTCAGGGAATGACCTTACTGGAATTCCACCCGACTTGGAGAGCGTTTGACAGCCTCCCTCCCCTGAATTGGAGTCGAGCTGGAACTCTACCGATCTCCCAGAGTCATTCTCAACTCAGACCGTGCCCACTGAACCTCGACCCAACGCCCCGATGTCTAACTTCATGGGGAGTCCCCATGGGCTTTTCGTCAGCTCACTTGTTCATACCGGCCATTTCCGTCATCTCCGCTACGGCGAGCTTCGAATCGCCGGCTGCCAGGTAAGGGACTCGATGTCGTATGAAGAACGGCGTTTATACTGCGCAGCTGCCGTCGAAATCCGCCGAAGAGGCACCCGAGATCCACTATCGCTTCCGGTCCGGTGTATGAGAAATTCGAAATGCGCGCCGTTCGCAGTGCGTCTTGGCGACATCGGCGACATTCGCGACGTTTTACGCTGGACTGAGAACGCGACTCCGTTCGATTTTCACTGAGGCTGACTGAGAGAGATCTTCGGCCGGAGGAAAACCACTGTTGCTCTGCGATGGTCATCAGTTTCGGCGGGATCGGAAAAAGGGGCGATGTTTGAAGGAAGGTTGCTCAAGTCGAGCAGAGATCGAAGAATTTCGGTCAGTTCTGCATTGACATGAGACGACGTGACCATTTACATATACTATTCGAATATCCCGCGTCAAAGACTTGATCGCTACTGTACGGAGAGGGAGAGGGAAGCAGTGTCTACCGAGCACCGGGAACGAAAAGCGCGCGCTGTCAATTTACGCTCAACGAACCTGTGTCACTTTGTGAAACCCGGAGTCGTCAACCGTAACAGACAGCTCTCTGATCCAACTCTCAAATGGCGAGCCGAAGCCGATAAGAGGAAACATGAAGAATCCACGCGCATGGTAGCATGGACAGGGAGACTGAGCCGGCTTCCAGCGATAAATCGCTGCGAAAAATTCAGATTCCTAGTCATTTATCGTGGGGAGAGTTGCGATATGAGAGCACGAGTCCTAATTTGTCCGCGTTGTCCATTTCTCACACATTGACTTCGATCGAAAATCGACTTCCGACGCCAGTTTTTCGTCCTCGGCTCCGAGGTGTCGACAGCATGAGCACGAGCCTAGGGTTGGATCGGAAATTTCCCTCTCAGAAAATAGTCTCTGAACGAGGGTATACGGACCCGATGCTGATCGGGAAAATAATTGTTAGCATGAATTAGGCCCCTAGACCGGGTCAAAAACACAGAAATCTATGATACAATGAGTTTTCCCCTCTCGATGTCCGCTTTTCGCCCTGATGACCGCGCGGACCCTGTGTTTTTTCGGCATGAAGATATCCTTCCATATCGCAACTCATGAGTCATGACTTTATGACTCATGCTCATGACTGATAACTTCCAATCATTGACCTCAAAGTACGCCGGGTCGAAACAGCGATCAAAGTCTCGAAATCGATATCTCGACATCAGAAAGCTAGATCTCGACTATCGAGCTTGTACTCAAGTTCAAAGCCTCGAAACTCGAAAGTCCTCGCGGGCTTGATCTCGGGGTCAGAATCTTTGAAATTCGGCGCCAACATCATGATTGGGGCGAATCAGAACGGAGTGCGCAGTTTCAACCGGGCATAGCCTTAGATTCCATGAATAGGAGGGATCGGAGGGGATCGCTTGAATGAAAAGATATACGACTTCTTGAAGTCTAGTTCGGAAAAAAAAACTCTCCTGTACCCTGTACCCTATGTAGAGTCTCGGGGGGGAGAGTCTTCTGCTCCAGCAGCTGATCAAGGAGTGAGTGTGGGCGAGGGAGAAGAGAGAGATATCAGCTGAGCGCCTGTCTGCACGGCTGGGATTTGTTTACAAGGCAAGCTCCCCAACTCCAGTGTCTCTGACGAGCTTCCACACTCTACGCTGTTATCCGGAACAAACAGCAGTGAGTTGATTAGCAGATCCCGTCTGAGAACTCATGAGAGCGCCTGTTCACCGGCCTGCTCGTCGAGCACGTAGTCAAAGTCTCTCAGTGGCAGCAATACGTCTGTTTGTTTATTTTCGCGTTCGCCTGTGCGTCTGAGCCCATATTGACAGTAGGACAAGAAAACCTGTTCTGTCATCTGAGTAACTTCACGTGTGACATCTCCCAGTGCGCATCTCGGGGCAATGTGATTGCTCACTGTCGGGAAATTAGTGACGTGCCGGTGATCTGCGTGTGATTCGTGTTGACAATTCGACGGTGACAAATGTGGGTAGAAGCTCGAGAAATCCTCATAGCGTCCGGGCTATGGACGGTGGAGAAGAAGTCGAAGTTCTTCTCCCTCCAGAGACGGAAAGGCCACGGTGCCCGAGGCGTACCATCGGTGCTCCTCAGCACTGTGGATTCAATTCTCTACAATAAGAAGCCCGCCCCTTTTCGAGTCATTCACCACACACCGAGCTCCGAGGTGAGCTGGTGTGTAGCGGAGGCGTTCAGCGTCGAAGAAATCGAGAGAGATTGGCAATGGCTGGAGAAGAACTTGACACCGACGTTGGAGCAATGCGACGGAGAAGATCAAATGACCGATATAGTCAGATGCAAAGTCGCCTCCATGCTCATGCAGTGCGTGCAATCGCAAGGCGCTATCGACACGACGGACCCCGAATTCCAGACGACTGTCGCGAGTTTCCGCGAACGTTTCGATATGCCCGAGGAGAAACTCGTCAACTACTACGCATGTAGTCTCATGATCAGGAGACTGCCGCAGATGGGATGGATGTACTTGTCGCTGAACACCATGTGCTTCTTTTCGTATATACTCGGCCGAGAGACGAAGATCGTTCTCCGCTGGACCGAGATCAGTGTATTGGATCGGAGCCGCAACGTACTCCTGCCCGAATCTATTCGAGTCGTCACCCGCGACGACAAGGAGTATATATTCTCGATATTCAGATCTGTCAGGGACACCTTCAAGCTCATGGATCAGCTTAACAACCTTGCCATGCGTCAAATAATCTCCGAGGAGACCTACGAGGAGGATCCCACGCTCTTCAGCCGTTTAGTGAAAAACGTTCGTAAAGGATCACTCGTCAAACGAGACCTGGACGTTCGAGCGCAATCCGAGTCTTATCAGTTGAAATTCCGACTACCGAAAGATGAGCGTTTGGACGGAAGCCTCGAATGCAATCTCTTCACTCCGTACGACAAAAAGACGGTTTGGGGGACTCTATATTTCTCCCAGAATTATCTGTGTTTCGACAGCAGCGTGCGAAATCTCGTCCGCCTCATCATTCCTCTACGCAACGTCAACGCAACGGAGAAGACCGTGCTGACCCTAGGATCGAAGCAGAACGGTATATTAGTCAGCTGCAAAGACGACAACACGTTCATGTTTGCGGAGATCGACAAGAACGACCTCGAGTTCGTCATCACGAAAATCAGTGAGCTGCTGCAGAAGTTGGCGCCGACAGAAATTATTCGCTCGCCCATTGGAGAGCCGAAACTCCGAGTCAAATGGAATACGCAACCCCTGGTTCAGCTTTTCCCCTTGAAGTACACCGAGGCCGGCGCGGCGAAGATGCAGAAGCAGAGCGAGCTATGGGAGCAACACTTCATCAAGTACGGAAGAGGTGTCAGCACGTACCGAACGCACGAAGCTATGCAGCTCGTATTGAACGGGACTCCAGATAAAGTCCGAGGAGAGATCTGGATGTTGTATTCCGGAGCTCTGAATGAAATGCAACTCCATCCCGGCTACTATCAGATTCTTGTTGAGGCAAGCCAATCGAAGACCTCGAACACTGCGGATGAGATTGAGCGCGATCTACATCGCTCTCTGCCAGAGCATCCTGCTTATCAGAACGCGGTCGGTATCGATGCCCTGCGTCGGGTCCTGAACGCCTACGCCTTCAAGAATCCAGACATTGGTTATTGTCAAGCCATGAATATTGTCGGCAGTGTCCTACTGTTATACAACCGGGAGGAAGAAGCTTTTTGGCTTCTCGTGGCAATCTGTGAGAGATTGCTACCGTTCTACTACAACACCAAGGTGAGACCGAATAACTTTCATCTCCCTACCTATCTTCCGTACACTCCCGCTTATTCGAGTGTAACGGTTCGAGGATCGGGACGAAACGAGATTACAAATGAGCTGTGCTGCATACGCCAGGATATCCTAAATGTTCAATGCCTTCATTATTTGTTTTTAGGTTATCGGTGCCCAGATCGATCAGAGAGTCCTGCAGGAGTTGGTGAAAGATCATCTTCCCCAGCTACACGATACGCTGGACAATCTCGGAATCCTATCGATGATTTCTATCTCTTGGTTCCTGACATTGTTCCTCAGCGTGATCCCGTTCGAAGCAGTTGTACAGATAATGGATTGTTTCTTCTACGATGGACCCCGAATCATTTTCCAGGTAGGTGAATACGACGGCGCTGCGACGGTGTTCCAGTCGATCCCCAAGCCCCTAGCGTATAGATCACACCGCGCGGCTTAAGATCTCAGTTTTGCCACCCGGCCAGACTTTCGATGAGTGAATGAGGAAGCACAGTAGGAACTAATCGCCCCCATCCTTACAGGTGGCTCTGACGATTCTTGATAAGAACAAAAAATCGCTCGTCAAAGCAAAGGATGACGGATTCGCGCTGGCGATGCTCAATAGCTTCCTAAGCGGGATCACAAACAATTATGGACCGATTGTAGAAAACAAGCAGAGTACCGTTACGACCCCGACCGACACCGATGACAACGATAACAAAACTACTGACATCAGCGAACTGCTGGATATCGCTCATCGCCAGTTCGGTTTCATCAGTGAGGAGATGATTGGGAAATTACGCGATAAGCATCGGCGTCAAGTCGTGAGAACGCTGGATGAACAATCAACGAATCAAGTTCTTCGTTCGCTCAACTCCGACCTGATGCTGAAACAGTTATTGAAGGAGAGCGACGCCTTGGATTTACTTCAGCTGGTGAAAAAAGAACAACAACTGAAAAGTCGGAAGACCGACTACAGTGGCCCTCCGGCGAAAACCGATCCGCTGTTGCCAATCTACGAACAGTACAAGTTAGATTTCGATCACTTCAAAAAGCTTTACGAGAAAATCTGTGCTGATATGTGGTACACGGGTGATCAGCCTGATGTCCTCATGTTGAGGATGTTCCATTTGTTCGATGAAAATGAGGACGACTTCATTAACTTTCGCGAATTGTGCCAACTCATGGCTGTTCTCTGCTACGGGGATCTGGAGCACCGTTTAGGCCTTATCTATTCCGCCCATTTGGTGAAGTCTGCTGTCGCTGACGAACCGAATATGTTCGAACAGTTGAGTGAGGACACGGAGACAGCTGCCGATGCCGAGGAGTATTTCGCCCGAGTCGCCGAAGACGAACGGAATCCCGAGTTCAAGAACCTCTCCTCGTACACTCACTCGTCGCTGCTCGATGCGCTGATCTGGAGTCGTTTACAGACCGGTGTGTGGTCCGGAGGAACTCAACGCATACCGTCCATTAATTTAGATGAAGTATTCCAGGAGCTTCCTGACATGAATCAGAAACAGTTCATGGCGATGTTCACTAGTCTCCATCGACTCTTCATGGGTCACAACAGGGAAGACGAGTTCGTGAAATCGTTGGCGTCCATGAGTAATATACTACTTCAAACGGGTGAACTTCAACAGAAAATTCAGAAACCACCGAATAGGGACCCAATTCCGCCGGAAGACGATCAGCGGGAGACGAAAACTCGACAGAGATGGAACACCAATTGGTATCTGTCGTTCACTCAATTCCGAGACACGCTCAGAATCGATGATACTTTGTGCAATTATTTCTCGATGAAACTGCCGCTCCCCGAAACTTTGGCAGACTTGAAGAAGAACGTATATTAGGAGGTCATTGAATTTACATTTGTTCCGGTTTTCGAGAAATGAAGATAAAAAATAATGTAAATATAGGTGATTGATAATGAATGCATTCATTCCGAGACTAATATAAAGATTTCAATCATTGTACAAAGTACTTTTCATTGTTCATCAGTCGAGGATTAATCCGGGTAGGATTCGTGGCGTAGATGTAAGAAACGTATCTTCCGCACACCCTAACATCGCTTCGCGAACCCCCAATTATTAATCATGCATCATCATTGATGATGCATCATCATTGATGATGCATGAAATAGTAGTGGCACACCGCATACCTCTAGCGCCCCTAAAAATAAATGATCGGCGAATTAGTATCAGATTCTAGAGACAGAGGCATCTGCTCCTCGCATGGAGTCAACTCTGCCACTGTAATTGAGAGATAAGACAAGCGCTGTTCCGATAAACGCAGTCGAAGCCGGCCCGATCGATTTGATTCAGCATGATTTTTTATTAAGCTCATATCGCTCCGTTCCCCGGCATCTTCCCCGTTTGCGATCCCCGCAGGCCACATGTACGGTATACGTTCATCCGAAGGTACACGTTGGAAATGAACTCTCGATCATTCCAATGTCTTGAGTCGACAAGCGTTGTTCAGACTTCAAGCGAAATACCGATGCGGATTCTCACAGACCCGCCGGCGGCTATCGTGGGGTTTTCGGGGATTCACTGCCATCGGCCGGACCTCATTAGAAGCTTCTTGCCGAAAGGAGGGGGAGTGGGACTTTCAAATACCGCTTTTCAGAATCCCGGTCGCGGCGATTCAGGGTTTCTCGATGAAGAGACGGAATGACTAGCTTCCGGATCGAAGTTATCTTTTCAAGTTCTCGATCCATTCGCATGCGACGCGTATCCCCTGAATTGGACAATCTCTAGAACTCTGGGCTCATCGTCCGCGGAAACGTACCGGAGGTCTCTTCCGGGACCCCCGGTGTGCGACAGCTCAATGAAGAAGTTTCCGCGAGCTGGATGAACGATATAAGCTACACGTGAGGAATCACTTGCTATGCGGAGTAGCGCCGCTCGCACTCTCAGCGTGATGTTCGTCATCATTCGGCGATTCGCGGAAGGAGAGCATTGTTACACGCAGCGCCGGGCTGCGACGCGAGTCGGAAAAATTGATATTCCGACCCTTCTTGCCGCGTGGGTGGGACCTGGGAGCGCCTCGGCTTGAGGCTTTCTATTGACGCGACGAGGCAAGATCTGAAGAAGTCGTCCCTTATTATGGGTCCAGCGCGTTGTCACCTCACCGAACGGACTCGAACAAAGTTCCAAAGAAACTCAGTTGTCGTCCCTAGCTTGGAACAATACTGAAGCTCTTAGACCTCAGCGTGAACTGGGCCTTCGGCGGAGTTGCACGAGGCCTATAGGAGATTAGCCCGAAGGGTTGCGCCGGAAGCGATGCATCCAAGGACTAAGATTTCGCGAATATTCTGACAAGGCCTCGGCAGGATCCATGTCCATTATTGCTTCCACAAGTCATTCTCCTGGCGGGAATCGTCTCAGAATAGGCGACAGACTATCCCGCTTTTTGTAAGAAAGTTTATTCTCCGATAGATTTGGAATGGGTACCAGACTGGAAATCTCTCATGGGAGATCCTGTGAGACGCGAGGGGAGAGATTCTCAGTTCTTTCGGCGATGCTCCCCCCAGAGCGTCTGCACGAGGTCATCTCGACCCAAGTCCGAGCGGTGCATGGTGCTTACCCAACTCATTTGCTATTCGTCAAATTCGAAATCGAGAGACGAGTGCCATCGAAATAAGCAACCCCACCCTGTCACCGAAATCGATAAGTTTTTTGCGTGATTCTCCGTATACGGATTTTTTTTCTTCTGCGATTTTCCCTATCCGATTATACAAAATACGCAAGATACGCTAAGCTTCGCCTACGTTAGATTCCTTAAAAGCGGAGATTCCTTCTCCCCACTTCAGAACGGATTTCTTAAGAAATTTCGCCCGGGCATCCCGGAGACCCGACAGGATCGTGGAGCAGATTCGTAAGGATCGGAATCCTCAGCTCCGTATGCTGTCACTAGATTTTTTCCGAAATGCACGAGAATCGTCGCCGAACGCATTGCGATAGACTTGCAGGGCGTCTTTGGCTGGGAGACAATGACACGGATCCTATACAAGACGATCGATGTATCCGCCCCCTCGGGAGATAAAAGCTTCATTTGACGTCCTTCGGAATAAACAGGGGTTGCACCCGAGCGGAAGGAATCGTTCCCTCGCGCGGAGCTCAGTCTCTCAGGACCTGGAGCGCTTACCGAGCCATTCTCATCGCGTCTCGAAACTGTTGAGATGCAGCTGTGCGGAAGAGGAGGCCCGCAGGTGAACGCTGTCAGGCAGCGCTGGTGCTTTGAGTCTCTTTTCGCGAAAAAACTCGAGCGCATAAGTCACTTTGTGAAACCTCCGGGATTCTTCGCCTGCTACGCGTCCTACCGGTGTCTCTTCGCGATTTTCGGCTCAACGTCGAATACTCATCGTCCCAGGTGGCGCCGAATCATCAAGACATCATCGAGCTGGTGCATGCGTTCTCTGTTCGTGAGCTGTTTCGGCTTGGATGTATATCAGAACATCGTCTATCTGTGTCAAGTATTCTTCAAGGGGACGTTCCTGACAATCGTCGAGTTTCTCTACTATCTGACTCTGAATATCCTGGAGCTGGAATCCGCTTATATCATCATATTCCATGTGCCGAAATTCGATGGTATGTTCGTCCGAGGTGACGAGAAGACGAGATCCTTCTTCAGCATGCGCGCTTTCGTGGTCGGTATCGCTCTCAGCATACCTTTGACGGTGAAAGCGGTCTACGATTTTCTGATGACTGTTGAAACTTTAGACTCCTTCACATCCATTGTGTACCTGAGCAGCATATTCGTATTCTTCGCGCAAGTTCCCGCCTTTATTTTTTACCTGCAATGCCTCGAGATAATCCGATCGGAACAGGACACGATCAGAGAAGCTGTGCAATCGGAGTCCTACCTTATCTCGTCCAACTCCATCATAAAACGAAAACGCCGTATCCGACGAATGCTGGAGAAGGTGAACGGAGTTTTCAGGAGATTCGTGATTGTGAAGTTTGTGAGCATTTTCTGCGGGGTCACGATGCAGGTCGGACTATCGATCGGCGACTCGGCAGAAGACGACTTGGTTGATACCTTGAGCGGGATCGTCTTGGACGCTGCCCTGAAGCTCGTCGAGGTCTACGTAATTTGCCACAGCGGAACGTTCATCGAGAGGATTTGCCATGAGACCGAGCGATGCTTGCACGGGAAGACTCTTCTCATGACGACTAGGGAAGCAATCATCCTGCAAACTCTCCGGAGGGAGCTTGCTTTCGAAGCCGACAGAGATTCGCTGGAAATGTCCCTTAAGTTTCGCATCAACACTGCTACCCTCCTCTCGTTTTTTTCGACAGTGATCACCTGTTGTGCGGTCACTCTCCAATTCGATTCGCGGGTCGTTCAGGCAATCAACAAGGCCGGAGCCTCGGCGAGGAAACAATGAGCCATCCATTCAGAGGCATAGTTCTACCTGAATTGGCACCACTTGATGATCTCTCTTAAACAGCGCGGCCAACAAGCTTTCGAGAAGTACGATCCGATCCATCGAAGGCTTCCACGAGACTCCCGAGCGAGATCCGCCGGCAGAAGGCTCAGAGTGTTGGCCAGCGAGGCCGATAAGGGAGCTGACCCGAATGAGCCTGGAGCTCGCACTTCACTCAGGAAGTATCGTCACTGTCATTTTATAACCGATGGATTTTTTTTTAATCTCCCTGCGGTTGAAATGACCGTGGGCGACCGCTCATCTCTGACCTGGGTCGGGGATTGTTCCGACAACGCTCCAACATTGCGTTTCGGGCAGAAGGAAACCTCCGGCTTTTTCATTCCAGGAAGACGTCTGGCAGCAAGCTACACCCCGTGTTAGGGGATCCTACTCGCGTAGCATATTTGAGAGGCCCGCATTCGGTTGATGGACACGCACCCACGTCCGTAGGAATTGCCTCCCATTACATCTTCACCGTTGAAGTCTCTCAGCTGATCGGCAGTTGCCTCTCCCGGATACCCGCCTCGTCAGAAAGCTCTGAGTCTAGATGCTACCTCATTGGGCATCACCCAGACTCAGCCTGACGGTGGAGCGACACTCTCCTCGCAGGCTCCTCAGCTTCGAAGCCGACCCCTATTCTTTGCAGAAGAAGCTCCGCGTCTCTAAAGCTCTTCTGAGCGTCTCGCTGCACGGCATCGTCCTGGAGCGCGAATCGCCACGCCAGGGAATGCCTTTCGTTGGGTTGCCCTTCAACCCGCCATTCCGCTTCCGAACATCGAGCCGACGAACACAATGATCTTCCAAAACCGAAAAGGTTCACAGCCCCTCTATGAGCTCGAAACTCTATCAGAAAGTTCCTCTTCCGACAGTATTTTGGAGTGAGGGCAGCGTCCCCTGAGTAAATTCCTCGGTCTTTATTGTTTTTTCCATACGAAAAATACCTTACCGACCCAACATCTCCGTCCCTGAATGCCGGACCCTGAAATATCTCGAGTCGCAAAAATTGATCGCTTCGTCCAGATGTAGCATGAGCGCCGGCCTCAACTCGCTTACTCTCCAACGCCGCGAGCTCCGCACGGAATGGACGCGACAGATATCGACGCATATCCTGTCGCGATCGTCCATCATTCGATTCAAGCCGATTGTGCTGTGCGCCATCGATACAATCCTAACATTACTTCCGCATCCTCGAGTCAGCGGAAGAGCTCCATTGATGTATTATACAAGACGCTCCGGAACACGCGGAATGAGCAAACTGGCTGAAACACTTATGCTGGGAACTTTAACTGAATACGGTAGACACCGCGTAAGCAAGAGTACAGAACTCATTCTGGAGTCACTGAATCAAATTTCCATCATCTGAGGATACGAAGGAGGCCCGGAGATATTCCGGGTCGATTTTGGCGAGGCCAATCACGAGGATAACAGACGAATTCTTCGTCGTGAGCAGGAAACCCCCGTCGGCGGAGTCGATTACCGCCCGCTTCTCAGAGATGTTTCATCCTTGTCTCATGCGGCGAACCGATGAGTCCGAATAAACCCTCTTCACGAGATCCCTCTGAAAAGCAAACGATGAAAGACCTTCAATATCGTCAGGAAGTGATAGGTCATTCACGGCTAGGGCTTGCAACGGAGCCCGGTCATGAGGAATGCTTAGATTCTCGCTAGAATATATGATAGTCCGGATAATCAAGCTACTACTGAGGAATCCTGCATGCGGCAAGGCTCCTCTCGTGCATTCCTCACGAGGCGGTGTCGGTTCTGCCGATCGTGATCGCTACATTGCTTACGTACCTCGGGTTGTCGTCAGGATCGCTGCAAGGGGAGTTTCACGAATCCTTGGTAGCGGATCCATCGGTAGCGTCGGAACAGAACCCATAAAACAATACCCATCAAAGATACAAGGTAGGTGAAGAGAACCGTTGATTCCTTTGGCATGAAGCACCTTGATACCGCGAAGTTATCCGGTGTGAATACTGACTGCAAAATATAAGAGAGAAACGTGAAACACTCCATATCGATTCGCAGATTATTCCGCGCAGAAAAGACGACAGGGCCAGAACTTTCAGGTACCGTGATCGAGCACGATTTCGAAAACTCTCAGGAAATTCATCGTGAGCGATTTGTGACCTCATCAACTACGTATCATGCATACACGTACACCTATTTGCTGACTCACCAATATAAAGCTCGGGTTATTCGTATTTCTCCAACTGAATGAATTCAACGTCCATTCTCGGGTTGTATGATCCTCGTATGTGTGCACGTTTAGACAACTGCGATGGATATGTCCGTTGAATACCGCTCGCGGATTCAACTTCAAGAGTCTCTTCGTCATCGACTTAGAGATGACCTCCCATCTCTCTCGATACTTCTCGATAGCAGCCCCGAGCGGCTCATCTCTCTCTTGGCACACGCTATCGTCAGATCGAAATAGAGGAAAATGTTGGAGAATAACCGGCCGGGAGTAGTGAGGTAGCTGCGTCAGAGCTTTTTCACAGCTCTGATCCACAGCTCGCTTCTCGTGGACCATCAAACTGCAATTCAGTGCTTGCTCGAACCGACTCAAATCTTTTTCGGCGCTTGCACAAAACGAGCAGCCGTCTCCATCGAGGGCCATCGAATTCAAAACTGCAATAAGTCCGAGTTTTTGAATTTAGATACGGGATCAGGTCATGCTTTCCCGCATTTACTTTCGGGCTCGGGAGAGTATGGCAACGAGTTTCCACCTCCCGTCTCCGTGATGATCTGAGTGAATGACAGCTCTCACTTGCCTAAGAATGTGGTCCCCTTTATGGTGATCATTTCGACTCCGGACTCAGATTGAGAGAAAAGTCTCTGGAATCTCGACAGGAGAGATTTCGTCATCCTGAAAGATGAGAGGTCTGCCGTGAAATTGCTTTCCTCGCGCCATCCTTTCCTATGTATCTTCATCCAGCCGCCAAGGTTAACCTCATTATCGAAATGCATAACACCTACTTATAGTGGAAGCCGACATCGTGGTTTCCAGCTGTCACGATGAGGGTGGATTTCTTCGGTTTTGGGAAAAGCGTTTGAAATCTCTGGAAGTCTTTATTGAATTGCATATTATCCATCCATTGTCCCTCGTCGAAAATGTCACCTGTTGGGAGCAACGCTTGAGGGTACAGTAGTTGGTTTGACATACCACGAGGGTATTCTGTCTGCTGATCATGTCTGATACCGAGGAGAGATATTACCGAGTACTTCGATACCCTACGACCGATCGGAAACAAACCTAAGAAAACAATGACGTCGGGCTGATGCAGAGTCATCGCCGTGGCGTATGTTCGACTCATCTGCCATTCTCTGCGGAGCTTGTCAAACCAGTGACCTTTGAATGGGCCCAAAAGATGGGTGTCGGCTATCATCATGACCTGCGGAGCGTCATAGTCTCGAATTAGGAATGATACATACTGACGACGTCGAGATCCTTCTCGTAGTATCGTTCAACAATTGATCGCGATGAATCTCTCGGATATCGTCTACAGCATTGACAGTCGAATAATAATCCAAGGAATGCTTTGTTGCAGCGGGCACTCCCAGCGAGTTACCCTCCTGATGGAAGAGCGCTCATCAACGAAGAAAACTCATGTATCGTTGCCCGCTCCGGTCCGTAAAGAGCTCCGGGCTCGAATGAGCTGAGCCGGTAGACTCTTCGAGAACTCGGGGGCGTTCGCGAGAGCATTTGATGCGCTAAGAATTAATCATGGCGAAGAATCGACCGAATACTCCACTCACTTTCAAAGGGTAATCGTTCACTCGTCCCGAGAAGATGCCAGCATCCTTCGAGGCATTGTCCAAGAGGGGCCAAGTGCATTGAAGCAAAACTAAGTAGTAGATGACCACCTGTAATGAAGTCGCCGAATACGAGAACTGAATCTGGAGTACAGCTTTGCAGAATGTCTCATTCATGAAGAAGTGATTGAGCTTGCTACTCACCTCACAAAAGAATACGACGATCCCAACTCCTAATAAAGCTTTGACAAGATGTCTGAACCAAAATGAGCTCTGAATCTCCATTAGTAAGTTGGTGGGTAGAGAGAAATTCCGCCGCGTCATCTTGGATTCAACGATCTTCTCTCCGAACGTCGCTTCATCAGACGCTAGGAATCCGTGAGTTTCCAAGACATTCGAAGGCACACCCCGATGAGCCGATTTCGAACTTGTCCGAATTCCAGCGGGGATTCCCGCAAGCGAATTTTGGAGCCTTTGCGAGCTCTTTCGCGAGCTGTCGTCACTTCCGACTCGATGCTTGCTCGGTTGGAGCTTTGCTCATTTTCGGCCTACCCTACAGCTGGGCGCTCCGATGGAACCTGACAGGAAATTATGGTAGTCACAGCTGTCAACGCCACTCATCAGCGTAGAACCGCAGACCCATCGGTCTGCAAAAGGTTCGAAACGCGATACCGCGAGCAGGCGAGAGCTCTCGACAATTCAAAGAGACATCACGCAACTTCCGAATCGTTCCTCGAATGCAGCAGCAGCGGCTAGGGTGGTGGTGGATCGGCGGCAACAACAGCGCTCACTTCCAAAACATTGAGCCTCTCCCTTCTCGCCGCCGCAACTTGGAGCACCACAACGCATGAACGGATGGGCTGCGAGGCCCCGTGGGGTTTTCGCTTGCTCGCTGGTAGACACCCGAGTCAGCCTGAAAAGGCGAGAAGAGATCGTGTGCCCTCGAACCGGGTTTTCGTACGTCCGTGACTCCACGCCACCGTGGAAAACTTCGGGGAGAGCAACCGTGGGAGGGGGATTTTTATTTTGAATCCTCCCAGGCTGGAGGAGGTTGGAGATGGAGAGTGACGACGACGTCTCGATGATGTCGGTGATCACTGCTGTCAGTCCGAGGGAGGTCAGGCGACCCGGTAAAAACCGAGGTTCTCTTGGAGGGGCTCCGCGGGTCTGGAAGCCGATTCTATAGGAACGTCTCTGCACCCTGTGGACGTATGTCATCGACGAGCAGTTCAATCAACCCCTAACCGCGCACCACAGACTGTTCAAGAGGACTGAACTCAAGCCCCGAAAACACTTCTATGCTCGGTCGTAAGATATATTCTCGTAGCAGCCTAACATATGAATAAGCGGCCTCGGACGACCGCCGCCAATTGGAGTTGCTCGGTCGATAGCGGAACGATCTCGCGGGAATCTCAATGTCGATTATTTCCGGTCACAATGTGAATAGAAGCATGTGATCCAAGGGCTTGGGATTCGCACAGACCCTGAATTCATGGACACCGTATCTACTGCTTGTCTGTACCTCTACCCGAACTTCTGCAGACACGCCGATGTGCCTTCGTATGGTCGACTTTGCGGGCCGTTTGAGATGATGGGCTGCTCTACGAAAGGGTGTTCATGCAATCAAGGAGGAGCCGATTTGCTCACGTCATTGTTTTATTGCTCTTCCCAGGACGAAATTCATGTATTCGAATTACTCGAACCGTATTTCAGCTAGTAGGGGGGACCAATTCGAGCAACCGTCCCCGATGATGGCAGAGATCGTCCCTCCAGCTGGTGAAGCTCTACAATCGGTTAGGGAACCGTTGCGTACGATCGCGAGAAATTCGATCGCCTCAGTCCTACTCGAGGTCATGGTACAAGATTTTGGAGGGAGCTGAATTCTCTGGACTCATTCGATTTGACTGAGGGTAGCTCTCTGAGTGAGTTTACGATAAATGCTACTTCCGCTATGGCATCCGGAATCGGGAGATTCCGCGTGGGTCCCACGACGAACCAGGCAATCCCTGCTGGCTGCTGGCACAGGTGCCGGAACAGGGTCATTTCTGATGATGCACTGGAATAGCTCGGAAGACGAGAGAGTACTTGAGGTCGAGATTCTCTTCAGGCGAAATTGACCGTCGTGTAAGACGGTGCCGGACTCCGAACCAGAGCCGAGGTCGCTCCTCTTAAGGACCGGAGCGCTGAATCAGGGACTCGGACTGAACTTGGTCTGGACGGTGAGCCGGAAATCGGGCTCGTCCCGGCGGCTAGAGTTGTTCTCGTCGCTGAGGTCAATGGACTCCTGGCTAGGGGCGTAGTCAGGTTTGCCACCGGACCGGGAGCTGAACTTGGGCTCGTCTCTGAAGCTCGAGCCGAAGTTGTCGCTGAAGCTCGCGCCGAAGTTGACGCCGTAGGTGGAACCGTTGTGGACGACGCCCGTGTCGCGGCTGTCGATTGCGCAGAAGATGCTGTCCGAGCCGTGGAAGACGACGGGGTCGACGCAGGAGTCGTATTCGGCGTAGTCCCCTCAGACGCAGCAGGAGTACTCGAGGAAGATGCCGCTTGAGTGGTAGCAGGGGATGCCGCACGCGTAGTCGAAGACGGAGCTGCCGGCGTAGTCGCAAGGGATGCCACTGACGTCGTCCTTGCCGATGATGCCGGTGTAGAAGGAGATGTCGTTGTCGTAAGACGCGGCGTCGTAGCTGAAGCGGCAGCAGAAGGAGTCGAGACCGCTCCCGTTACCGGCGGAGTGACCGGCATGCTCGTAGTCGCGGCTCCTGCTGCTTGGGTTGTAGCTGGGGCCGCAGTCGATGCGGCTCTCGTCGTCTGGGTTGCGGTTGGGGCCGGAGTTGTTGCTGGCCATTGAGTTGTAGACTGTCTGTTTTTCCTGTCGGAGATAACCCGTGACCGAAGGCGAGTGGAGGCGCGTGGTATGGAAGCGAAATCCTAAAGATTTCCATGGGCACTTACTGAATAACAACTTTCGGGAGGCAACGAGTAGTTGCTTGGTTGAAGAAGGTGCCTGTCAGCGCTGCGGCCTGACTGCACACGCTCGGAGAAATGAGAGCGAATCTTTGACCGTTACGGAGAAATGTGTCTTCGAACGGCACTGTCACCTGTTTGGAGCATCCGAAATCTCGGTCCCATTAGCTGAAGAGCAATCGTGGTAGAAGGAGATTCGAGTTCGCGCGCGAGACCGAATGAATTATTGGGCGTTCGGTTGGAGCGAATAGATTCGGGGTCCGCAAGCTACTCGAGGGAGGTTATAAAGGAATTACCGAGATTCGTACCTCAAGTCTACCATTCGGCAGGATCCGACGAGAAAGTACCCGGGCAAATTTCTGTTGAGCAACAACCAGAGGCGAACCACAGAACACAAGTACACAAAGTGCGAAAATATAAGTCATCCGAATACTTCGGATCGAGGAAATTTGTCGGGATATGCCCGCTCTGCAATCCATGGTCGGTGCCGGAGGGAGCCCTGCCGACAATGGAGGAGAGGCGGAACGGAATCCGTTTCGGACACTCAAATCCTGTCCCGATCGCCTCGGAAAACAGCGGCGGACATTGTGTGACAGATTCTCAGTACAAAAGATTTTCGCCGTTGCGCCCTCGAGTGGAATGGTCACCGAATTCAATGAACACTCATTGACCGCGTTTTCATACGCTCTGCATCAGGCACGGGAGATGTCCGTAAGATTCTGGCAGTATAAGAGCTCATTTTCCTCGAAGGAGCGGAGTCGTAGATAATCGTCAGACCGACATCGATCAATCGGTTTTGAAAGAGTTATTGTTCACCCACCACAAAACCGCCATTCAGGTCGAATCATAAACGCTTTCAATCCGTTGCAATTGTAGAAATTCACGCGACCAGAGGCGTGACATCGAAAAAAATTCGGAAAAAAGAAAGCAACCAACCAGAACAAACGAGTGCCGACAGCCAAATGTTATAACGCGAAATTATTCCGCATTATACGACGAAAGTGACTCCATCCATTCAAGTTAGTGCGTGTCGAAGGGCCGATCACGTTCGAAGTGAAGGCTCTCGGCCGATTGCGCCTCAAAACGAGGATTGATCCTCGCGCGCTTTCTTCTACAAATGTTTTCGAATCGGTATAATTCTCCGAGTGGGGCGTCTCCCAACGCAAGTTGATATCGTAGACGACCCCCATCTTACGGAAACTCAGACGGCGCATTGAAGAAGGGAATGCCGTACGATCCCATCAAGAGGGCTCAGAGACGATTCTTTCCATCGCCGCTGATACACGACAAGCCGCTGATGTCTGATGCACGACAAGCCCTAAATGTGAACTTGTGCCCCTTCCTCACCCAGATTCTGGTCTCCTCCCCAGAATCCGAACAGGATCCGAACATGCTACCAATGGGAGTTTTGGCCCCGATGCACCGGAGGCAGCGTCTTGTTGGATATGCTCTCGATATTTCTTCACCCTCCCATAATCGGTCCGACTGCCACGTGGGAAGAGAGATCTAGACTTATGAATCGTCAAGTATCCATCAGCATGCTCCTCGTTTGCATAGCTGCTCCGAAGTGTTTGATCATTCCGCGCTGACCGTCCGCGCCAGAACCATCGGAGGCGTTGGAAGTTCGCATTCTAGAACGCAGAACGCAGATGGGAGCGTTTCGTCTGCGAAAACAATTGTTCCACTCCTGATGTGAGAAATCGGTGGTACACAGCGAGGTGCTCGGGAATTCTCAGAAGGAGGATTCTCTTGCTGGTGTGGAATGGTCATTCGTCATTCCGCGAGGAGTCAAGTTGATCTCAATATTCTCACAGCAGATTCCGGATGGGAGCTACACAGATTGTGCGAGATATACCTCCTGTGCGAAGAAAACCTAAAACGATCTTGATTTGCGAACGCTTGAGCCTGGTAGTTTCCTGCGGCATTTGGATACACGGGTGAACGATAGAGGCTGTTGAACAGGGAAGGGGACCGCGGGGGTTTCCGGCGGGCAGCAACCCCGGTCGAACCCCTCTGAGTACATTCGATAGCCATCGAATCAAAATCTAATGCTCTCGATTAGATCTGAATTCCGGAGATTTCGGATCAAATAAATCGTGGTATGCTTCGCAGAAGCGAGCGGAGGTATTTGGGCTCTACTTTCTGCTCGTTTCGCGGGGTTTGTTTTCGAATCGTGACGCATTCCCGCCTCTCGCTCCCTGGAGGGTGCACGGTGCCTACGCGCAGAGTTCGAGCCCCAAACATCATCTGCTTCGGATCCATCTCGTCCAGAAATGGCAGCAGCGAGCGGAACTGTTTTTCTGTTCACCTTGTTGTGGGTGGGGATCGGAGTTGGAATCCCATTGTTCGTGCCTAACAAGAGTTGGCGTGCTCTGGCCCAGATGAGCATCGCTCTGTCAGCAGTATTGTGTTACACGTTCTGGCTGTGTTGCTACATGTCGCAAATGAACCCCCTGCTGGGACCCATTCTAGAGAAAGATACCCGTGATGCCGTTTACGCCGCTTGGGAAGGATGAAGAAGACCCGCAAGGGTAGAAGATTCACGTGCGAAGTGCGAATGTATCCTTATTCCCGTCTCCCGGGAGCCAGCGCGGAGGGGACGGACCTCATGTCTGATCCCGCAGTACACAGTGCTAGGAGAAGTTCATCTGGCCTGTCGGCTTTCTCGGTACATAGAAACTAACTTCAAGATCCCCGAAAGCCGTCTATCTCCGAGGCTGCATATCGAATCTACATTGTCTGATAAATCACATAGTCAACATCGAGCGGAAGAGAGAGCTTTATGAAATGACCGGGAGAATAAATTCTGTTGAGTTTAGTCTCGAGTTTTCGATTGCGGCATCGAGATTCGCGCAGGAGGAATCTCATCGGAGGTGAGAACGTCGAGCGCGTGCAAATGGACCGGTGGGACTTCTCCTACGCGTTCCTCGGCAGCGAAAAGCTCCAGGTACTCTTGATGACCCTTACCAGAGCAAGCTCTGGACACCTCACGACTGGCGCGGGGCAGGATCAGGAACTTGATCAATCTTTCTATCTGGTTTTGGGTTCATTCTTTGCAGAAGACATGGCGATGCCGATTTCGAGGCTTGGTGATTGTCGGAGATCCATCGATATATGGGCCGATTGCATTGACCATGGGGCCTGCACGCTGATATTCGGTCCGAAAGAAATTAGATACTTTCATAGGACCCGCCATAGACCTACCAGATGCTTGGCCTGCTCACTTCATTGGCAGCTCTTGGTCGATACTGGAAGAGATCCGTTACTTTTGCTGCCGATCGGGGCAGTTTGAAATGCGGAAAGATCATACAGGGAAAGTCATCAAGCTTTACGAAGACAGAACAATGCGTCTTGACGGCAGCAGGCACTGATCCAGGAAGACCCCTCCGTTTCTCTCTGTAGGGAGGTTCGATTTGGCATTGCCACGGGCGATCCAAGGGAATTTCGAATTTCACTTTCAATTTTTCGGAAACGAGTTTTCTCCCCTGATATACGGGATCGGTGGAAGAGCTGGAGTCGAGACTACCTCGTTCGACCGAGAATCAGACCGGGAGCTCAATACGTGAGGGATGGGTCCACGATTCAATCCGCATGAAGTTTATTGTTTGAGTGGATTTGATGAGCATGGAAGGATTGAAGTAGAAAATTCCGAGTAATACCTGAACTCGGATGAAACATACATTCGCAACAGACTTTAAATTACGTGCAACTGTGATCCACGGCCTCCTCGTTTCGTCACAAATTATTTGCAGCATTCATGAAATAAATTAATTATCACCGGAAGCTACCATCAACACCGAGTGGACCTCTCCGGTGAGGATTCTATAGCAAGCGCTCCCTCTAACGGGGCATAGACTAAACGGAAAAGGACAGGACTAGATCGCGGGACTACACCAAACAAAAACTCCGACAACGCGAGCCGCTACAATATTTCGGATAGTGAAAGTCGCCGATTCTCTACGGCGCGTTTCAACGATAGCTTAATTTCTCCGCTTTCTCGAGGTTCGAGACTCCCGGATTCGGAGCTCTTCATCCGTGGGTGTGCGCATTCACTGCTATGTTTCTATGGGCCGTCCACCCACAATTCGGATGGGCATTCAATGGGGGGAATCGGATTGCACTTATCATTAATAATCTCGATGCAGCTCTCCGCACCCTGAGTGAGTCCTCACGGTCATCGGCGGTGGCCCAGCGACGCCTCTTCCAGCTATAGGTATGTGTTCCTTCTCTCCCGCTCATTGAACACTGCTGCCACTCGACTGTTCGACTCCCCGTCGGATTGAATATGAATGTATGGATCTTAAATATTCTATGGCAATCGATTGTATTGCAAAAGCCGTGATGAAACGATCAGATTAGACACCTCCGCCAGACCTATCAACGGAAAGATGTTTCTCGTACTCGCGGTCGACAGCTTTGGCCAACCGGCTCCCAGTGACTGAACCGCTCTTGAGATTTGACATTAGTTCTAGATATTCGCCCAGCTCGATTTGACCGTTCTTATTGATATCGACTTCGTTCAGCATCTCGTGGAGTTGCTCCTGTGTGACTTGAGCCTCGCCAGACTCCTTCAAAGCTCTGTGAAAGAATGCTAGTTTAGTACTCTGGCAACAGTACCTCGATTGTTCTATGGTTGTGTTCAAGCTCCGGGACGCGACGCCAGATCTGTTCTCACCTCTTCAAGTCTACCATCGTTATGTAACCCTTGTGGTCGCGATCTATGATCATGAACTTGGCAATGTATTCATCCACCTCCTTCTTCGTGAACGACATCGTCGATCTCTGTTCCTTCGATTCCTTGTTCACGGCTCCACCCATCTGGGTGTTTAGGAACTCGGTCGCTCTGCCAGCGAGACGGAGAAAATTACACGGGGATCGCTCGAGAATAACCTCCGAGCCTCAAACGTCGAAATATCGACCTTTAGGGCGCCTCTCCTCCATCGGACTCACCTGGCGATTTCCTCCTTCTTTCTCTTGTTGTCCCACTTGAGTTCTTCGCCCATGATATCAACAATTCTTGGCAGGCATTCTTGAGCAGCTTGCACATGCAAGAATGCGAGACGGAGCCGACGAGCTATGACATCGACTGCCGTGCACGCGTATTCCTTCAAGACAGCGTAACGGACCTGCGGGAAAGAAGCATTTCAGCCAACAGGAGATCGTTCTATCGATGCTACGGAATAGCCCCGCAAATAAAAACATGTAGTAGTGCACAATCCGACGATTCCCAGAGCAGTCTTGGAAAAAAATCCAATGGATGATGGATGATCCGAGTCCGCACCTCTGCCTCGATGTATGGGAACTCCTCGTGGAGTCGACGACCCACGATGGGGGACCTCTTTCCCGTGAAAGCGGCGAGCTTAGCGACGGAGAAGGCTCGATCCCCATAATCGCTTGCCAGATGTTGAGCGACCTGTGGACAGCGGAGAAACAATAAAAATCACTTTTCTCCGGAACACCGTTGAGATATGCCTCAGAATGAAGTTGAGTGTGAGTCTCCGGGCGGAGGACCAATGTCCTCTCTAAGAGATGCCGCGAATGCGACCCCGACGCGTCAGGCCGCCCATGCTACGCGAACCTATCCATGACTACCACAGGCGGTTTGCTTACCTCTGGATCGAGTCCAAAATCTTGCACGAGTCGGATGTACATGATCGGCGACCAGCCAGCGGCACCCTCGAGAAGCACGTGCTCGGTCTGAGAGAACTCGTACTTGGGGGTAATCTTCTCGTTTTCTACACCTGGGAAATCATTATGGAAAGTTCCAGCGGATCAATCGGACTCATCTCTTTCGATTTCGATATCGTCTATACAATTTCGAGGAGTCCCAGCTCCACGCACGTGATTTGATGCATGCGTCCACGGTCTGTTCGGCCATTTCCCTGTAAGTCGTCCATTTTCCACCTGCGATTGTCACCAAGCCAGAGTCGCTCAGCTCGATGATATGGTTCCGTGCAATGGCTTCGGTCTTGCCGGCCTTCGTCTGCGAGAGAATCGGATCGAGTAAGACGATATCCTCCTAAGGGAGCTCTCTGTTCCACAATATTTCGATACGCCTTCCGTAGGCGGCTGATGCGATCGCAGATGCGGTCGTAGAAATCACCGGCGATCGTGAAGCTTACCTTCTGGCTCAGATCCAGGACCAGAGGTCTGATTCCAGACCACGCCGATAGAACGTCGCCTCGCCTGACGTGAACTTCCGGAGAGAGATAGTTTCGGATCTCCTTCAGGATGAACTGGATATCGTCTTCAGTAGGCGCAGGATCGTGAGTGACCTTGCACGGCTTATCGGTGGTTCCCGCGATTGTTTGACCTTGCCAAGGGAGGAAGAAAATCACGCGGCCGTCCGACGTCGAGGGATCGAGAAGACCCATATTTTGAGGACTGTAGTACGACGGCAGGACGACATGGACGCCGGAACTGTAACGAAAATGAAATCCTCTCTCAATGCCAGCTTTCGTTGATTCTCGACGGTTGGGTTCCACGCGTCGTTGAATATGAGGAGGGTTAGGGTGAATCACGGTGGTGCCGCACAACGCGCCGGAAATTGCGAGCTCAAATCGGATCGGGAGCTCAAAAACATCCCAAGGTCGGCCGCTCGCGCGGTCCCGTTCTCGCCTCTAGATGCTTGAGGATAGGTCGCTGATACGAGGGACGAAAAAGGAATCTCCTTGAGCACGTGGGAGCGGTTCGAGCGAAAGAATCCCATTCCAATGAGCGCGTCAACGGTTTCATGCATCACAGTGTCGCGTGTTACGCTCCGAAACATTCTCGAGTGCCCCGCACGGTTGATCTTGTAGAGCCGATAAGGTTTGGAGTGACATTGTTGAGAAATGTTTATGCCGTCCTGCTATCGCCGCTTTACTCGAGTTACTCGTCACTGGCTCTCTGTTTTTTACGAGCTCATGAGCGATCAGGGAAAATCTCAGAAGGCATTATGAGTCAAATGATTAGAGATTATGGAAGTCACTATAGCCGCCTGACAGCTCTACGAAGAAAATTCCAAGTTCTAGTCGGTACCGATGGCGTCCGCTATCTTTACCTCGGTTGGCAGATTGTCCTGACTGAGTCGTCATCCATTTTCCGGATGTTATCTGTGAATGGACCGGTGGCATTCACGACACATTTTGCACGGACCTCGAACTTCTGGCCATTGAACTCGTCCTGACATACCGCTCCACGAACACGACCGCTCTGTAAAGGTGAGAAGGGTTCCGATTATTCCAAATGAAACTTCAATGAGAACGTGGAGCGGGAGACCTTGACCGTTCTAATCTCGTGGTAGTTTTCCTCCTGACAATGAGTGACCTCGAAAAAGTCTTATCGATTAATTCAATGCCGATGACTTTCTTTGAGAGCTTTCTCTAGGACCGAGTGTGCGCAATCGACAAGTCTCGAGCTCGTTACGTTCGCCGCGGTGTCCGTCAGGAGGTTTGTCGTGGCTCATTATACGGGGAGAAATATCTGCGAGACTCTTGGATTCATACTCTTGGTCTGCCGCTTGAAGCGAAATCTTACGAGAGCTATGGGTGACGGAATCATTCCACTGGAATAAAAGAATCGACTGTTCTGAGATGTGCGGCGTTTCAAATCCAGTCATTTTGACAAGAGTGAATCAGATCACGGGTTCTCTGCGTAGCAAGCGCTGGAAGGTCGGGAAGTGGAAGCTGAGTGCGTTCGGACTTGTCTCGGGTCGATGGACGGCCGCGGTGAATCCGCGAAATCCCGGAGTGGAACGACTCGGAACTCCTCACCCCATGTTTGGTATTTCCCGGAAACGAAACGAGTGCGAAGCTCACTCTTCTAGCTCAGCCCTGAATCGGCTGCCAGGACGAGCGAATTGTTCTCTCCGTATGCTCGAAGCAGCCGCTCCGGCTGCGAGCGAGCTTCGAAGCTAGAAGTCAATACAAAGGACACAGAGCGATCTTAACCCTACCTTGTCTTTGATCAGACTGAGAACTCTGCAATGATTGGCGACATTGGCTCCGAAGCGAGCTGCCGTGAGCGCCAGCGAGACGCACACCCGAGAATCGTTGTGCGCTCCGTCGTAGTACACGAGCGCTCCACAGAGACGTTCTTCTTGGAGCATGGGGAACAATTCCAGAGCTCGTTTACGGCTCAGGAAGTAGCTCTTCTTGAGACACTGTCGCCCGGCGACCATGTCGTAGCACTTGATACCGACCCAGTAGTAGGGAACTTGCCACCACCTGTACACGGGGAGCATGATCGGCAAGGCATCGGCAAGGTGAGGGGCGGATTTGAGCAGATTCGCTCGTTCATTCAGAGCTTCTTTCACCATTCTGTACTGATCGTAGTCGAGATTGAAGACCGCTTTCTGAAGGTAGCGGACGCCGCCATGGATGAGTTTCGTACTCCTGGACGACGTTCCAGCCGCAAAGTCATCTGCTTCGACCAAGGCGGTCGAGAGTCCGCGCGTGATGGAATCGACGGCCACTCCGGCCCCTGTCGCTCCGCCGCCGATGATGAGCACATCGTACTCTGGAGTTTTTTTGAGAACTTCGATCTGTTGCTCTCGTGTCGGAAGAACGATGCGCGGAGGAGATCTGGTGAATGAGCTCGCCGCATGAACGTCGTCCGAGTTGAAGAAGGTGAGAGCCCCGGCGGCCCCGACGACACCTGCAGCTCCCGCGATCACCCTTGCTCCGATCATTTTCTATTGGGTCGCGTCACTTCAATACACGGATACACGCGACGGCGGAACTCGGAAATACGTTCAGTTACTTGGAAGGCACCTTCAGCACGCTCCTCCAACACGACGAAAGGACAGCACACACATCGAGTGAGGACCACAACAGAGCGCGCGCGCAGCAAGGAAAGCCGGGAGAGAAAGGGCCCGGCAAAGGCGGCCTAGGCGCGTGCCCTTTCTGTGCCTGCGCTCGACTGATCTGGCGACAGAGCCTAGAGCGGCACTCGCCTCGCCTGTTTGCTTGCGGCACTGTCTCCCAGCGTATCAGCGACTGACTCAGTCACTGACTGACTGACTCGCCGAGCGCACGACTGACTGACCAAGTGACTTACTGTCAGGGCGTCTCTTGTCTAACTCATTGCTCGTTCGATCTCTACCCTCGGGGCTGCCCGGCCTTAACACAACTGAATCTCGGAATGGAGCGGACTCGGCGTGCTCTTCTCGTTTTTTCGGTGCGCCCTTCTCGTCTGCTCCAGCAAGAGGCGAGTTGGGTACCGTGAAATCCCGTTCTCCAAATTCTCAAGTGGACCTCAAACTCTGAACGGCCTGACTGATATTCTCCCGGTCCTAGTCTATCAGCTCTGGGGGGGACTTCCTGGAAGGGATCCTCTCTCTCCAGCGATAGATGACGTCAGACGAATCCTTCACTCCAGAAAACATTTATTATCCTTCTCGGCTGAAACAATTTACAGTGATACAATTGTCATCCGGTCAGACAGGCTCGATGAAGTTCGCTGGAACCATTCCTCTCTTCCCGTTGCGCAGCACGGTGCAGGTTGTCCATCCCGCGTTCACCGCACTGCATCCTGACAATTATTCGAGCGGAAGACATTCATATTAGGGTACCACGGACAAACACAACGGAGCGATCTCGCGATGCGCCCGAGCAATGCATCGGAAACCAAAGAAGATGAGTCTTACCGAGTAGGACGTCCCCGTCGTTGAAGCTCACTTCGTCGGCTTCTTGCGCCCTGTACGTGTATACCGCTCGGTACATTTTGCCTGTTCGAGCTTTAGGTTTGCGATCGCTCTTATAATTATTATTATCACTCGATGGATGAGTGTCTTCCCGATCTGCAATCCCGATCATCTCGGTGAATAAAAAACGCAATACACGAAGCGTGATCCTAGTGATCAAATCCGGGGGTTTCTCGAGAATTCCACTTTATTCAGGTTCAAGCTTTCCAAGATCGTTTTTTTATGGCTTTTTCAAGCATCTACCAAAGAGTCAGCCATGATATCAATGATGGACCTCGCAGGGATCGTCAATGCGCCTGCAGAGGTGGAATGCGAGGTCACCAAGCACGACGGGGAAAAAGCCGAAGCCAGCAGCGGGGATCTTGGGAAAAATCTCTGATTGTGACTGGGTGAGTTCCGCGAGGTTCGTTTTGCGGTCGCATTGAGCCTAGCAGGGGTCCCGTGGATGCGCCTAGTTACAGTCCGGAACTGCAGACATACTTTTCAGGTTAGCGACCCGCTCCCAACCATTCGTGGTGGTCGAGCCAGCCACGTAGGCCGTTTTCGTGAACATGGGTTTATCCTCCTCGCCTTGGTATGGGTCGTAATCGTGGATGGATCCGATGGGCTTCTGGTTCGATTTTCCAACAAAAGTCACGGGTCGTCCATCGACAGCGCTGTACAGGAGCGCAGTGGTACCTTCGGCGAAACATTCGAAGATGAGACTTTCGATCTAGGCAGATGAAGCCCATCGCGAGTGTTTTCATCGGGGAGGGGGGGGTAGACTGACCGAATTCGACAGTGTGTGGTCTGACGACGTCGCTGGCATTCCTTTTGGCTTCCATGTCACGTTTCCGACGCAAAGTACCTTGGTACTGATTGTCCGAGATCACCGCTCCGTTCTTTTTCACGCGGAGAGTCTCCAGATCTTCTGCAACCTTTTGGAAATTGTAGTTTTATCCCTCATCCGCGAAGATCATGGAGCAATCGTGGAAGAGCTAGGTTCTGAGGAAAATGATAATATCGTCCCTACTCACCGTCAAAACTTTCCCCTTTATGTCTTGCTCGAAATCTTTCTGATACGTGTTCTTCGATACGAGCTTCTGTGCGCGTGCAGCTAGCTGGAAAACGAAAACCGAAATTACGGGTTCCTCTGACGTCGAACGTCGAATATCAGATGGCGGCTGACGTCAGGGAGTTCAGAACCTACGAGATCAACGAGGAGGAGAGCAGAGAAAAATCCTACCTTCATCTCAGGAGTATCTGTTATCGGCGAGGGTCGCAGAGAAGGTGCATGGGCGACACAGAAAGGGATCCCCTCGACCGTTGTGAACGATCGAAGTGAGAGTGGAGCTCTACAAGAACTGCATCGAAAACATGAGCGATGAAATATTTGATTCAGAACACTGAGACGTTCTGTTGGATAGACAATCTTCCGGCAAGAGGTGCAGCACGACGCAGCCTGCATTGTCAAGGTATGATGTGGCCGGTCTGCAATGCAAACAATGAATATTCGTTATCGATCTTCCGCGATTCGAAGCCAACACACCACATTGTAGCGAATCAATACTCAACATTTACTGCAATTCCTGGAATGATTTACGCACATTCACAGCGAGCGCAGAAGAGCTGTTCCGACTCTCTCCTCTAGCTACCGAAGTTTGGATGGCGGCCGGCGTTGTTTTCCCGTCCGAAGTTTCCGCAGTCTCTTCACAGCGAGGATATCCCTATGCGATCACTGGAGCTTGAGGAAGAAATAATTTCAATTATGGGAGACCCGACGAGACGTCTTCGAATTCCCTTAGGACATCTGCGAAGCCGTTGTAAAAAAAAGAGTTCAACGTAAATGGCGTGGAGGCGAAAATGACTTGCTTGTTACGACGTTTGCACCAACAACAGCCTACCATTGTTTACCGGCGTCCCACAGAGCGGTTCGCTTTGCTATAAAGATTGTCGCTGCATATCCACTCTGACGCACGCACAGTTTCCCCATATCGGAATGTCAACCGCAGCTCGTTTCCATACCTCTTGAACGCATGATTCACGGCGATTTCAAGGCCATTGAGATAAAAACACTTTGACGCCCGGAGTGTCTTCCGAGGAACGAAACAAAAATGGACCAACGTTTCCTCCAATGAGCGATGTAATGGTGGAGGAAGCATGAGGAGACGGTAAGATTCACATCGAATCACTCTCGCCGATAATTCCGCTTACGAGGTTCCTCGATCGCGGCGATTCCGCAAAAGCGATCGGACTCGAGGAATGATTCTCAAAGCGATTCGTCGAACAAACGACCTTTGACTTAGCATGCGATCGACTCAAAGGCGATATCCCTAAGCTTCCCGCTTTCGACACCAGGGATCGATTGACGCTGAATAATAGCGCGTTCGCATCCGCGGTAGATGAGGGCGACGGCACGGAAACCGGCCACAGACAAGAGAAACGCGTTTTGCGCTTCGTTGAGCATTCGCACGAGCTGTGGGCTTTCGGTTGGGCACCGACTGATTCGACGGCAGTATTCAAAAAATAGAAATCTATAGTAATGCTGTACGGAGATGAGCCTCCCCATCGTCTCGGGCGATCGGATGCTCTCCGGAAGGATTCACACGCGAATCGGATCTCGAGAGTTTGAGCTCGGTGCGGTGACCGACGATGAAGAGTAGAAAAAGACTCTCATGCCTTAAGCTTGGATCTACTCACCGTACTCTCGACAATCCGAACACCCTGCAGAGACTACCGACCGCTGCATGCCGTGGTTTACGATTGAGTCTTGTGACGAACGTAGAGAGGGCAAGCGGCGCTCAACTGCGGATACCACCATCATCGAAATGTCCTGGAGAGCAGGACTAAGTAGGTGAAACCGAAAGGGTCGAAGGCTCGCTAGAGCCGGTGGTCTTAATCCTTCAAGACATCTCGACAAATCTCTTTCGACTCGCATTGGGTGTCGCGGATTATTTTGCTCCCATTCCGAGTCGATTCGTCCGGTGCCGGTAGATTCTCCCTGAGCTCTTGATCCAGCGTGAATATGAGATAAGAAAGCCCAAGCATTGTGTATTCACACGCTCTAGGCGTTCTCAGATATCAAGAATCGGCGATGCTTTTGGTATTACCCGACTTACGATATTTCGCCGTTTCCTTAATAAAGTCTTCTAAGCTGGAGGAAGAAAGCGTCGCTCTCGGCACTCGTAGTGAACAGCCGGCGATAAATAATAATCGACTCCGTCGAGTGCATTCTTGAGGCGAAGCCGGTCATTCGAAACCTTCCCATACACGAGGTTTCTGAATTGTTCCTTCTCACTCGATACGTGCTAGTGTTTTCTTGTGGAGTCGGACTGCTTCCCCGCAATGATATGACTTCGATTTCCTGTCGAGAGGAGGAGCGCAAAGAGCTCTCCGAAGCCCGCTCCCCATTAAATCCGGCTCATCGAACAGGATGATCGAGCTTAGAAGAGATCAAGCTCCGGTCTCCCATGCGTCCGGGGGCTTCAGCGATGACCTAAAATACCTGAATGCTCTACTTCCTCACTTCAGTTCCTCCATCCGTGTTCACACAGATAAAGTGGATATTCGCAAGGGTGATTCCAGAATCAGAGCTGTCGGATCGAGGATCGAGCGGATTTTCATGGACGTTCGCGACCCGAGGTCTCATTCAGTATCGTCATTCCTTCCAAGCCTTGCTCGAACGGAAACAGTCTCAGTCAGCTCTGCTGCCTCCCAGTCGATCGGAAGCTTGATGACCTGACTACCCCCGGCAGCGCCCATGTAAGAGGCTCTCCATTCCGGACATCAATAGACTTCGGCTAAGTCACTCGATCTGCAGCCCTACCCTGCAATACCCCCATAAAGAATATTGAAAAGAGGACGGGCGATCTCTCGACGGTGATAGCTCGTGGTAGCAAGTCGCGATAGAAGACGGGACTCGAAATTAGTTATTTCGCACCACGTTCACTCCCGCACCTGACTTCCGCTAGCCAACGTTCCTCGGATCACAGAACCTGTGTGGTCTATGCTGACTGTAGCTTTGTGTCCGCAGTCGCTCCCAATGTTCCGATACAGACTGACATGAACTCACAGGACATGTCTAGATATTACGCAACTGCGTTCTTATGCTCCGTCAGAAGATCCGCAAGCTGTTCTAAAGTCGTATGTCGAAGCGTGATTCGTTTCTCAATGTCAGCGCGACGACCGTGGGATCCCGCGCGAAATTGCGTCGAGGCGCGGACGCTCCGAACGCATGCATGTCATACAGAGAATGCACAATGCTTCCGTGCTTTGGAATATCATCATTAGAAGATAAAAACTCGAATTTTCGGAAGCGGCCAGTTCCCGGTGGGGACTCGAGTTTTCGACGATTGCTCGATAATCCGCCCGGCCGTCCAAGTAGATCGACATCGCTCGGCGTCATCGGATCGAAGGCTGAGAGGAACTTGCAGTTTCGAAAGCTGTGTCATCATCAGGCAGATTCGATTCGCCCCTTCCGGTCTGAATTTCAGAATCGGTTCCCTCTCGAAACCTACACAAGTCTCTCTGAGTGAATTCCAGCTGGACACCGCAAGGCGCACCTTCGCGTCATATACATTCCCGCGCATCCGCAATTTAATTACCGAGTCGTCGATCCTGATCCCTTGGTATTCGCATTGTCTCAGGCAGTGCCTCCTGTGAACTTTCAAGTTCGAGCGCGCCGCTGCAGATAAGCAAGGTCAAACAGGCCGTGAGCGCATGCTCTGTGCATGTCGGTCTGTCTCAGGGCGAAATCCACACTCGCGGAGCGAAAGAGCGATTTTCGATCAGATGGAAGTGTTCGGAGAAGCCACTTCCAGACTGCCGTCGATAGTGCCTGTGTTTGGGTCTCATTCATTGTGTTGCGTAAGTAGACACCGGATAGTTTCACATGGCGCTACCGTTTGTCCCGAACTCCCGAACTTGAAACTTCCCATGTAACAGAGGAGGTTTCGAGGTTTCGAGCATACGAAAGTGAGTAGACGAAAATGCGCATATGATTCCTCCCTCCTTGCGCTGATTACCGAGTTGCTAGCCGCGAGTTTCACGCAGACGCAAAAACAGTTTGAGAGAGCGTTCATTCGAACAGTCTCTCCGAAGCTTCTCCTGCGATAGTTCCTAGATCTGAATGGACTTTTCGGATCACAAATCATCTTCTTACTTGTGGCGGCGAATCACCCGCAACCCGACCAGAGAATCTCTCCCGGATACTTCCCGGAAATGCTGAGCGTGCCTTGAATTCCGCTCCGGGAGGAAGGCCCAGAGGCATGTGCTCTGGGACACCCCGTGCATTGGGTCTGGCAGACTCGGGGAAACTTTCTCGAATCGTTCTTCTTTAGAACTGTCCGTTGGCGGTTCATCCTGGGGTACCCCCTTCGGAGTCGGGGTGTGGGTATACGGCCAAGTATTTTCAGGTACAGGCGGAACTCCCAGAAAGACTCAGATTATTCCATTCGAGCCCGCGTGAATTTTCTTGGAATCGGTACTCATGATATCAAGGTGGGAATAATTTGGATTCTCCCCGCGCCGTCGATTTCCCTGTACACTCTTTCCGTGTGAACCGCGGACGTCATTTCTGAAAGGCCAAGCACGTCATTGACGGCCATGCGTCACAGCCAACGCCAAATGTTACGTTTGAGTGAATCGACTCGAGCATTGCGTCGTCCGTGACTCTGCCTAAAGATCCACCGTTGTCTGCCGTGAAGTCGCTATGACTATTTTTTCCGAGCTCTATCGCCTGATTTTCCGTACGTTACTTACAGAATGAATACATGGAAGACCAGGGTCACGTGGGCTTGCCCCGATGATAGGGAGCTGGCCCTCAGAGCTAAGTGAGTCAGCGAACTACAATCCGAGCATACCCGCAGCGGAATGAGCACAGAGCCGCCTCCAATCGTAGCTTGGGGGCCGCAATCAAGTCGTTTATCCAACGAGGAATGACTTCGCAAATTTTCCAGACTGCGATCAGGCTGGTCCGCGAAGTCGGATCGAGTCTTTCAGAAACAAGAGCCGCTCAGTACGCAAGAGGTCTCCACCATAGTCGAGGTGGTCAAGAAAGCAGATCGCGTGGAGCAAATGGAGCGGGATCGTGTGAGGTCAGAATGCATGCTTTTTCCCCGCTCTCCGATGTCTGAGATTGCCGCTCGGCTAGTAAGCGAATCCAAAAGCATTCCGACGAGATATTCGATTTCTGGTCTTCAGTCGACTTGTCAAACAGCTCGACAAACTGCGGAATCGATGCGTCCAAGGCCAGAAGAGCAAACGAACCTGCAACATGTGCGGAGTCGGATTCCGTCTATTGATATCCTCCGCTCAGAAATGCCGTATATGCGAGAAAGACGTCTGCGCGAAATGCGGCTTGAACGCCGTCGTCCTTCAGAGCGGTCTAAATCAGAGAGATGCCGTCTGGCTGTGCAAAATCTGCCACGAAATTCGCGAGGTAAGCAGCTGTGTGAATCGTCATGAGCACCACGGGCTCAGAATAATCGTTCGTTCCATCCGGGGAATCGATTCGACGCTATCTTTCCCTGGTTGGCGATTTGGCCACTGAGTTAGAGAAAAATGAGTCATGAACGCCAATCCATGCTCTCGAGCGGCTTTTTCCCTGGCGTCTGTCAAAACTTTCAGGTCTGGAAGAAATCAGGAGCGTGGTTTTACAAGGGTATGCCGTTGCACAATGAGGAGCGTAAAGTGGGCGGCGACGCGCCTGGAGAGCAGAAAACGGATTGATCGGCTTCACTCGTCAAAATTGCTCAACGAAGATCAACAAAGAACGATTCCTGTATTTTGATAGCAAATAAATGCCGGGGAGTTTTCCTCAGCATATCATATCGCCTCGGTATACGTAGGTTCGTATCCATAACGACAGCGGCGAGGGACTCAGGGGCAGTCCCTAGTGCTCTAAGATTTTGGATGCCGATTGCACGGGTGGACTTTCACACCGGTCATTTTCCCCGTGACGGGAGCTCCATCCTATGCACGGGAGCCTTTCGGGACGCTTAAGCTCGCGGAATCCCCGAATGTTCGTTCGGTTCCGTACGGAAGTGAGCCTGAGCGTTTGTCGAATCAGGAAACCAGCGCACAGTTGTATTGATATCCAATAGTGTTAGGGGAAAGAGCGAGGATATGGGAGAATGACCTACCACGGATAATTTCAACGTACCTCGCAGCATTGTTACGAAGTGTCAGCGCAGTTTCCCCGCTCCCCCCCCCTGACGGCGGATGATTTATATAATCGGCACCACAAGATTGAAAACTCATGTTCGACACTTTGATACAGATGTTTCATTCGACGTTTGAAAGTTCATGAACAGCTTCCTTGAAACAGAGAATGAAGTTCTCAAGAACCTCCAGTCCTATAGATTGCTTTGCTGCCCAGATAGAGAATCACGGACGCGTACGCGAGCTGCATCACCCGACATGATGGTAAAAAGATCCGTCATTGTATTCGCTCGAGCTCTGGAGTTGATCTTACGCAGGCATCTGGCGTCGCACGCATTCGATGTGCTGCATCGCCACAAATTCAAGTTGTAAATACACTCAGACCTGTGAAGTCCTTGGATTCCGCCTACATCTGCGCGTACTGCAGCGTGTCAGACAGCAAAAACTCACGCGTCTGGATTAACTTTACCGATCGGAATTGGAGGGAACCAGATTGCCTGTGATGCACGAAAAAAAATAAATGAAAAGAGCACCGAAGGTTTTCATGTACACCTATTAACGGCGAATTTACACGAGACCATATTGATCCTTCGCACGAACTTTCTATCGCCCAACGTCTAACACACATGGCGTAGGGGGGAAACACAATCCCAGAAATAACACTGATCAGCATTAGAAGATCGCAACCCCGATTGAGTGGACTGGAGAGCTCATTCGGAATCGCCTCCAATCCTTGTCCTCGAACTCCGGCTGCAACAGTGGCACAATGTTTCCACTAGTTGGTTTCCCGGACGGTTCTTCAAGCTCGCGAAGCGGCGGTGGCGACTACCGGTGTCGAAACCGTTTCCTCCAGAGCTGTTCCTTCATCTTGAGTGAAGACGTTCTCCAACACATGGGGTGAATCATCTGCGGTCGGTGAAGAAATTTCAAGATTCAGCGGTGCACCGACATCCCAGCCGCAGGACTATATTGGGGCTTGATACTGTTTCCAGCTGACGTACCTTCGTCGGAGTCCTTCGAGTCCGAACTGGCGCTCCTCGAATCATTGGATTCTTTTTGCGATTTTTCCCGGAACGACAAGTGCCACGACCTGCTCATTGCTTCATCCACGTCAGCATTATCCGGGGGAGCGCCAAAACTTTTTGTTTCTCGCAACGGCCGGTGCACCGGCGTGGAAACGTCCACAGCTGCAAGGTGAAAGCATTTGTGAGCTCGCAGTTCTCGAGAACACTCTCACCGGAGCTTGAAGGTGTTTCCGCGAAACGGCGGAAGGACGGGCTTAGGAAGTGGATAGGGGATAGAGGAACACTCACTGAAGCTAGTGCCGTCCTGCATCTTGTATTTGAGCTCTTCAAAATGCCGGTCCATTTGAGATATGATACGATCCTTCTTTTCGGAAAGCTCGAGTAACTTTACGTTCTCGGATGTCAGTTTCTGCTGTGTTTCTGTCTTGATATCGAGTTGAGCCTGAGGGGAGAGGATTGGGGATATTAATAATATTCTCAGAATCACGACCCGAGAATCCAGCTTTTGGGATCCCGCTCCATGCACCTGCACGGAAGAACTCTCACCTTCAGGTCCTCTATTTTAGCTCTTTGTTTATCGAGAGCCTCCTGCATGAGTGCCATGCGTTCTTTGCGGTCTTGGTTTTCACGCTTCTCCGCAAGAAGTTCCCGGTTCTCGGCGACTTTCATCTCGAGTACCGCGTTCAGCGATTCCACTTCCTTTTCGAGGGAGTTGATTTTCTCGTTCAACCACTGGGCACGCGCATCAGCCGATTGTAGAAGCTTGGCTTTGAGTGCGGCTGCCTCTTCCTCAACCCTACGGCACTGGTGATTTTTCTCGTCCAAACGTCGCTCGAGATCGCGTTGGGTTTCCCTGAGGGCGTTGAATTCGGCTTCTTTCGACTGTCTTAGAGCCTCTAGAGCGCACTCGTGCTCCTCCTGCAAAATAAAGGGGTATGATCTGGAGGCAGGAAGCACGCGATGTGAAGCGTCATTTACATATGGATCTCGAAAAAGAATGAGGAGAGGTCGTCGGGGTCAACGCCGTGAATAGCGCAAGTCTCACCTGAAGCTCGATCAATCTACTTTTGTGCACAGTATCTTGTGACGCAGATGCTTGACTGCTCTTAAGCTCATCGACTTTTCTCTCGTGTTCTGATCTCAATTCTTCTAGAACGCTGACTTGTTTAGCCTCAACTGTGGAAATACGACGAAAGAATGAGTTTCTTTTTCCGGCGTGGTACATCATCGGTCAGGAGCACAAATATCTTGCATTCCTCTCGGGAGCGACCTTGGATCTCTCGCGGTCACTGCGACGATCAGGAGGGAACACCCAAACAAGTCGGTCTGCTCATCGGAGCGCGATTAGGTAAGTAGATCGATGGAGTCGGAGAAAAATCTATAGTACTTACGCTCTGTTATCTTCTGCTGTTTCGCCTCCTCGAATTTCTGCATTTCATCTTTGTGCGTGGCAACTTCCTGCTGAAGCTTGTTTTCTAGATTTTCTGCAAAGGAAATCGTTCACGTCAGTATTAATTTACCGAATGATGAGCTTTTTCGTAAATTGTGTTGACCAGGCTTGTCATTGGTTCGATCCCAGATTCAACCTGGGGTTAGGATAATCGAGAGTGAGCGATGAGCGATAATGCAGTCGAGAGCGTCGAAAAATGAAGGATGATTACTTTTAGTGCCAAACCAAGGAATCGGCAGCTGAACTGATGGCCACGAATGAATGAAACGCATGTCCACAGGTCAATAAAGTACTGCTGACTACAGGAACAAAGTAGTGGTGACAATCGACCAGCCAGTTCGTCAGAGAAGCTGTCGGAGCCCGATTGAACGACAAGGCAGGAAGAAGAACGATCTCCAACAACAATGATTGCGAACTGTCTCTTTCGTGGAGAAAGAGTTCTACGACGGGCTCGCCTTACCGGCTGTTCTCTTCTTTACACTTTTCTCGTGGACACAACACTCGCTCGATGCAGAAACTCGTCCTCATGGTCGAACGTGGGCGTTCGACTTACGTAAGTGTTTCGTATTCGAGAAAAGAAACAGAGTTCGTCAGCGAAAGTGAATTACGCTCGTCCCGTGCAATATGTGAATCGGACTCATTTACGCAGCGTATGATACACAAGTTCTCCATTGTTCAAAGGCTCGGTCTGGCGCCCATTAATAGACTATGGGTGATCCGTTCTCGGTGCCCGTACTCTCCGTACGTGTTGTCACAGTGCCAAAAGCCATCAGCGAGCGGAAACGCGATCTGAATATCTGAGGTTCATCCGCACGATGCACCGATATTATCACTCTGAAGGAGGAGTTGGGGATTTCGAGACCGGACAAGCTGTTCCCGAAAGAATCCCACAGGTAGAGATGGAACGCTACCGACTTGACGGGACACGAGCTGTCAGTGAATCGTATTACGTCGGATAAAGCTCACCGAACCCGAAGCTTGTCAGCGAAAGAAAAGCCAAGGCTCTTCCTCGGTGACCTTTCGACCGAGGGTGTAAAGCACATCAGGACCTCTTAGATATCATCTTGTCTTGAGCCAAGCCGTCGAGTCAAAATCTACGTGCTCCACATGCAGTCAATGGTTGGCGTGGGAGATACGGAGCCGAATCTCCATACATATGTATATTCGGGTTCAGCAGATTCGGAAATCAGCGGAATCAAGCTCTCTGAATCTTTTCTCTCTCCTTGCGCTCGTCAGGTAGCCGGACTTAACTCACCGATATCATTGTGGGCATTGCTAATTACTTTTCCAGCCAGCAGCAGCTGACTCCTCAACCGGGCCGAGTACTCTTCGGTTCTCCGGAGACGCTCACTCCAGTAGTGCGCTGCGAACGCCAAGGCGCCGTGCGCAGCTGTGGAGTTCTGTAGCTCTTTGCGAAGGTTGTCGAGTTCCGCACTACGGGCTTCACAAATTTTGCCCAGTCGTGCGATCTCCACCTCGAAGTCCACCTGGGGGATGAGCAGACGGTCTGTTAGTTCCGATAAGATAATTCGGGCTCACGCGACTGGCTTCTCGATTTTCGCTGCGAGCATCGCGATATGATTCGGCTGCTCCTGATAGTCACATCCGGATTCGATTTTTCAGGATGAGAGCCGAGTCGGATTCTCCTGAGAAGCTTACTTTTGAAGACTGTCGTTCGCTCTGTTCGCCGACTCCATCGTCGGGGGCCTTGGGAGCTGCCTGTGTTGTTTTTGTGGCAACTTTCTTGACGACTTCACTACCTGTGGACCAGAAGGTTTCTCCAATCAGATTGGATCGCCCAATCGAGAGTCGAGAAATACCTAATCGATACGATGGATTCAGGGTTCGTTGTGGGAACTTTTCCTCCGGAGCTCCGAGCTGCTTAATTCTCTCCCTTGAAATTTTGTGACACCCGTTTTCACGACGAACGTGGATATGGGATCCCATGATGGGTTCTAATGAGCCATCCGGAGTGCACCGAAATCGAAGTGAGTACAACGGAAGCCCTCCTCTATATTCGAGTGAGCGGGTGAGAGCATGGAACGCTCTACTCGTGGCCGTTCGTAGCTTCCGATGCTACAACAATCCCAAACTCGATGATCATGAAGCGACGGAGATCGATTGTGTTCAGATGATGACACTGGTCAAACAAACCTCGTAGCTCCCGGATTCTATCCTGAATCAAACTGACAGTACACAGTATCAGAGCCAGCATCCAGCCACTGAGATTGACCAGTCCCTCGAAAACAACACTTATTCCACCGCTGCCTTTCGCTGGTCCATACGGCACTAGCACATTTTTACGCGGTATGGCGTCCGCCAAGGGCTGGCGCCTCTTTCGCGGTTTCATGCTTCCACCGTGGGTCACATGGTTGAGTCGAACTCGCTCCGATATAAGTTACGAATAGATGAAAACGGGGAACTCCTCCCGGGGAAGCGGTTCGTTGCTGGCCTAAACGCAGCTGTATGTTCTCGTGTTTTCGGTTTCCGCGTGCTCCCGACCAGCCAGTGGCTATCGGAGAGGCAGAAGAGAGGATACAAGTATCGTACATCCGAATTCCAGAATCTTTGGCGGACGCTAGCTATGTACCACGCAAAGCGTAGGAGCATCAAGCGATCCAGAGCCGTCGCGTAGAGCCCAGAAACGACGGAGTCGCCGAATAACGACGAAACTCCCACTTGGAAAGGGTGCTACTGCCGCTCATTGACCACTGTATTGCCTCTCGTCCCGTCCGCGGTTCCGTAGTCGAGCTATCCGACCGAGACAGCGTTTAATGAACTGAACCGGCACTCGGGAGCATACGTAGCGACTGCCGTAGAATAGCATCGATTTGGACGCCTAATCCGATCTATTCCCTTGGAAGTAGCCGGCTGGAACCAGTTGGGATAGCGTGGATCGTATGGATAGCGGATGGATGTTCCTTTTTCTTCCAAATCCGGTTGGTCCACGTCACGAGCTCGTCGTGACCAGTTGACGCCTGCTAACCAGTTCCGACGCTTGGGAGACACCGTTCAACAAGAAGTTTCCGCAAGAGACCCGTCCCCGTCCAGACGGATTTATGTAGGAAGGTGAATTTCGTTCCGATTGCTTTCCGTTCGAATTAGAGCGTTCCGCATCCATTCGATCACCATCCGCAGCGGTGGTATATACACATCCATTGGATTGATGCTCGTGAAATCACTCAGAACGTATCATTCCACTTCACGCGGTTTTCTTCGATCCGTCCGAACGGATCCCCGATGGAAAGTTCCCGTCAAGTACCTACGTAACGCTAAGAGCTCGCTCGACCGTGCTTGTAGAACCGAAGTTCGATTCACACAACAAGTCACTTCAGCGACAAGATGAAGTATTAACGAGATGAGCACGCGCGGGGAAGGAGTTCGCGCCTGTACGGGCGATCAAGAGGATCCGCGATGCCCTTGGTTCGTGGCAGATTTCAAATTAGATTGTCTATCAGATCGCCTACGCCTAGCTTCCTGCCGTTTTTTCTGACAAGGAACGACAACTCGGTGGGTGTCCTAATACATGGGACAGTTGACAGATATACTTCTCCTCTGAATCGATCGTAAAGCTCGATTGAGACGATGATGATATCATACTGCATCTAGTTCCACGGTGTGAGGTCATAAAATGCAGAGCGTCGATTCAGGCGCTCGTAAACTACCTCGACCCTCGACCGGGCCCGAGCGTCAGGGTTCTCGAGTATTCCTATTAGCTTTGGAAATGACCTATGATCGGAGTTGGGGGTTTCGATATGGATTATGATAATTAAGCCTTCCAAACACGGAGCGGAACAGCATTAGGAAGGGCAAAAGCCGACACTAAGCTGACGCGCTTCCGACCGAAAATTAATTGGAAGTGAGCGTGATCGCTGAAGCGTCGGTCCTTTGTTCAGCGAACATCTGTGGCTATAGCTCTACGGTCATAGCTCACAATCGAGAGGTTTTCTGATCGGTGCGGGATGCGATCCCTACGGATCGTTCCCCGTGGGTGATCGTCTCTCCTCCCAGAAGAACGAACACCTGCGCGGAGTCTGCGTAACGAACTGTTCGATAGGCGCAGCGACTGATAGTGTGACCCGCATCAAGGAAACCGCGATAGGGGCTTACCGCTGCTGACTTTGTTTCCCTCCGGTTTCTCACTGATTGATTCTTTGACATCGATCGACTTCTTCCGTCGAGCATTGGAAGAGACGGTTTGTCGCATCACAAAACGAATTTTCTCCTGAGCTTCCTCGGCGACGCGAGTTACACTTTCCACCAAGCAGGTTTCGGAGTCGGACTTCGCCTGAGCGGATGAGTTTTGACTCCGTATCTCCACACTCACTGGCTGAGCCGCGACCGACGAATTGGAAACTACCGGTAATTTGCCCACGCTTCTATCATTAGCTGTTTTTTCGCTCCGGAAGGTTTGCCGATCTTGGAGGGCGGCTGGAGACGAGAAATCTGGGGGGTGATTGAGCGCACAACTTTCGATGCCTGATCGTCGGGGGTCTCAGGTGTCGTAGGACTCGAATCGAGGCTTCGCTCCTCTCTCCGAGTAAACTTCTTCCGTGAGGAGGATCGCGGCGTTCCTCTTCCAGCGCTCGAAGAAGTGGGAACCTTGGAGCAGGTTTTCGAAGTTTGGCCACTTGCAACTGGCAACGGTATATGTAGCTTGCAATTCTTCCTGGCTTCTAGCTTGTAGTGTTCCGGGCCGTTACCCGGTGTGACTTGAGGCTCTGTCCCTGGTGATTTAAGCTCTTTGCTGATGACTGGAAGGACGTTTTCCGACGACGAGAATTCTTGCGACTCTTTGGTTATTCTGCAAACTTTGAGCTCCGAAGGTTTCCTGAGTCCCCCCCTGCACGGTCCGCTCGGTCTAGAGAAGGTTCCCCCGCCTTGAGAGGGACTGCTTTGTGTGGCTGAAGCACTCGATGAGTCGCCCGGTGCAGCAGAGGAAGCAGCCGCCGCGGTAGAATGAGTCTCTGTTCCGCATTCGGAAGCCTTGACTTCAGCTGCATCATCGATATCACGATCGATGATGATTCCCGCAGGAACTTCTCGGTCATTCTCCATGAGGACTTCCGCATCTCGGAGTTTCCTGTCTTCTTTCGTGAAAGTCCCATTCCTCTGTAGAGGGTTCGGCTTCTTCCGGACGAAGGTGCCTGAATCGACTTCGTCGGAGAGCTCAGAGCCTCTCGAGGTTCGGGATGCGTCTTGGCGCGCGGTTTGTGCCAAGTCTCCGTTTACGGTCGGCTCGTCCTTGGACTGCACTTCAGGTGCCAACGCTTCGGCACTGCAAGACCGCTCGAGCATGGATGGCTCTTGTTTCTGAGCGGAACGGTTTCTCGACAAAACGATTTGGTGGAGATCGGTGGAGGCTCGCTGCATCGGGCCGATACCGGCGGTGTATGAAATCGGCCGTATGCTCGTCGTCATCTTTTTCACGCGCCGAACGACCGCGGGATCTCGAACTGGGGACACGGACGAAGGCCTGCAGCTACTCGGTAGTTGTGCTTCGAACCGCCGCCGGGTCGCCTTAGGATCTTCTAAATCGATTACGGGCCCGATAACAGGAGAGTCTGGCAAATTCGCGGGGGCGGCCTTACAGTCGAAAATAGCTGAATCTATCTTATACTTCCGATCGCTCGGGCGCGATTCCGCATTCTTCGTGAGGGGATTCACTGGACTGAGATCGAACACGGCGGAATCTTCGGAGCAGGGGCTCTCAATCATGTGGCCGGGTATCGTTGCGGAAGCCAGTCTCGGGGCCGGTTTATCTTCGTGTTTCGGTGGGAAAGTTCCGTTCAGAAGTACGAATTTAAGTTCATCGCTGAGCTGAGGCTCCGCCATATTCCTGCTGTTCCTCTTCCTCTTCTTTTTGGCACCTGGGTCAACGTTGCAAGGGAACTCTCCCGCTATCTCTGATACGACCGCGGTTTTCGGCGCTTCGACGCTGGGTTCACAGGACAAGCGGTTCTCACGCTCCGTCTTTGTTCCCATGACGTTCTCACAACCGTCAACGTTATCAGCACCATCGACAGCTTGCTCACTCAGGTGGGCAGTGATCTCGTTTGGAGTTGTAATTTGCTCTGAAGATGAGTAGCCGGCTCGTGATCGGAAGCTGGGCAAGGTCGAACTCCGGCGGATGACCACAACGTCAGGATCTTCTTCGTCATCGTCCACAACAGGCTCCGTGGCGCCGCAGTTGTCTTGCGACGAGGACCACTCGGAATTATTGTGACAAGCGTGCGAGGATGTCATGTCCATGGGCACCGAAGCCCACTGCGACATGAAACTAGTCGTGGCTGCGTCATTAGTGGGTTCGACGAACGAAGTAACAATATCCGATTGCACGGAAGGCCACTGGGAGAGGTTTTCGGCAGAGAAGACACCGTCGGGCTCATCCTGTGGGCTCTCAGGGTCACCCTTGCGTATAACATCGACATGAGCGACACTCGGTGGCAAGTTTGATCCGGCTTTACGATTTTTATCTCTCGTTGAGAAGCGGAACAAACGGGAAAAGAAAGGTGGTGGCTTGTTCAGTGATGGCGAACCAGGACAATCGAGTAGAGTGTTGCCACTGCTGCTTCCGTTGAAGAAACCCTGTCCGTTTTGCAGGGGCTGCTGGTTCGCCGAAGAGGATTTGGCCACCGCTTGTCGAAAAGACCATGTTCTACGCAGAGTGGGAATCCTCTGATCGTCGAGGAGGAGAAACGATTCGGGTCGAAGGTCGCCGTCGCGTGAAGTGTACCCAGGGTGCCTCAGCGATAGAGATCTTGCGAAAGGTGGCGGCAGGTCATCGACCAGAGCTGCGGGTGGGGAAACATCTCCCGAGTACCTCCCGAACTTTCGCTTGATTCTTTTTCTCCACGAACTCATTTTATTGCCATTGTTCTCCGTCTGTCTTCCGGACTGCTGCCTCATACGGCGATCACGCAGTACGTCCCGTGGAGCTCAGTCAAACACCTGCAACAAAGTCTGATTGAAGTAAAGCTCCCGAATATTGAACCAAGGAACCGTCCGAGCGAGGTCTTTCATGCGATCGTCGACGTCGCCGTAGTCGAGCAGTGGAGGTGAAAGCTTTGCTCGTGTGATCTCGACTCCTCAAGAGCTCCCGGCGCCATTCGCCGGAATGATCTCGGGAAAGTTTGTCTTCCGTGAAAATTCCGATTTCGGGCTCATTCGTTGAAACTTCCGATGTCCGACGGACGAGACACTTTGACAAGCGGGCCTGATCTTATCGCGAATTCTTGAACGAAATTGACCACGCGAAACGAATCTGGTTCCACCTGCTTTGATTCTCGCTTCCGAAATCGAAGAAGCGAGATGGAACGAGGAGCGGAAGCTCTGAAGATTCGGGAAGGCGAGCTTGCATCGAAGTCCAGTACCTCCCGTGGATCATACTCGAATTTGTTCAAAATGGTAACTACTTTCCGAAAATTGATTCCCTGCTTCGGAACGAACAGAAAGCAGGCGGCTGGAGATGTACCGGAGCCTTCCCCTGCATCGGAAGACGTTCAGCGAGCTAGAAGCTGTTATAATTCAGAAATCTCGACGACTTGCTCTCCTCCTTAAGGTGACATATACCAAAAAAGAGCGGACGTAAAACGAGTTGAGTCTTCGAATTCCAACATCGGAGGATTCGACCGACGAGATCTCAGAAGAGCATCGCTCGAGAGCGCGAACATACCACGAACCCTCCGAGAGTAGCCTGTTCCCTATGCAACAAGCCCTCTCACGGAAAGTTCCGAATTGGATGGAAGCCTCCCTCCAAGGTTTGTTCATGATATACTTTTCCAGTAGTGAGTCGGCCGAGCGCTCCACGAAAAAAATCACGACCTCGAAGTCACCTCTGAGTCTCCGTAGCCCACGCGGGATTTTCGCACAGCTCGAAGAGGGGTCATGCCGGAAAGTTCGAATCAAAAAGAGGCTCCTCTCCAATGGAAGCCCCCAAGTAGTTTAGTCAGGGAGTTCGGGCGTGTATTGAAGAACCCGCGGCTTATGAAGGCTTTATGAAGTCCTTGATCACCGGGGATATCCTGCAATGAGACTTGCAGGCCAAGAGAGCAGCAAGCGGTGTTCGCGAAAAACCCAGTGAACCAGCGCTGCGAGCGTCCGTCACCTCAGAAAGCTGCTGAACATTGGATCACGAGCGAGGAGCAACGTGACAGCGCGGTGGAGTGCTCAGCTCAATTTCAGTACCGTTGATTAGGCAGCCAAGTCATTTCAGCGAGCCACAAAATTGGTGAAAGGAAAGAGCAGGAGCCAGAAAGAAAACGGTAAAGATAAATCGGACGTAAAAATAAAAAGCGAGAAAGGTCTAAGGATAAGAGGTCGACTGAAATTCTCCGAGGCACCGGCTCGTGAGCTCGTGAGCGAGCACGACTGACTGACTCACTCAGATGCGACTTGAAAAAGTCCCAAACAGCTAGCGGCTCCCGTATACATATGTATGTGCCCAACATGTGTATGTGCGTTTGTACATCCCTTGAATACCACAGAGGGAGCGGTGAGGTATGGAGGGATGGGTCGTACCAGCGGGAACAAGTACTGAAAATCGGGGTGAATGGCTCGCGATGAGCGATCATACGACAAGAGTTTTCTACGCTGTGCGCAGCTTTGTCCACGCCTTCATGTCGCCGGCCTTATTGTAATGAGGACGGCGACCACTTCGAAACCAGTACACGTGAATAATGGTCGGGGCTTTGAGCCGACTGTCCGGATGACGGACAAGCGATCGGGCTAGGTAGCTTGCCGGCTCGTTCTGTCGAAAGACACCACTCTCACTGTCTATGAAGATATGGCCGCATTGTACTAGACCGTTCACCCTATCTTTCAAGGGAAACATTGGATTGAACTCTTCTATCGCGGTGCCTTTATTGCTGTTGGCGGCAGCAGCATCGGCGGCGGTGGTGGTAGAAGTGCTGCTGGCGGCTCTTGCAAAGTATGTGGTACCATAGGTGGTGACCGACTGAGGAATCACCCGCGTAAGCCCAAATGATTTTCAGGAGTATCCCCTCATTAATGCTGGCTATGTCCGTACGATGTGGGATCGCTTGTATTTCGCATTGTACGGTGAGGAGCAGCGACCCATGAGGCAGTCATTCGGTGCCGCCGCACCGACCGGTCGGGCCGGCTCATGAGAAAAAAAGGGAAAAAAAAGACAGGGCAAACCGCTCAGTTTCCGGAGTCGGCTACGCGGCTCTATGCTGACAAAGCGACGAGCCGGCAACCAATAACACGATACAGCTTCACAGACGCACACGAATATAACGCGGCGTACGTACGTCGGTCGTAAGCATTCCCGAAACTCCGTAGGTTGACTACAATGACGGCGACGACTACGACAACCGCGACGACGACGACGCAATCAGACTCCCCCGGACGGCTTCAACATCATTACAAGCATGGCCTGTCTCGTTCGACGCGGCACTTTCATCGACATTTCACAGTCTGGTAGAATCCTCTGACCCGTTCCAGGATCATTGGATCGAGGTCAGAGAGAGCTGGCCATTGGAGTTTCTTTTGATTCTACTGACCTGAACTGGGAATCGTTGACAGTCGAACGCAGCAAGTCGAGAGGTTGTTGGTTGCGAAGTTTTCCTTTTATTGGTCATCCATGTGGGTGAAGCGCGGCTCACTGTGCTCAGTCGGTGGCTCTACGAGCTTGCCATCCGTTGGACCTTCCCCAAGGGGAAGCGCGCTCAAAACCGATTTTTTCTCTCGATGGATCAATTCCTCTTCGCGACGTGCTCCGTACGTATTGTGTCGATGAGGTAAAATCCCGGGTCTCGAAGTATATTCCAGAGGTCAACACACGCTCGACGGGTACACTCTTCGTCATCCAGCGGCATCCATAGCTGCACTTTCAGCGGCACCAGCTGCACCAAAAAAACACAAAATAGACCGACTCGGAGGCGGCACCACGCGCACGACGTCGAACCAGCTGCACGAGTGACGGGAGCTCCAGGGACTTCGAGCTTCGGGACTTAAACGATCGAGCGAATGGCAGTCCACGATGGTTCAATGCAGAACGGTGGCAACTCAATACCCGGAACGAACAGGCAGGCAGCTGCCATCGATTGGAACTTCTCTTCTACGAAGCAGTGCAGAATTTCACGCTGATCCTTCGCTGCCTGTTGCTGCCTGCTGCTGCCAACCGACCTACCGACCGAGCAGCGAACCAGGCAGGCAGTCAGTCAGTCAGTCAGCTCACCACCAGCCTCCAGCCCGATGCTGGTGAAACGAATGGATGGATTCGTCGTCAGCACCAACAACTAGAAGCAGCTCTAACTCTCCGTCTGCCAACCAGCCAGCAGCCCCTCACTGGTAGTTGTGACGGTCGCCTGTAGCTCTACCAGTGGTGCTCTGCGCTTGCTCGCTGGCTCAGGCCGGACAGCTCACCCGTTCGCCCGTCCGTTGCCGGTTTGTGCGATCGCTGCTCGCTTGTCTGATCGCTCGCTCGCTTCCTTGGTCCGTCGGGCCAAGAAAACATCAACAACAACTCCGTTGGAAACATTTGCTCGCCGCTAGATGTCGCGCATGTCGTGGCGGTAGCGGCCGCGGCACCCTCTAAAACGGGCATTTATTAAGACCGACGGGGCGCTGTACAATAGAGGCGCTCGGCCTTGAAGAAGTACCTCCTTTTCACGAGTTTCTCCGAAACGATGTGACGTTATTTCCTCGTTAGCGAGATCCCCCCGCGAGTACCGCGATTGGATATCGAAACTGCGCAAATCACGCGAATTGTCATGCAGGAATCGAGCTGATGGAGAAAAACGTCTTATGCAACAAGGGCATAGCGATTCCGGAGAGCCTCCTCAATAACTGGGCCGTTATCGGACTCATATCGATGTTCTTACCGCTCAAGGAAATTCAATTCGTTTCCGGCTTCCCTCGATAGAACTTTGAGCGTGGTCAATAACGTTGCGAACCTTGAACGAGCCACTGGAATTCTCGCTCCAAAGCTCCTCGTATCGGAACACGGTAGATCGCCCGTCAGCATCCCAGCGATTCTCGGCTCTGAAGCTCTGGTGACCTTGGAGGTCCAAAGTCCGAGGCCGGACACGAGCCCGATTATCAGATCGATGAGTGTATGACGAACCCCGAAAAGCTGATCTTACTATTCGAGAGTTCGTTGCGATCGATTCTGAGGAGTCTCCGGAAAATGCGCGATCCGAACAGCCGGATATCGGCCTGTAGAAGCTGAAACCAGGAAGGGGGAGGATCGCGAGTTGCTCCCACTCTGACGACCACGGATCATCGAGAATCTCGATGAAAACTCTCGCGGAGCCGGAATCAGTCGGAAGCGCAGAGATTGGCATGAATGATATAAGACATCTTGTGTCCAACATCAAGTCCGATGTCGGTCTCGTCCAGAAAGTCTGGACCCATCTTCTGGTCTCATCAATCCTGTTTGCGAATACCCGTCGCCCGATGGCAGCTCTTCGGTGCCATGAGCCGCGAGGATTCGGTTTCTGAGAGGCAGAAAAATGCCAATTCATGCGGAATCGAAAATAATGCCAATGCGGAACGCAGCTGGAGTTTTCGTTGAGCCTCGCCCTAGTGTCGCTATTGGCACAATAACGCCGTCGTCGCCTCGACTCCGTTCTCAGTCAGACATGGTGGCGGCAACGTGCGGTTGTGGAAGTATGTTAAACGCCTCACGCATTGCTTAAGTGGAACGAAAGCTACACGGATATCATCATCAGTCGTAGCGGCAGTCGCATGATCATGACAAGAAATCCATCGTGACTTGCGGGGGCGGTGGAAGCGCTGATGCCACAAAGCGGTCCGATGCCCGCGACGGTCATACGCCTTTAACCGGTCGAAGTCTCGCTAAATTGAACCATTGAGTTTTGAAAGCCGCGCATTAAAAGGTAATTTCCAGTGGAGCGAGTCGGCCTCATCGGATTACGGTTCCGCGCTTCCACGCGTTGTGATTATAGCTGACCGAATCAACGATCCGGCTTGACAGTGACCGGCGGAACGATTCTCCAAGAATCTAGTCCGTGCAGTCGATGTTCGATGACAGACCACCAGAGAAGAGTCACCGATCTGAATCGTTCCGAGGGTGAGGATTTCTACGGACATCATTTTTTTTTTAGAGAGGCTCGCCAATGAAGTGAGTTCGGTTCTACTATCGGTGATTTGCGCGTGACTCGGGGAACCTATCCCTTTAGGGTCTCATAATATACTCCACTCGCGTAAGGCTCAAGACTGACCTAAAAAACAGCTCGGCTTCTCCACAGCGGTAAATATTCCGAAACATTCTGCTGACACGGGGTTTCACTCGGTCTCCTCGCAGCTCGCAGTCAGCTAATTGTGAGTCTCGTGATGGGCTCTCTGCGAGCGAATATTTTCCACAGAAGGCTATAAATTTCCCGCCTTCGACCTTCGAAGGAGACATGTGACGCTTCGGAGTCTATTTTCCAACTTCCCGTCTATCACCCGGGAGCGTTGCGAGCTCTGAGATGTCAAGATTTTCTGCCTCCCCCCTCCTATCCGGGGGGGAATTAGATCAGATTTCCGCATAGGGCTCAAATCCGATGTGGCGACATCTCTTATGCCGTACAATCAATAGCATCACGAAAAAACAATCTGGGAGGGGGTTATGGCCCTCCCGCCCCCCTCCCCCCTGCGGACGCGCCTGCCGTTATCGTATCGGGTCGGATCGATAGTCAGATTCGATCGGTGATAATGGGCGAATGGTGTTTCTGGCGTGGGAGGCGAATCGCTGTCAGAACCGATTTGATTTCAACCCCGATATGCAACGACCACGGCGAGAATCTTGAGGGCTTGTGCAAATATATGGACTCGATTCCGAGGGCTGGGTATTCGAAGCAGCGCCCGCAGAGAGTCCTAGAGGTTCCAATTCCGAGCCGCTCCGCTAATATTGAGAGCGTAAATCCGAAGGCTCCGTCCGCGGCGGGGTGGTCCATTGAGAAAGAATATTGAAGCTCCTTCTTGACCGCATTCTCGTAGCCTCTCGAAAACGATGCGTTTCGTTTCTCCACATGTTCAGTGACATGTGGAGAATATGTGGAGTGACATGACGAGCCGGAATATCGCCGACCCAGTCGCGCAGAGAAGTTAGTGCGAACTTACCTTGATTGGGATTCTTGATTTGGCTTCCGCTCTTTTGGTTCACTTGGATCGGGAGTGTCTCTAGGGGCTTTTGTTTTCCCACCTTGTAGGAAGCTCGGCCATCTGGAATAGATTGTACGTCGCTTCACTCGCGGCAATTCGAAAGCTATACTTAGTCTAGAGTTATTCGACTATAATTAGTCGCATCGAGGAACCCGGCCAAGCGACTGCCGTACCGAATTGTTCCCCCGTATGCCTGACCCTCCGAATTCTCGTCAAGCATACAGGGAGAAATCTGGGAGCTGTCTCTCAATCTTCCGTGATATCAAGGAACACAGGGTATCCCTTTATGACGCCTACATATGTATTCCTCGAGCGAAGCGAGCAAATTATCCGGTAGATAGGTCTTCTAACTACTTTCCGAACTCCTCTTCGAGGCTTCAGCTATTGTTCGGATCCTCGAAGTTCGTATGCGAAGCGATGTAGTTACCGACCGAGTCAGGCCCACTGAAGGTAATCCGGCCGCAAAAATTCTTCAGCATCATTTTCACTGAGTGGAAGGCGGCTGCCCCTCAGCCCGCGCGTTCAGCAAAGGGGTGCTTTATCAGTTTCCGGAGACGCAATAAGATCCGCGGATTAATTCCAAAGAAGACTGTCTCCAATCAGGATCAGATGAGGAGCTACCTTTCGCTGGTGTGTTTCGGTACGCTCGCCTAGACTCGTTCCAGCTGCTGTTTTCATGAGCGACGGGGGTTCTCTTGCGTTCGCTGCCATCACGATCCTTGCCTCGATTTGATCTCCTCTTCTGCATGAATTCCACGAACAATTTCATGGAATCGATGGCACGCGCGAATTTCGTCATCATTCTTTATGCACAGAGGAGCAGGGATCACGAAATCCGACGAAATCAGATTAAATCGTTCCGGGGCCAACTTTTTCACGCTTCCTGTCACTTCATTGTACAACTGAGGTGAGTCCGAGATTTCTCTTGTCCGGCCAGCGACCTGTCTTCTATTTCCTGATGTGGTCTCTGCGCTTAGTGCCACTAGTTCACTGTGAGCTACACTGCCACCGGCTCATTCGGCTCTTCATCTTCTCCCTCAAGAAAAGAACAGCAACCACCACCGGGGCTTTCCATATGTGAGGATTCAGACTCTAACGGGGTTTCGACTATGCGAGGAGGAACCGGGCCAACGGTTGACGAATTCGAATCGCGGCGTAATTAGCAGCATAACGTCACAGCACAGCCGCCGGACGATGGATCGCGGGACCCCGGGGTTCGTCCGCTTGATTATTATCGAATTAGGCGAAAGATCTAATTGTGAGATTCTCGCTAATTGAATCACGGACAGTAGAGTATCGGCTTCCGGAAGCTCCCCTAGGTCAAGGTGAAGGGATCCATTGCCCGAGCGATTCTCCGGAGAGAGCTCGCTCCTAAACTGCTCTACCCTCGATGATTGGCTCCCCTGCTCAAATCTTGGGTATTACCCACTTCGTTGAGAATCGGGCGCTGCTCTTAACTCGCTCAGTCAGCCTGATAGGCGTTCATCATTCGCCGGACAACGAGAGTGAAACTCATTCATCTCCGTCTCGGGGAACCGAGGATACTATGGTAGTGAGAGGGTAGGATGTCTCACTCTGACTCACCCAGAGGTTTTTTCGGCACTGCGTCTTTGTGCTTCGTGAGATTTTCTCGGAGCTTTGACGTCCGACTGGCAGCCGGGAAATTCGTCGAATACTGGAGGTTCCTGACAATTCTCTCACCGCTCTGCGGAAAAAAAAATTGATAAATTCCTCGAACAATTCAAGATGATGGTCTGATCACTGAAGCCATGGTCGATGGACGGCCATCTCATAACGATGGTCATCTTGCCTTGACCGATATTTCCGCTCTCCGATGATATCGTCTGATGAGAAACATGCCTTTTTCCTACTGCCTGTATTCGGTGGAGCTATCAAAGTTCTGCCCGAATCCGGACAGCTTGTTTCATGTCTTTGATTGAGAGGAGCTGCGTTTCTGACTGCGAGCGTTCTGAGCTGAAAAAGCACGCTTGTTAGAACTCTTCCTTGTGGGGTGGTCAGAAAGCATCGCGGCAGAACACGAAAGTCCAGCATTGGCTGATGTTTGTGGCAAAATTTCTTCTCCGATCCAGTGAATTTCACTGAATATTACAATCGATCGATGAATATCGTTTCACCTCGCTGTTTTTTTCGATATGCACTCTGTTCGAAAGCTTCTGAGTCGGCATCTTCCGAACGCCGGTGCCGTCCCGGGGACCTGTGCGCTCCATCGGCATTGAGCAGTAGGCGTCGTATATCCTCTGGAATAAAATCATCGTCAAATGGTTATTGAAGGATATCTGACTGAAGGTGCGGAAAGGGTCACGAGGAGCTTGAGGCCGCGCTCACAGATTTGATCGTTCGCTCTTGCGTACGCCCGCAACGCGGAATTGTACTCATGTCTGAAAAGCCTTCCGGAGAAGCACGTGAGCAGCGAAGGGTCTCCTCGAACTTCTCCCGGGCTATCGAGGCCGCTTCAAAGCATAGATCGTTTTCTATGCGGAGCACAACGGATCCAACACTGAACACAATGAACGGCTGACGAGCTGGCTATTAGGTCTCGTTGTTCTGTAACGTCTCAGTACCACAGAGGAACACAGGTCGTGGTTGTGAGAAAAGCGTAATAACTCTCTCTCGAAGCCTCCTCCGCTTAAATTAATCCATGTCAACATCATCAATATCAAGGGATATCCTCGCCGCGATATCAGTATCGGGGGAAGTTTCTGCGAAAACAATGGATCATCTAGTATCGCGATCAGAGTTCGGAATTATACACGAAAATTCATACAATGACACCACTTAGGACTTTAATGCGCAATCTGAACGCTGAAGAGGACGACGACCTGTGGCTCCTTTCTGAGCTGACATACGATTTCGGTTGTTCTCCAACTACGATGCAGAGATCGTTCCGCAAAGCATGTTCTCTCGGAAGCGATCGTCCTGGCTGAGGACGGTCTCCCCTTGAACGATGGAATTCCACTCACCCCGAACTCGCGCTCGTTGATCAGATTCCACACATCGAGCTCACTCAACTTGGACTCTTGAAGGAACTCGACCAGACAGCTCCGTGAGTTCAAGGAGGTGGGCTCAGAGTCTAGACTGTCGAGGCTGTTTTCGTTCACGATCACCGTCTCGATGAACCGGCTCACCGGGAAGACCTGAGAGGATTAGCGGCAATCGAGCCCGTAATTATCGTACATTTCTCAATGGGAGACAGCTGTGATGTGACAACAGTCGCCAGTATGCAGACATTTCGATTCAAATCTCATGTCACTGTCGTGTTCGATACACGCGCGGCGCGTGCTCCTGCCCACCAATGTACCGAGAAACGACCGCACGATGAGAGGATCGGGAAGCTTACCTTATACGATGGCACGTAGATTCCATGATTGTTCTTGCATTGGAAATACCGTACGCCGTATTTTTCACCATTGTGTCGACCTTCAGGTTTGTCTAGCTCCACTCCACACCAAATACCGGCGGCGAAACGAATCTCTCCAAGGTAGCGGACAGTTCCCATCTTCCCACCCTGCAAAAGTTTTTCCGAATCGAAAATTAATGGGCGAATGCCTTCACTGCGCTTCCCAATACTACGGAGCTTGGGTGCGACAGAGTTCACTTCCATTCACTTGAGACTAGAGAGAATCCACCGGAACGCGATGGGAGCATGGGAGCGTCGCTGCTTTTTGCAATATAAATCAGGATCGCTTTCCTCGGAAGCGGCGCAGCGTCAGGATCCGAGAGGGAATGAGGATTTGCATAGGGCATGAAAGTCGATGAAAAATGGCAATACTCACTTTGACGACCACTCGTGTACCAACATCCAAATCAGAACGCGATTTCCGAGTGAAAGTTCTACCCTTGCGAAGTTTCTGAGGCTGCGGCCGTTGCACGTTCTCGGTGAGTATTTTCGAAGGTCTCAGAGGGACGGGTCGGAGAATCATCATCATTAGAGCCTACAAGGAGAGAAGAGTTTTTTCTTGCCTCACGGTTTGCACAGGTGGATCAGCCATGTTCTTGTGATGAGTACTTTCTGGGAGAATTCCTTCCCCATGTCCGCGAAGATTTTCAGTACGTCCAAAAACGTGGCCCCCATAGAATTGCACATAGCAGCCGAATGTCGATTCCGCCACCATGATGTGCATGATCGAATAAAACTGGTTTGAGACTGTTCGAGAATTCTCAATGTCATTTGCACAGGACATGATGGAAAACTCTCATGGAAAATCGGAAACAAGATCCTCGTCTTCTAGTGCAGATACCTACCATCGGAGCCGTCTGCGTACCCATTTCGGAGACCCCGACAATGAAAGCACATCTTTCGCTTTTTTTTCTGATCCCCACCCACGATTCCGGAACTTATAACTACCGTCCCGAGAACTTAAGTAACACGATGTTCCTCCCTGTCGGAGGAGGAATGTAGCGGTCGAAGCACCGCCGGTGGAGAAGTCTATCCGATAGATGTGCTCCCTTACTCACGGGCGCTCTCAACCTGAGAATTCCTTCTACTCCGCTCGCGAGATCTCGACCCTCCCCACAAACATCAGCTCCTTCGACTTTACCCCTAGCCCTATCGTACCTGGTCTTCCGGTGAGATTCCAACCACCGCTCACTGGATCCTTGGGAGCGAGGTATTCGCCATCACCCGAGAACTTATGAGTGAATTAAGAGTCCTGACTCCAGAGCTTTATCGAAAGACTTATAGATTATCTTTTTTCCAAGACTGTCGAGGATCCCCTGCTAGATGCTCAGAGTTCTCCCGGGAATTTTCGCCGAAACGCGCACTTAGCGGTGTGCTACTGGGGAAATTCCAGCCGACATTGATCCTTCCTCTTGATCGCTCTCTGCCGCGTTTTCCATAGCGCTCCAATGCTCTCCCTCCTCAACACAAAAACGGGGGAAGTTTGAAGTTCCCAGGCAGAAGCTCTCGAAAAGAACCTGGTACGAAATCCTAGTCGGCTCTACACGGAGGATGAGACAGGGAGAAACGGAGACTGGTTCGTGTTTTCTGACGCGAAATATCGTGAAAAAGCGGTGGGGAAACGATTCCATGCTTCTCGACCTTGGCTGCTTCGCTTGCCAATTTAAGACGCCAAAGAAGTATTTGCTCGTACACCTGTTCGTATTCGTCAGGTGGCTCGTGTCCGAGCAGGACATCGTTCTCGGTGACTTCTTTACAAAGAAGTTCCCCGAAACCACAAGCTCATCCGGGACTATCTCACCATAGCATCTACTCAGGGTGGATCGGTTTATCGCTGATAACGGTTGCGATGCCTCTTGCGCCCAGCCAGACTGGGAGAGAAAAACTCTAGCGGCGACTCGCCGACATATGTAGATCTGTTTTTCCAACCATTATCGAACTGATCTTGATCATGATTGATGACGGCGAATGAGCATTCCGAATTCGTGAGTTTTTACATCCGAAGTAAAAACGTACGGAACTCATTGAATCCCGGGGCGACGGGGCGCACCGATAAGACAATCGAGGCATCTTTCGAATCGTGGATCGTGAACGTTTCACAAAGTAATCAAGAATTTGAAGGGCGTACGATTCTCGAGGGCTTCGGAACTAAGTTTGGGAGAGAAAAAATGCTCCGCCGACCGCTCATTGCTCCCTGTGAAAGCCCGCGCCGGCGGCCACACCGGTACCGCTCAGAGTCGTGCCCCTGCATAAAATCGCATCGCTTGCTTCTCCATGAACCAGAATGCTCAGGTGTCCCATGTTGTTTATCTCACTTTCTCGGGTCAACTATCCACTTTCTTTGGGGGCCGGAGCTACACGCGCAGCGGGGCAATACAATACGAGCCAGACTTGTTTCTTGTCCAGCTCTTCTATCCGACTAGATATATTGTCAAAACTTTTCCGAATCCTGTCCACTGCCGCGAAGTAGACTGGAGTCGCTCATTGCTCGCTCGCGCACCGGCCCGCCCGTGAATCACTCGAGATTTCCGGGTGGAAGCTTCTACTGCCGCAACCACTACAACGACTATGAGCCGTGATGTATTTCCAAATCACTTGGGAACGATACTTTCTGTCCGTATGCGTCTGAGTAGTGAGGAGGTACTCGCAGAGAGCTGAATTCATTTACATGCATTTAATCCTCCATTAGGATTGAGCCGCGTGACCGGCTAGCGCGTTCCCCGGGAATTAATTCATTTTCTGCTCAATGCTCGCTTCTTATTTGTGGAACGTCTCGGATATCAGAAATCTAGGATGTTGTGAGTAAGGTGCGGAGGGACGACTAGGGAAATCCGAAACCGCACCGAGGAAAACGTATGGGCAGAGCGCGATGTCTCCTGTCGGCTGATTTCTGAATCGATCCTCGCCTCTGGAAGCCAGAACACTCGTGAGGAGCTCTGGCCCAGGAATATTCGATATTGTGAGATGGAGACTCTTGACTGCGGAGAAATCAAGTTCGCAGGAGGACTTCTCTCGATTTCTCGGAGTCGAATGAACGATCTGGTGCTACTTCCGTACTGATTGAACAGCTGACATCGCCCTTTTGAGAGCCCGGCTGATCATTTGCATGGCGCACTCGCGGAAAGTCTGCGGATCTACGGGAGACAGCTCGCGAGCCCATGTTCGAGCATACCGTCGAAATTCGGCAAAATCCCGACCGCACATCATGAGCGTCATCTAACGGGACGTTGTGGGTGCTCGTCATGTGATTACTGACTACCAACCTGTGAGCTGGGACACCGCGTTTAAGCCTGGAAAAGACCCGAACTTTTGAGAGCCGAACTTGCTCCAACCACGCACACGAAACAAAGCCCACGGAAGAGCGACGATTTGGGTTACATCCAGTCGGTGCACATTACAATCCAGAGTCCACGAACGTTGGATGACACTGGGTTGTCCGACGAACAGTGCTTGTTATTCTCTTTGGACGGCCTTTGCCTCAGCCCGCTCCGCCATCCGAAGTGTGTGGCATAAGGTGCTGCTGCTGCTCAACAGTCTGCCTGCGAATGGCACCGAACCTCCCTTACCCAGCCGCGCTTCGCACGGAACTATTCCTATGCAAAATCGAATCGTCTATGGCTCCATCCATGGCAAGGTTCCGCTATCGGAGTCACCTTCCGACTGCTGACAAGGTTCCCTTCAATCGGGATAGGAATGAGTTCCAGGTGTCCGAGAAGTCCTCCGGAACTTCTTGGATTGACCTCGGGTCGGCGAAGGCGATGACACGGGGGGACAACTCGATTCAGCATTCAGAAAGAACTGCTCGGATTTTTCTCAGCCCCAACGCACCGCCCAGTGATGGTAGATCAAGTCTTATATCGAGTTATGACGGCGAATACCAAGGAGTTGTTACTCGCTGGTCGATCCAAGGGCCCGAGACGCGTAACACTGCTTTCATTAAGATAATCTTCACAGTTTCTTCATCGAGCCCTGTGTTGCTTTTTTGGGGCTTCGATGGTGGACAGCTTATCTTTGGGTATTCTTTTTACCACGCTGCTTCTCCAGTCGCACCAGCCTCATTCCCCAGCGAGGTTTGTACCAACAACGCGGCGTCCCCTGTATCGCACCTGGAGCAACCGATTCTGGAGGTCGATTTCCGAGTACACGTCGAATTATGAGTTCTTGGGCAGCGTGGGCAATTTGATCAAGGTCTCGGTGAAATTCAAAGCTTCGAGAACGCGATCGGTGTCGAGGGAAGCATCCATCGCTCCTGATCTGAGGTCTCGATTACTTTGTGATGCTTCAGTGACTGTGGAAAATACGATTACGATCCCTGAGATTGTCCAATTCCTGTGAGTATCGATGGCGGTCCCCTCCTGACAGGCGCATCCGATCTACGCTCGCAGGCAGAAATCACAGGAAACATTCTACTTGGTGAGAGAAAGAGCTGATGGTGTCTCTCCTGTTCGAGCGCCATCACCGTCGATCACTGGAACAGGTCTGGAGAAACTCCCTGGAGAGACAAGAGGAATACACCATTGAGTTCTCCAGCGATTCCGAGTCTTCTGTTGGGTCCTATCGGAATGGCAACCACTGGAGGACGACCGGATGATTCGTCAACGGGGCATTCTAACGAAGTCGAAACCTTGGTGGGTGAACGGATCCCCGTTATATTGTGTTCCCCCAGAAACCAGGAACCGCGACTATATCAGTCCTGGAGTCCTTTTGATGTGATTCATTGATGGGGCTCAGCTTGAGTCTGTGTAAGTGCGCTCTGAAGAGTGAATCTTCTTTTTTTAGCAGAGGGAGTACGAGTGGCTGCTCAAGTTCGAAGTGAATGACATTGTGGAGCAACTCCAAGGCGTAATCGCGGTGAGTTGATTGCTACAATGCTAGGTCGCGTGCCACATGCGAAACATGTACTTCGAGACAAAAGTCAGCCAGCGGGCTTTTCTGATGTCATTTCCCCGTGTACGATCTGTCATTCCGGATACGGAGCCCTTAAAGTGATCAGTGATCACCTTTTGAATGAAAGAGGTCTGGTTCTCCGCAGGAATGTTCCAAGAGATTCCCCCTCTCAATCCCGGGCCACCATCAAACAGATGCGAGATCTGACAAATTCGTAATGCAGAACACAATGTAAGCTCTTTCACAATAAGATCGGGAAACGTATAGATACATGCAAAAGTATCTTCGGCTGCTTTATAGGTACGAATGTAGGACTTAAACCATGGATCATCCATTGTGGCGCTCAATTCCACGCGATCCCGCTATTCCGCGGGAATATCCGCCAGCCGGGACCCTTCGATTTCTCCTTTTAACGGTACCCCTTCCCCGCAGCGCGACATCGGCAGATCAAATAAAAGTTGTTGCTACTCTGACCGGTGACTCGATTAGTCATGCTGACATAACGTTGAGGCTCCCGAAACACGCCCAGCCTAGTCAACGCACCATCGTGCAAAACGACGCTCAATGGAAACTCCAACAGATTCAAGATGCGGGCAACCACCTCATGCAAGCGATGAATCTTTTGAATCCGAATCGAGTTGGAGGTAAATTCGAGTTCATATCCGGTCAGGAGGTAAGTGCCGATCATTCCCTCTGGATACTCCTCCAAGGATTCATGGACCACTTCGGCCTTGTCGATGAACCTTCCAGCTCTAGCTTACGAGATTTGATTTCTTTCCAGGTTCGGAATCTCATGGCGGCCGTCATGGGCTGCTTGGGTCGAGGGCGAGCCTGCCTTGTCGTACCTAAGAAACGGACCATTGAGGATATAATGCAAGGTCGAAACATGGTACGTAAAAATGTATTTTCCCCATTTCGTGCTTTGCGCAGTCTCTCAACTATTGCGTCGAGGCTCATGTGTCCGACGTGTCTCAGGTCGGAACTCGTGTCATGGATCTCTTAACGATCCCGTCCCTCTCTTGCAGAAATCCCTGCAGCCCCCCTACCGAACGACGTAGCTGTGAGCTTCTACGTACAGAGTTACAAGCTGGTGTTCGCGGTTTATCACGTACAAAAAGATTCACATGGTCAACAGAAATTCGACGTCTTACAGGTGAGCTCTCTATAGCCTTCTCCGAATCATGAGAGATAGAGTGGAGGAGTAATCGATATTCTAGGCAATCACTGATAATTAACTAATGAACGATATTTTCGATCAGGCCGAATGCTCTGTCCCGTGGTTGAGTGAAGCTCTCGTATTGTTCACCGTAGCGTTGCAGCTCTGTCAACAACTAAAAGACAAGGTGATTTCCGTGGTGAATTGAGGCGGCTGTGTCATCCACGTGGACCCTCCCGATCTGTGAACGTCGTACATTCTGATTTCAGGTGGAAGTTTTCAACCAATTCAACGATTTCGTGGTTCCTGAGAAGCTCTGAATTCCGAAAGCACGCGTGAACCTGCCGCTCGGCTGGGATATAGTGGAACAGGAGATCGAGGTCGAATCGTAGAGAGCAATATCTAGAACTTGTCGATAGTGAATGATCGTCTCGAAGAGGAGCGAGTAGAGCTGAGCCGAGAAGAGCACTAAGCTTCGGAGGGAGAAATCACCACCACATCCAGGCCATTCCGTCTTTCTGCTGCTAGTCATCTCATTGTTTCCATCGACGCCTTTCCTTAGGAAAGGAAAATGTGTGATTTCACGGAATCGTTCCGTTTTTTGTATACTAACTTTTCGTTGTTATTTAATGAAATCATCTGGTAACGAGCCCGCTGCAAGAGTCCATGGGATGCTGGATGATATCGAAGTTGCTTTCGCTCGCCGTGATTCTCACGAGCGGTGCATTCGGGTGGAGCGTTGTGTGAATCATCAGTCAGAAGTCACCGATATCGCTGGACTTCTGGCACGGCATTGGTTTTCATCCGAATTCCTGGTTTAGTGCGTACCAATAAAGGGCACGTGTGGTGAATCTGATCAATGTTCACTTGGCAGCCATTCCCGATTCGATGAAGGGTCCGGAGGACACCCTATTCAAGCGCTTCTCTTATTTGACGATTGACTGAACCTATCAACGTCTTCTTCACCTCGTTCTGAGCTTGGGCAGTGCTGACTGAACATATTTCCTCGGACCAGTGGGATTGAAGCTCCCTTGACCGAATCGTCTGAAGACGAGGCCCGGAGTGGAATCCCGACCGATCGGGATTCCACCTGAAAAAAATTCAAGTTATCCTGGCGGGGTCGGGTGGGAAGGGCTCCCGATAGAAGCTGAACAACGAGTTTTTGAAAATGCCGACTGGGTTGGATGCTGAAAAATATCCTGGCGCGGAACGCAGACTCCTTTCCAAGCTCGATTCTATTCATTTGGATTCAACGGGAGGGATACAAGGTGCTGGCGCTGCCGAACAACGAAATAGAAAACTCATGTCAACCAATTGCACCCGTCGGACCAGATGTACAGCTCGAAGGTTTTTTGCGAGCCCGCCACGGCTCATGCTGAGGGTGCCCTTCCTATCGTTAAAGCACCCTCCAGAACTTGGCCCCCTCGTCGCGTAGAATTAGGTTTCTTTTCATGAGCTCCTACTTCGTCCTCGCGGGTTAGCTCTTCGAGAGGGGCGAGTCGATGGCGAAAGGAGACCCTCCGGACTCGGTCGCTCGATCCTCCTCGGAATCGTCAATTTTCAGCCTCTTATCCTCTGCCAGAGCGAGTAGCGCATCGCCGCACTCGGTCGACCAGATACCCCGTGAGGATCATCGTCATCATCTCAGTCACAATATCCCGGCGATAAACACTATTATTCTGAGGTGGTTCGCCTTCAGTTCATGACAGCGTTCCCTCATAGTGCGGAACATCGCTCCGGAAAGTTAACTTGAGCATACTTCGCTCTGCTCCGGAAGGACGCCGCTCTTCCATCAAACCTGTGCCAGAGTTCTCGCTGTCAGGACACCGCCACACAATTGGAAACCTCCTTTCTCCTTGCGTTTCCGAACCAGAGAGCGTGATTGAGCGATCGAAATGAGTCGATACATTCTAATGTGTCAAGCCCTCTAGAATGAAATCGTCCCCAAGATATCGCGTGAGTCGGCGATAAACCGAGGAGGGGCCGTTCGACTCGGTTAGCCGGCAGTTGGAGCACGCTCCGGATATCAGGCCGGTTAGACACCTGTGTGTGGGAAGCCGTAAGACTACAGGTTTGACAAATGATCAACATCTGATAAGTCATCGGAATGCTCTCAAATCTCGCAGTGCCCTTTGTGTTGCTGTGGGCAGGCGCTAGAGCTAATCGAGGGGTCCCAGTGTCCGAAGCCTTGCCCGTCGACTTCTTCTGCTTCAGACGGCTGAACGACACTCACCAGTTCGGTTGTTCATCTGACTACAACGGCAATGTAGGCGTGGTTCACGTAGTGCGTGGATCGAAGGATATCGAGTACGTCGAATCCACTGGTCCGCCCACGAAGTACATGGCTTTAATCGACGACGTCGACCTGAGAGTGGACACTCTAGACAGATTTGCGAAATCGAACCGGGTTTCCGGTGTTCTCGTGACTCAGACAAATAAAAAGGCACAGGCGTTCTCCATCGACGATACCTGCCCGAACAGGTATTCCTCATTCTACAAAGGCGAGGAGAGTTGCCAAAAAAACAAAATCGACGGCAATAAGGTGTCTTCGGCCCTCCTCCGAGACTACCCCTTCCCAATTTTCTACGTGAATGAAACATTGACGGAGAAAGTTATCGTTTGTTATAATAAATTCAACAAGGATACAACCCAGAACTCTCTATACGAGAAAAGGAAATGCTCCCTGAAGATGTTCGCCCCCATGAATGCCGCAGTCGACTCGAAAACTTGCTTACGACGAACCCAGCTGCTCTCGTACTTCACCCTGCCCACGCATTTCTGCGATCCCCTCGAGAACAAAAACGTCTTCGCTCTACTCGAAGCATCCGAACCCGCTCAAGAAACAGTAATCATCGCCGCGAGACTTGACTCGTTCTCCTTGTTCAGTGGTCTAGCGCCTGGCGCGGATTCCGCTGTCAGTGGTATCGTATCCTTATTGACTCTCGCCGAAGCTCTGACGAAGGTGAAATCCTCGACGATACGCAACAAGAACATTCTATTCGCTCTCTTCAATGGCGAAGCGTTCGACTACATCGGTTCGTCGAGATGCATTCTCGACTTGACTAACGGAGGCTTCGCGTACAACTTGGGAATGGATAACATAACCAGCATCATAGAGCTCAATCAGCTGTTCCTGACGACTGATTCGGAGAAAAATTGGTTCGCACACGTCGATGCGGAGCAGTACAACGATCCGGAGATGCGTAAAAAGTTGGACGCCATTCTCACCAGCCTGAAAGGTGAGACCTCCACTGGCTCCGTAGACCGTAGGAATGAGTATACGAATTCTGTCGCATGAATTCGTATCCGGAAAGATTACGTCGGTCGAATCGAGTTGACACTCTCACCGTCTTTTCAGCCTCGGGTCGGATCGTGGATTCAGTGGACAACGATCTCCCTCCTTCTTCGGCACGTCGCTTCCTTAACGACAAACCGAAGCTGGCAACCGTGGTCTTGACAAACTACAAGCAAACGTTCGCTAACCATTATTATAACTCCATCTTCGATTCTTACCCTCATCGGATTAGCGACATACCAAAACAATCAGAAAAGCTCCAGGGTTTGCTCGCATCCGTCGGAGACACAGTACTGAAGATGGTCGCTCCGCCAGGCAGCAGCCCCGCTCCCCTCGAGGTACGTGGAAAACGAACGATGAGCAGCCCAGGAAGTTGATTAGGGATATTTCCTGATGGAGAGCAGCCTGTGCTTAGGGGGAAACTATCTGGAAGTCGTGTCGTTTTCAGAGGGATTTCTCCAACGGAAGTCACTTTCTCACGTTCTATTCCATCGTTCGTTTCAGATCAATAAACAGTTGATTGACGACCTCCTGGTCTGTTATTTGAGAAACTCCAGCTGTCCGAGGTTCCAAGCGGTAGTGAACTCCATCAGCAGGAAAATTCTTCGAGAGGAGCCTCATTCATTGTACGTAAGCGTGAGCCCGCCGAGTGGAACGACAAGTGGATCGACAGCTCTGACGTACCTCAGTTTAGTGCGCTATAGCGGACGAGTAAGTTTCGAAGTTTCACAGGCAGGAGACTTTTTCGTTTCCGCTGTCTAATCCCTCATAGGGCCTGGAAGAGGCTCAAATGAAGTCATCAAGTTCCGTCCAATTGAAATCCGGCGACGGTTACTTGCTTCCAGGTCGTGGACAATGTCACCGATGCTGAGGCTTGTCTCGCACTGCACCGAGCGAACACCGAACGAAACTATACGTGGATGTATGGCGAAAATCCGAAACCTTCGGAACCAGGCATTTGCGTCGAGCACTTGGCAACGATGACGACCGCCAGGAGCCCGGCATTCGATTCTCAAGATTCGGATGAGCTCCATTACTCGACTTGGACAGAATCCATCTGGAGTCAGCCGGAGATGTCGCTCTTCATCCAGGTTCGTAATCGAGTCGGTTCGACTCGATTCTAATAATTCATTCCGAGCTGGAAGGTCCGAGCCAAGAACTGACCATCGAATTCCGAATCTTTCCAGGCTTCCGTACGGAGCCAATACACGGCTCTAGCCCTAGGATTCGTCATTTTTGCAACCAGCTTACTGCTCAGCGTCCTGATCTATCGGAAATCAGATGACATTTTCGAAGATCCGAACCCGACCCAAACGCCCGCATCACCAGTAGCCTGCTGAGTGAAGGCCCCGAGGATTATTCGTTTTGAAAAAAAGTCGACTCCGTTCCAAACCGAATTGATGGGGTCTCTGTGATGTATGATTCTAGAAATGACGTGTTCTACGTCAGAAAGCCGGCGACGGCCGAACTTACCCGCCGACGAATTTCCGAAGTTTTGGGAGCGAATCGGAGTCTGCCAGCTCCGCTCGTCGAGGAGACCGCGCTCGATGAGTTGAGGATTTGATTTGATGCCGGTTCCAGCGAATGAATAAACTGTAAATATTCTACCATGGTATCGATGCGTATTATGCTCATTACATCGACAGCGGACGTCGTCGGTTCGGAGCGTCCGGAGGGTCTAACTCGGAGTTTTTCGTGGATGGAGTTTCCGAGAGGGAGTACCGTTCAGTCATCTTTGAGAGGAACAAGCGACGAGCAGAATGAGTTTCATCGCTCCGGGCGATACGGAGGTGTCGTTCTCGAGTCGCATTGCTCTCTCTGATTACAGTCTCGACGAGCCTAAACTAATTTCGGAATTAGTCTGCTGTCCTCGCAGCGGAAAGAGACGGAGCTGACTCCGTCCCAGAAGTTCATGCTCTTCGACCTGGGCACCGGACGGACTCGCATCCGACAGCGGAATTGATTAAGAAAATCTGGGCAGGGTCCATGAGTTGAATATCGGAGAACGTCGAACGCGGTGGGGACGGAAATGAAATTAGGGATTGATTTCATTTCGGAAACCGAGCGCTTGAGGTACAGATTCCAGGACGTATCGAGTGTATCCGATCTATCGTCGAGACTATGGAGAGCGCTGCTTAGAGTGACAGAGCGCTCCGTCTCAAGAGTTTTCCTGCAAGCTTTCTCTTCGCGCTTTGTAAGCGCAAAACGCGAAAACGGAGAATTGACCTCTGAGCAAGAACATCCGCTGGAACGGACACCGAGACGGCTCGAGGAGTCGCTTCCCGTCGGCGTTTGAGAACATTTCAATCCCACCCGCTGATCTCCCGGTTCGAAAATGGCCGCCGCACAGCCTGTCCTGTGAGTTAGTTGCTCGCTCGTTCGCTCTGACAGCGAGTTCGTTCGTCCTTCCGACCTCAGTGTGAAGCTCTCCCATGTCTCTCTCCCCCTCATGCGCCCTTTTGCTCCCTGAAAACGGGCGGGCTCGCGCGCTGCCTGGCGGGCGGGCGGGCGGCTGAGTGAGTGTTAAGGGGGATAGGCCATGGTGGCCTCTCTATAACAGGCGGTTCTTTCGCTTCCTCTGACAGAGAGCTGCTCCGGAGAGAAACGTCAAAACTACTCAGCGGCCAGCAGAAAGAAGCAGCAGCAGCAGCAGCAGCGATGACTGCTTATTGACAAGAACGCGCTACCGGAGCTTCGCGCGTCAGAAAGCTTCTCATGAGACGACAATGCCGTGTCAGCTTCGGGGTGTGAAGTGACTCCGCGATGTCAAACTCGCTTCGATGACACCTTAGCTGAGACCCGTACCAACAACAAGTTGCAAGTAGTCCCTCCGGTCGAAGGAGGGACTGCGAGAATCTTTTCAGTTTCACAACCGCGTGGGACTTCCGGTGGCTCCGGTCCCGGAGTCTGTTCCACCGGGATTCGTCTAGCCTCAAGGTGAGTCCGGTGCTCCCCATCGTTCCGATTCGCTGCGCGCTCCGGACAGTTTTTCTAAGAGAAGACGGAAAAGTCCGCCATGGTGTTCGGGAACGACAAGGGCTTGTCTATGATCGGATCGGCCCTTTGTGGCCCGGGAGAGGTACTCAGGCCCCTGATAAGATCGGATTTATGAGTGTCATCGTGTCTCTCTGAGCCAGTGGAGATAAGGCATGATGTTGGAGAGCCGTCGACGGGTTTCCCTCATCCCGATGCTGGCGTGGGGTTCTAGCCATGTTTGATCCGATGGATCGAAGTCCGGCTATCGAATTGGTGTCCTGTGCTCCGTGAGGAGAACAGACGGAGGATACATTCGACTCTCGAGCGCGATTCCTCCGGAAAAAACGTCGCCTTCCCCCGTTCCCGGTGATAAACTAGAGTACCGTTGTTTCTCGTAGGTGAAGGACAAATCAGCAAATCCGGCTTCGGGCTGGGGCTCCTTCCATCGTTGCTGTAGCAAGGTTAGTCATTGTCGTGAATTTGAGAGTGCTCGGATTCGAACATGGTTCCTCTGACTCATTGAGCATATTCTCCGCGAGTACAGGCCCTCGAGCCCGCCCACAGTCCGTGTCGGTCGCCTCCGTTCGGTTACATGGCTTACCGGAAGAAGGCTGAATTGGCCGGTTCTGATAATCCACACCAGATCGTCTGTAAAAAGGTGCGTCCTATCGGCAGAAAAGACGTCAGATACTCCAATGCCCATCACTTATCGTGATTTTTCGCGGTGCAACCAGAGAGAGCCGGCTAGATTTGCGATGATTTATTGACAAAATGTTGCCGATCGTCAGATGGAAAATTTGATTGGACTTATGCAACACGACCGGAGCGGCGTACCCGTCCGAACCGTGAAGAAATTCTTATCCAAAATCCCGAGTGTGTTCACGGGTGCGGATCTCATACAGGTGAGCTTCGACCGGTGTATCGAGTGGCGCCATAGTGTGTCTATTACTGTGACTTGCTATATTTGAACCGCTAAGCCTCGACCGATTGTCACCAGTGCGTTAATGGTGTCCTTTCAGTGGGTCACTAGGAATCTCGAGGTGGAAGATCAACAGGAAGCGCTCCATTTGATGCATCTCATCGCCTCGTACGGATATCTGTTCCCAATCGACGACCACGTATTGACAGTGAAAAATGATCAAACCTACTATAGGTTCCAGACCCCTTATTTCTGGCCTTCGAATAGTTGGGAGCCTGAGAATAATGACTACGGTGAGCGATTCCAAATCAGTCGAGGGATTTCTCGACTCAGTCGTCCGCGATCCGGGCGTTCGCCCCTTTCCTCAGGGAACCATCCAAAGGCCTTTGGCCGAAGGTCCAATCACATACGCGATCGGATCGGACGTTCCTCCTCGGAAAGTCTTGCGCATAAATATGTTGACGCGTGACCTTCTCGATTCCAGCGGTGTACCTCTGCAAACGCACTATGCAGAACAAAACGCGACTGGAGCTCGCCGACTATGAAGCAGAAAATCTTGCCAGACTACAAAAGATGTTTTCGAGAAAGTGGGAGTTCATATTTATGCGCGCAGAAGCGCAAGCCAAAGTGGATAAGAAGAGGGATAAGATCGAACGCAAAGTCCTCGACAGTCAAGAGAGAGCGTTCTGGGATGTTCATCGACCTGTGGTCAGTGGCAACACTCTTAATCTAAATCAAGCAATGCAAATCGCTAGAGCCCGGCGTGTTATTGTTGACGGCCTCGGAGATCACTGAGAGACCACCAAGACTGGAGCGGCGAATCTAACCTGGACGGTGCCGTCTCGATTCCAGCCTGGCTGTGTCAATACGACGGAAGTCGACGTCAAAAAAGCATGTAGAATGAACAAAAATAAGCCGACGACCAGCGGAGAAACGGCGAGCTCATCTTCCGCGACCCCCATGGAGAGTTTGAAGGCCGAAGCTGAGACCTTGCGCGCACGCCTTGACCGCGTGACTGTGAAGTCGTCAAAAGTGGGTCTCTCCTGAACTTCACCGAGAGTGTCCTGATAAAGGACCGGTCATAGCACGGAAGCCGAAGCTTCACCTGTATTCAAACATTCATTATTTTCTCAGGTCGCGGAGTCCTACCTCGGGTATTTCGAGCAGTACGCAGAGTACGACGCTTTCGTCACCCCTGCGGAGCCTTCGAACCCCTGGATTTCGGATTCGACGGAGATGTGGGAAGCTGAAAAACAAAACAAGGTGAGAGCTCTTAAGGGCACAAACACATTAAGACTAGATCCTCGTTATAACGGTTTCGAAGGGACCGGACGAACCGGTCTATTATATCCGGAGTCCGTTGCACCTGAAGATGGGTTCTGCGACGGGAAGGACCTCGAAAATCATCTGTGATGCCGCTGAAGTTTGTTATTGGGTCCGCCATAGCCGAGTTCATTAATATTGAAGACTAGCCGTGCTCGTCGCGCGTTGCCGCGACGCTGTTCGGCCTCTCTTTGGTGGAACGGTAGATCGCTGACTCAAAGCACACCCCCAAGAACCTTCGCGGAATCCGGGTGGACCATCAGACCAAGATTGACGGCGATCCGCTGAACGGTTTGATAGTCTATAGGTTACCCACAGACAGACATACATTCGCTTTTATATATATAGATTGCCTAGGCGAAAACCGGACAATGCTCTAGCCGTGCCCGTCGCGCTCTGCCTCGAGCATTTCGTGTTCCTCCGCGTTTGGTGTTCTTCCCTCTTGCGTATTTTCGATTTTCTCTCCCTTCAATTTGCTCCATGTCCCTTCTCCTTCCGCCCCGTTTCATCTTATACCCTCATTTCCGTATAATTTCTCAATTCTTTCCCGTCTCTCTCTGTACCCCCGTTTCTCTCTGAATCCCCTCTCCTCTGAATCCCCGTTTCTCTCTGTACCCCTGTTTCTCTCTATTTCCCCGTTCGCCCGTATATCTTCCCTCCGATGCTCAATCCTCTCGAGTACCACGTTCTCATCCAGCCCCCCTTTCCTCTTTTCCGTTTCCCGTTGTTTCCCCGTGTCTCTCGCTCGTCTCCCTACCTTTCCTCCCGTTAAATCCTTCTTCCGTTCTTCCTTTGTGCCCTCGTTTACCTTCTCCGTGGTCCCTATATACCCCGTATCCCAAGTCCCTTCCATTTCTCCCCTCTCCCTGGGCTTCAAAATCTTCTTCCATCCGTCCAGAAAACCGCGTCTGCCTGTCCTCTATTTTCAGCAGCGGTGAATGAGGAACGGGAATGAGTGAATTCGGATATACGCGCTTTCTTGTTGAACCTCGCCGAAAACTGCCCTCCTCATGTCTGTTTCCGCTCTTTAACACTGATTATCGTGAGGTCCCAGTCCCCTCCCGCTCTCTCTGTCTCCACATTTTCTTTGAGAGCAAAGTCCCCTGACTTGCCACGATCTGAACGGGCACCGTTTACCCCCTCTCTATTAATTTAGCTGTCTCCCTGTTACGCCCGTTCCCAGCAACGGTAAATTGAAACTCACATCCAACGACGAAGCACCAATTGGACGCAATAATTGTCTTTTGTAGCAGAACGGTGAACCGCAGACAACGACCCCTTAAGAACCTTCCCAAAGAGCCCGGTGGACCATCTGACCAAAATTGGCGTCGATCCGCGCAATGGCTTGAGAGCCTATAGGTCACCGGTATAAATCTCAGCTTTTTCAACAACGAAGCACCAGCTTGGACACAATAATTTCTGTTTTCGGTGAAACGGTGGATCGCTGACACACAGCAACCCCCTAAGAACCTTCCCGAAGAGCCCGGTGGACCATCAGACCAAAATTGGCGTCGATCCGCGCGATGGCTTGAGAGTCTATAGGTCACCCACGGACCCACATACATTCGCTTTTATATATATAGATTGATTGAAGATAGCATAGGCTTGTAGGCGAGTGTCGGATTCATCCGGGTCCGTTATGACGAGGTTCTACTGCATGTTTCTGAGGTCAGAAGGAGGTCCCTATTTTCGGGATCCCAGGAATGGGAAGACCCTTCCAATCAACGAAATTGATGACCATTAACTCTTCATCAGGAAATCGCGCCCCGGAGGGTTAGAAGGTGGGCCTTCTCACTGAATGAGTTGTTGCGAGACCCTGCGGGCAAAGAACAGTTCTTCCAATTCCTCGAAAAGGAATTTTCAGCTGAGAACCTCAAGTTTTGGGACGCCGTCCAGGTTGGTCATGCTGTTCCTATCAGCTGATGGATTCTATTGGTGAATTATGATGCCTTGAATTTCCGAGCCGCGAATTCTCACCATCGCTCTTTACCAGGATCTGCGACGGCAAGTGCACTCGAAAGAAGTGTCCACGAAAGTGCACGAAATCTGGAACGAGTATCTAGCCCCAGAAGCAAATTGTCCAATCAACATCGACTCCAAGAGTTTTGAACACACAAAGACGAACGTCGGAGGTGTATGCAATCGCTGGACATTTGAAGAAGCTGCGGTAAGAGTATGCGCAGCAACCAGGAACGACTCCCGCTATCTCTTATCCTCCAGCCCCTATTGCACGCACTGATGATGTAACACTCCTAATCTCGATCGACAGGCTCACGTGTATCAACTGATGAAGAACGACAGTTATCCCAGATACCTTCGGTCGGCCATGTACAAGGAGTTTTTGAATGGCACTAAGAAGAAAGTAAGTTTGGCTGACGCATGCTTCGTGCCGCTCCAAATGTATGAGGTAGAATTTTTGATAAATCGGGTACTTGTGATACGGATACGAATACCGACCGAACATCCGGGAGATTTTGCGGATTTCCCGAAGCACTCGATGTGTGGGATGGGTCGCTTTTGATGTGTTTGCGTGCGGAGTGGAATTCATTTTTGAAGCATTTTCATTTCCCGCTCATTTGAGTGCTCAGCTGCACAGAGATAACCTCGCGTTTTCGCATCTTACACAAATCATGCTATGAGATCATCCGTTCAACCGAGCGCGTGATTGATCAATAGACTTCTGAGTCGGTCGATTGGGCGAGCAATCCAATCCTGATTTGACGCTCGATGAGCCCGGTCGGTGTTTTTTTCTGTCACATTTTTGCGCGAGGAGCTTCCCTGCCATCGAATACAGAAAAGAGCGGCAGTCTTTTTTCTCGATTTTGAAGCTTTCTCGGAGTCCGGCGAAGAGCTCATGTAGCATACAGGCCAGCGAAAGAGAGAGAGCACTGCGCGTTAATAATTGGGCTCTCATATCGTTGAGTCGATGATCGAGCCGTTGATTACCGCCCAAAATTATGTCGGATGTTTTATGATGTAACTTCTCTTCAGACATCTGTCAAGGGTCTCAGGTCAGTGATATCATTTACTGCCACTCGAAAGGAGTCGTAATAACGACACACGAGTCTCGCCGGCGACCACAACAACAACGGCAACCGCAACAACTTTAACTTCAGCAATTGAATGCGAAGCTCCGTCGGTCTGTCAGGGGTCCCGAGCAGCCCTCCTGCGCGGAGAACTTACAGACAGAAAGCGGCAGCAACAAACAGACAGAGAGAGAGAAACAGAAACAGTGGGAGAAAAAGGGTGAATTCACTGAGAGAGACACTTAAGCGATACGACGACAGGTACGGGGGTTCGTTCGGAGGCCTACGCCGGCTCGCTAAAACTATTCGCTGCTCCTTACTCCAACCACTGTTGCTTGCCTTGATCTATGTTTCCACTCCTTGTAGAACAGATTCGAGCCTGACTTTTCGATAGGTCCCTTTATCCGACTATTTTCGATCCTGTCAATCAATCGCTATCCACCCGGGCTTGCGTGTCCGTTCGAGACGTTGTGTTAAACCTCCACGTGTATCCTACTTTACACTCGACGAGATTTCCTCCGATCTCGACGAGGAAATTCATTCTCAGCGTCTGGAGTTTTCCGATTTCTCTGGTCTCTTCTGTCAGCGGAGGGGAGATATCGGGGATTCGCTTGAAAAAATGTCGGAGAAACGCTCTCCATTCCGGTCTAGAATTCGGCTCATTCAGTCCCGGTCGTGTGAGCTCTCAGGGACTCTCTGAGCTATCGTTTCTCGGTCGTACTCTGATGTTGACCGATAAAACCTCGATCCCGAAGGGTAGGGTCTAGATAGAACCTGCGCCCCGCCGACACGATGATTGCGGGCTTGTCGAGGTGGGGAAAGGGGACTGCGCAAACCCAAACGTTTTTCAACTTACATATGTCCATCGATCGATACCTTTTCGAGAAGTATCCGCTCGAGTTTTAAGCTCAGAGAGGATACCGCGGTATCGATCTCGTTCAGGTTGCTAGCAGAGCTTGACTACACGATTGCACTCAAATGAGTTGCGGGATAACCCGACTCTGAAGAGACAACGGTGTGAGCCTCTTCGATGCGATCGTTCGACGGTTTTCGAGGGTTTTGATTATGTTCCGCGCATCGTGCTGATTTAACCCTTATCGTACGAAGCCACGTTCCCGTCAATTTTGCGTAAATCATGACCCGAGCATCGTTCGAAATCCCAGAAAACTCGCTTAGCAAGTTCGTGTAATTGAGCGATGATCATCCCGAGAATATGGTATCTGTAGGTAGACTTCCGAGCGCAAAAGGAAGACGATGATCAGCTTGTGCGTCACTTGTCCCGCGAATCATCGTGCGTTCCTCTGCGGCAGCGTCCATTAGCTGGCTTGCTCGGCTGTGTGCTAACTGAGTGAGGCGCGTCGAACTAACCGTATTAGGCATATTATGGTACAGCGAGCGTCTAGCAGCTTCGTCCATAGCCGTGAGCTGGGGAAAGATATCGAATGAGAATTCCAGAGACACAAGCCCCTCTTGATCTTCACTTATAATCACCGTTTTGGCACTTTGGCTACTTCGATAATTATTTAGTGCACCGCTGTTGTGTTATGCTAAAGCTACCTCTCTTCTATCACTTCCACGTGTTGTCACCATCATCCTGTCATTGAATATTGATCTGATGTTCAAACATCCGAATTCCTGAAAGCTTCATCGAGCGAAATGAGAGCTTTATCTTTCCGAAAGCAGAGGGACTTATGATTTATGGTTCGGCCAGCAACCACTCCGCAGCCCCGGTACGATCAGCTAATTGTTTCATTCGTTTTGCAGCAGAGTCGCCTCTTCATTCCCAAGCTGCCAAGTCTCAGCATAGGATCTTCATAAAGCAAGGCCAGGCCGAAGGAGGAATACCTCGGTTGGAATCAACACTGGTCGGCCAACGAGTATTGAGCAGCCCCCCCGGAATGTCTGGTACGCCTAAATTAGGCCATCGTCCCTCCTCTCCCGAAAAATCAAGACCCACCATCACACGAATCTCCATTGATTTTCACCGAGCCAATTGTACGTCATTGATACCGTCTGTCCGAACTAGCATCGTTCCACTCTAAGCAAAACGGTTTCGAAGTCCACCTAGTCTACCACCCCAATCTGACTGGACTGGACAGCATGAGGGTGTTGGCGACAACCATAAGCGAAAATTTATTTCTGAATGCCGCTCTGGAACGAGCAGATCGCATTCTCATCGGTCTGATTCTTCAGTCTCACGGAGCTCCGGCGGCCAAGGCCCATTCGATACATTTGACTTTTTGATTCTGCTCTCACGGAAGCCTATCGCTATCTGCAGCGATGACGAGTGAGCAGATGTTGGAACGAGTTTTCCCTCCTTCGAAGCATCCTGCGTTCGTAGACGATTCCGAGATAAAGAAGTGTACTGCTTCGGGACGTTCACACTTGAGAGGAACGGCAGATCGGAGATTATCCATGACAGAACACGGGCGGGGCATAAGAGCTCTGAAGTCCCGAACGAGTAGTCTTCGACTCGTTCCTTGGCTCCGAGGTTTATTGAATCGGAATCTACCATCGCGAGAGAGAGTTAGCCTTGATAAAGCGGTCGAGGGTAAGATAGTACCTAATAGCTTCCATGTGGCTCGGTGAGAAACGAGAGACTCGCTCGAGAACGAGTGCTCCAGAATGAGGAAAGACTGAGAAAGGCCGGGCGACCTGCGGTGAGAGTTGGGAAGCCACCGTATGGATGTGTCCACAGCTCTTAGCTCTATGTTCGTCCAATGTTTATATGAGCTTCTTGGAACGGATACGGTTAGCATGCCGGTGATAAAGGCGGAGACGGGGACGATGAAAAGAGAGGGAAGTGTGGAAATAGACGATAAGCTAGTTCTTGCAAGAATTATTCGAGAATACGAGATCGAGCCACTGTATATCGCCGGAACACCCGAGTCCGATTCTGATCTCACAAATCGCTTCACGATGTGTTGGTTTCCACCTGCACAAAGTGTAACCCAAGAGCTTCGGCCTGTGGTTCTTCCTCATTTCGAAAACCTGCCCTTAGGATCGCTGCATTCTGATTCCGTCGAGGAGCTGAGGAATTCCCCTGATCTCGTCGTGCACCGGATGAATATCCGGTCAGTCCTTGGTTTCCTCAACAGTGTGATCGTGTCAGATGAGCGAATGATCTCGGCGAGGACGATGACCCTGCATTCTCGGAGCCGTCGCCTCCACACCACTCGGTGTCCGACAGTGAATCTCTCGGCCAGTACATGACTTCGAATCTGACTACCTTCTTATTCATACCAACAATCTACCTTTTCACCTACTGCGGTCGTGCAGTGCTTCGGAAGCGTGTCTGCCACGCACCGGTCTCAGACACTGTTCCCGTCACCGAGGGCTCCGCCAATCAGACTGATCATTTTCCGCAATCGTTCATAAGACTGATTATTATTGATGTTGACTATGCGTTAAGAGGTTGTAGAGACTCTGTGAGTAGGAAGTACCTGTTAGCGATTATACGGTCTGCCTACTGTTACCGCGTATTATTAATGCTTGAAGTACTATTTGATAGCGGTCAAGTCTCATTGGAAGGCGATGGTCATCATATCCCGGTTCCAAATATTCTATTACTCAGTCGATTTGTCGTGTTGTATTCGTTCATCGATCAGCATTCATGTTCCACAATGTGACTTGTATCGCTTCCTGAAAGCCACGAGCGAGCTCTAGTCTTCAGATAGGGAGGTAGGAATTTACAGTATGTAGTCCGTCATGCCCGTATTCGATGACAAGATGACTATTGGCAACCGCCCTGGGCGTGTTACTAAGACGACAAGAGAAAATAATTCTGTGAGAAGATTTTAGAGCTTCACCTGTGAAATCTGAACTCTCTGATAATCACTTGACATTTATATCTGAGTGAGACCCGGAAAGGTCTGCATCCGCAGCAGAATGAGCTGCTCACTCCTGCTTATCTAGCCGTCGAAAAAGTTCGCGCCGAGTGCGCCTAGCCCCCCGAATGTTTGAGAGTTCGAATGCAGAAGGAGGTTTTTCTTCGAGCGGCTGGAAACCGAATCGAGCCCACTGCAACAGGCGGTGAGCGAACACAGAGATAAGTTCGATTCATTAGCAGATACATATGATGAATACGCCCCTGATCGGAGATTTCCGAGGATATCTTTGATGATTTACCTCAGCGATCTCTTTTTGTGATCATCAACGGATGGGATTTATCCCGCTTATATCGATCTGTCGAGGGTATCTATTCGATCGTCACGTGGCAAACCCGCGTAACTACCCTCTCGATCATCTGTTGAAAGTTCTGTTCTCGGTGTTCGAGCTGAGGAACGCAACTCGGGGAGTCAACAGATAGATAAGAGATACCTGAGATCCGTATCGTGCGAACACCGAAGCTGGCGTGCGGGCTTCAATGCTTGACTCCGGATGAATCCCCCGAGGACCTCCAAACCTATGCCAAGATGAAACAATACGATTGTGAGATAGAACTTCTCACCGTGAATCTTCCACGGGACGGGGAAAAGTCGCAAACGCTTTATCGATGAGCAGCAGCCAAATGTAGATAACCGGGTGAAGTTGCTCGATGAGTCCTCACTGTGCTTGTCGCGCCGAGTCTCACGACGTCCCCCACCCCTCTCCTCATTCTGCGATCGAGGTTGCACCTCCCGTGACCGTCGACTGCCACCACCCGCCGCGGTCCTCTGGGGTATTCTCTCGGAGCCGGAGAGCATAATTTTTAGGGAATCATTCGAGCGACGACATTCGTCAAAATGCCGTGGTCTCACCGCAAGAAGTCGTTTGATGTTTCGAGAACCGAGGCTTCCGCCTGAGTCCAGATTCTCATGAGGTGTGCGAGGAAAAATAGAGGGGGCTTCTGCAGGGGCCAAAAGTGCAGAAAAGCGCGTAGGTAAACATTGAAGCATCCTAAATAAGTTCACCAATGGCATTTACTCCTACCAGAGGGCATGGTTAGTTCAGTCTCCCGTCGTTTTGAAGAGAAAAGAACGAGAATCGTCACTGATTCTGGACGATAGAGACATGTCAGAAGTTGAGCATCACGAATAATTGCTACTCTAACACTTAGCCGGGCTAGGTTGGGTGAGCATTATATCGCAATCCGCTTGCCTCGGTGACCTCGGGTCGCTTCGGGAAGTCAAGTTTCCCGAGATTTGGAATTTTGTAATCGAAATATTGCCGACGCTCAATCGATCATGCAATCTCGTGATTCTCTGCTTTATGGAAGAAATCAAAGCCGCATGATTCTGATCAGAATCACGATCCTTCCGCCAATATTCCTGTCGGGTCGATCCATTCTCTCATGGAGCATGCGTTTGGTAGAGAGCAAGCAGATTATCTGAGTCGAAATGTGCTGCTCCGAAACGTTGTATATAGCATGAGATATTCACGAGAACCATAATTGGAGCCTGCAAAACCACTTCACGAGGAGTCTTGTTATCGTCGATAAGCGGGACGCGGCGACTCCAGCCACGGAGGACGCTATAAACTGGTTATTTGAGTAGGATTTACGATCCTCGAGCTCTCCTAGACTGGAAAAGATTAACTACGATGTACTCTGATTAGTTGTTCGATAGGTAAGCTCGAGTCAGAAACCGACTTGTCGGCGACAAGAATCGTCCACAGTGATCAAAGGAGAACCAATCGCTCTGATTTCCCTTGCGAACCCGTGGATATGATGATGATGAAGACGACGAGGACGAGACTCCTAATAATGACTATGATGATGATGATGTTACTAATAATAATAATAGTTATTATATTAACGATATTGCCTGAATTTTCCGATTGTACCTGAGCTTTCTGGACATGAGAGCGTTTATCACAACTCTTTGGAATGAACAACATGACAACATCAATAAAAAATAAAACAAATAGAGAGAGGAATAAGATGTCGCAACTTTGAGGAAACCTCAAGAGATTGGAGCCAGTGTTGAGGATCTGCGAAAATGTATACGACGAAATGAAAACCGAGCGAATGATAGAGACTCGTGATTCCGAAATTATCATTTCATTGAATAGAATCCACAACATGTCAACTTATGCTGCAACCACCAACTACTTTCACCATTACCACAACCACTCCGACTACCGTTATTGAGAAACGATTGAGGAACTCAGTTCATTCATGTCAGGAGCGAAAAAAAAACACAGAATATTAATAAATTTTGAACAAGTTCAGCGGCAAGGTTCCTGTTTCTATCTGAGTCGAGTCTACACCTCTCTAGGGGGGCGGTTCATATTTCTCGGGACGCGGTTGTGAGACGGAACACCGGAGCACGACGATGATTCTGGGCAGCGATTGCTCGAGAAGAATCACCGTCGCTGAGGTTTTTCCTGTCTGCACGCAGTTAGAGCAAGGAAGCCGGCAAGTTAAGGGGAACCGAGCACAGGAATGTCGGCTACATTTTATTGACTTTTAATTAATCGAAAATAGTCTATCTTTGTTCTCGAGTGTGTTGCAATGGAGTTGAGCGTCAGAGATAGAAGAAACTCGTGAGATGACTCCACCGCGCCGTCTCGAAGGAATCCTTACTTGAGGGTCACGAGGAACGTTCTGATCTCCATAGGGTAGAGGCGAACACTCCGAATGGCTCCCGTTCTTGACGGGCGATCTATGTTGGCAGCCAAGAATGTCTCCTTCACGTTTTCGATGCGATCATTGAACAGCGCGGGGAAGTCGACCGTGACCGTTCCGGCCCCGGCGCGGCGTTCCAACTTATTCTCGAGCCTGACGAGGAATTCATTCTCGGCCAGCTGTTCGAAAGACAATAGCTGCACAATATCGGGGAGTGTCGTAACATTTATCCTGGATTGGGAAGTCTCCAATGGCTCCTTGGAAAAGACCACGATCGGTTTTAGAGCGAGATTTATGCTGGCCGACCGAGCGTCGAATTCATCGGGTGTCTGCACGACGATGGTGTGAGTTCCACGGATTCTCAATCCTTCCCCATCGTAGCCAGGCTCATTGAGGGCTTCACCGACACCTGAATTTGCGCGAGAGAAAATTAGACCCGGAGCTTCCCTCTCCATGAGCCACGCTTATTGCTGTCCGATTGAAGCCAATTGGAGAATTCGATTATGTTTTCCATGGCCTGGGATTCTCAAGCTGACCAAAAGCATCATCGAAGAGACACCGTCTGTGCAGCATGATTTCGATTTGCCCGGATCGTAGGCTCGAACCGCCGACTGATCGGTCGGTGAGCACCGTGGTTTCCGCGTCCTTGTCCCTTGAAAGCAATCACAACAAGGCCTGAGCTTGACGAAGCTTCAATTCCGCGGGATTTCCTACCCAATTATTATTGCCTCCTGCGGACAGTCCTGGTCGTAAATATCAAACCTTATGGCGATCCTGGTGTTGACGGGATAGTAGTTCCCCGCGACCGGTTCCTCAAGCGACACGTCCCACGTCGGTCTGGAGTCGCGAGTTCTTTTCAAAGTTTCTCGTCCATTGCTGTCAGTGAAGAACTCGCTCCCGGAGTCTATATCCGTGTCCATCCTGCAAGTCAAGGTGAGACGTCTCTGGAATGCTGGATCAGGACCCCTGGCCGAACGAAAGTTGATGATAGCGAGACTGCCCCCCGCAGAGACCTGACGGCCGTGGTTGGTGACCCTCACCTCCAGATAATCTCTTTGCCAACTTTGTCTGCCACGGGAATGGGACCAATCACCCATTCCACCTCGACCTTGCCGTCGCCTGTCATCCTGATGACATCAGAGAGCCAATCCGTGTAGGTATTGTGGATTTCGGTGACAGTCTTGCCCTTGATTATTTCTTGTGAGGTGATCGGAAGTGGTACAGGGCTTGAGACGTTGGGTCTGATAGAGGATGAAAGTAATTTTTAAGTCGAGAAGAAGACACGAGTTCAAATTCGCATCGTCTGTGTTAACGTGACTTCTGCGAGAAGCGCAATCAGAGTGAGGGGAGGTTCCGAATACATACCGGAAGATGTAGGCGCCACTCGCTCTGTGACCGAAATCGTGGTTGTCTCCAGCGTGACTCTCGTAGTAGTAGTATCCCGCCGTTGCATTGATCGTCACTCCGTTCATAGTCATCCTCACCAGACCTCGCGTCGGATGGATTCTTAATTCGGTGTCTCCTCGTCTCTCAACGAATTCCCGCTTTCCGGGTCTTAGCCTTCTGTAGGTAGGAACCTCGACTTCCGACGGGAATTCCGAGGCCCAGCTCGTTTTCTTGGGCTTGATGCTGACAGACTGGAGGGAAGATGCACCCCTCAGGAGCCTACCATAGGGTATCGGATGGCGAAAACCAAATGATCGATTAAGAGCGCACCGGACTCACCTCGAAAGCATGTGCTCCGATTTCGATGGGGAACACTATTTCGTGGGTAGCTTTCCCCGATCTGAAGGGCAAAGGTTGGGAAGGAGACAAAAAACGGGGAGATTACCATTGGTCCCTCCTCCATGTGCGTGTGCTCTACAGAATGACCGATCTGCTGTCACCTCCTGATGAAAATGACATTACCTTTCGGGCAGAGCAAATAACACTCTTCGGTATGGGCAGAACGTCATGAGCCACATCTCTGCCTTGACCGTCATTAACACTGAAGGCTTCTTCCCCATCAGTGGTCGGGATTCGTAAGAATGTTCGAACGAGCTGGGAAGACGGGTTGTAGGCGTTCACAGTGATCCCTGTGAGAGTGAATCATCTTGCATGAGGTCGCAGCGGGCAGAGGGTGAAAAGTTCCCCAATGAGGGCTCACCTCCGTTCCGGAGCATTCCGTCGATCTCGTCGCATTCGGAGACATTCAAGGACTTGCAGAAAACGATCGGTCCCGCATCGTTCCGGCTGAGGCTGACGAAGGCCTCAGCAATAACCTGCGACGCAATTGGAGTCCAAGTGCTATCGGAATATTATGCTAGACGGCCGCGTGTGAGATCAAGCATTCTCCCGAGCTCCTCAATATAGAAATTTTCTTACATCTCTCGCTTCGTTGAAGCCCTTCAAGGTTGATCGCGTATACGCGTCGTTCACGAATTGCTTCGCGGTGCCGGTAATCGCGTCGTGGTGTTGATCGACGGCCAGAGCACGACTCAGGCCACTGAGGCGTCCGCCACCGAGACCTGCCGAAAACGGGGAAGGGACCATCCAGACTGGAATTTTTCAAGACCGATGGATGGCTCCTGACGGGATATTCGATTCACAGGGAACGTACCCGCCATCGCGGCCAGCTGTTTCGCGGCTTGGAAGAGGTTGTTGGCGAACCGATCTAGGTACTTGAAAGCTGGTCGGCTTGTGAAATAACCCGTCCAGAAGGCGTGAGGATCGCTCGAATACGGGAAAAAGTCGTCGGCCTTGCTCGCTAATTTCGCGCCTCGGATCGCCTTCAGGTAGCAGCTCGGGGTAGAGTACTCGAAGCGTACGGGTAGCCCATTGATCTTGAGGTCTGTAGAGAGTATCTCGATTTTCGCAGGCATGCTTCACCACTGTAGTCGTCAGTTGGATACAGAATATCCGGTTGTGAACTAAATGCAATCAGAAGGCGAGTAGAAGCGGATTTTACTTGCCCTTTCGTGTATTGACATAGCGAATGAGGATATCAATGTTCGACATCCACTTGTGCGCGCTGTGGTAGTTGAAGTCGTTTCCCATGGTGATCAAGAAGTTGTTTGTAGCGAAGAAGGGAGCCCGAGTCCCAATCCATTCCTGAGGTCACCGAAATGCGGCGGACGTAAGAGGAGTGAGCAGGATATGATCAGTTTCAGATTAAGCGCGAGGCTATACATATATCAAACCCACCATCAGTTTTTCGATCCTTCCCGGCAGGTTGTATTCTTCGGATTCTTTGTCTTCCACTAGCGGCTAAGGGACAAGAAGGAAAGTCGAAATACGGTCCCGGATAACTAGAAGTTGATCAAGCTCATGAGAAGCATGCTAGGAGAACCGCTCACATCATCATTGCAATAGATGTCGAAACAGAAGCCCGGCGGAGGCGAGTAGTTGTTCGCTAATACTACACCCGTCAATCTGGACTTCGGCAACGACTCTGACGCCCTCCAATAGAATTCCATGGTGCCAGATTCTTCGCGAGCGTTTTTATCCTGATAGTCGATTCGACCTAGGAATAGCCCTAAAGGAGGGAAGACGATCTCTCAGCAAGAATATGAAGAGCCATAATTATGACCGACGGACTCGTGGTGGAACGCTAAGCACCGCATCGGTCACTCGCCCCCTGCGTTCTTCACGCAAGGCGATTTCTTCCGTACCGTCGAAGTTCATTTGGGAGAGGAGGGAAGCGAACTCCCTTGAGTGTCCGAAAGGATCGATCTGCCATCCGACTCTGCTCACTCCGCATTCCCCGAAAGTTTCTGTGAATAAATGCGAGTGCTAAGCTCCCATTCAATCCTCCCGGTCCTCCTCGAGGAGTTTGCTCAGTAATTCCCTCTCCTCATCTTCGACTTACTCCGGAGGATCCCGAGTCCGAGGGTCATCTGATCGATGGTGTTCGTGTAGTAGGTCGCAGCCTCGTCGTTCATGACGTAACCCCCGCTAATGAACTCGATTTGACCATTGTTCAACAATTTCCTGAATGACTCTCGGCTCGCATCCGAACTGAAAACAACGGAAGATATTCAGTTCTGCGAGAGGAAAGTCTCGGTGAAGCAAAACTGGGACTGCGAGAACCTTGGAGCATACCTGTGGTTCCACCAGAGCTCGAAGAATCCAGTTTCCACGAAAATGAATCGCTTGTTCACATCGGTCAGCAGTTCAGAGACGACGCTGTCGTAAATCAACTTCACAGCGATATTATTCTCCCCAGCGTTGGTTCCGTAGAAGTATTGCTGCACTGAAATTCAGCCATATTGGAGTGATAATACCGTACAGAGATCAGTGACTTCTTTTAGTTCTTCTTACGATTTTCTGATCAGGTACAGGTACCCGATCCATTGTACTCACCGGTCTTCAACCACCCGAGATCCATGTGGGAGTGGGGCACGATGTGCACGACGTACGATGAGTTATCATAGTGACCACAGTTTTCGAATGAACATTTTCCGGTGACACTTGCACTGAAGCCTGCGAAGAGCAGCACGAACGCGACCCCACCATGGATCGCCATGGTCCCTATGTGAAAAAATAATCGGTCAGCCGGGGGTTTTTCAAGGAGCGTCAAATATCCCCGTTGAAGACAATCCAGGAGAGGGTCCTCGCCATAGAGAAAGGTATCAGAGAGGACACCGTTTCCCAGCCTCTCGACCGACCTCCGAATCCCAGGGTGGGCGGAGGTACATACCGATACACCCCATTCGAGGCTTTCCAGCGAAAGCATCATTGGGTGTCGATCGAGATCGATGAATCGTACCGCAGTCGAATACGTGATCGACAATTATAATTTCGAGTTAAATACCACGTGTTTCCGGGAGCTTTTTTCTTGGAGATCCCGCGAATCGCGACGCATTTCCATAGACGGCAAATCCCAGTTACAACTCACGCGGACCCAGGATGAGGGAATCTTTCCAAATAGAAGCAGCGTGCTCCCTCCCCAGACTTCACGGGCGAATTCAAATCCGATCCAAACTTGTGGAGATTCGTTCTCATATTGGAAACTGAACGAGGAGGGCATCCCTTGACGGTCTCACAAGTGAGTTTCAAAAGACATTTTCTGGTAATATTTCGCTCCTGTAACGGATGCGCGTCGAGGAAAGTTGGAAACTCCGTGCGAGTGTTGATTCACTCGCGGGGTTCTATCGGGGGCTAATCGCTCGATAGGGAGGTCGAATCCACTACACCCTCAAGCTTGGCGATGGGAGGCCAAGCTTTGCTCTGCCGTGTCTTGCAGATAATCATGATCGACGCTCGGCGGTAGCGGTTGTCACTCACGAGCGGAGCGTCTCTAGAGATGGCGTCAGCCGGCGTTGCCAGATAGATTGCGGACGCTGTGGTCAGGGTCAGTCAGGGATTGTAGTACTCACTTCGGAGAAGACGGCGTATCTCTCACACTGAGATGGCTGAACTGCAAATGACCCCAATATTACGATGGAATCCGATCGATGCAGGGGATCCTCTTCTCGCAAAGAATAACCGACGAGAGAAATGGAGAAAATGATACCGCAGGGATCAGTTACAGTGGAGACACATACAACCTCGCTGTCCAACGATGCAGCAGATATCCACCCGAATTAATCTCCGAGTCATGGAAGAGCGACGACACCCTATCGATAGCCATATACCCCAGATCTATGAATCTCTCTATGATCTCTAGAGAAAACGTCAGATTCTCTTGTCATTTTGCACAGCCGCCTGAATTCCGCATCTGCCGCTACATTGTCGGAGGGGGTAGAGGTTCTCGATCAGTCCTCAGTACTAAAAAACATTCGGGCCGATAATGCCGCGGGCTTTCTGGATCCTTTTGCTCTCGTCCCTCGATCAAACTATTTTTTACTCGGCTCGGGCTGTCCTCTGAATATTTGATGCCTTGGATGAACTGGAATCGATGAAAGGCGGTCACGACACTATCCGGCTTAACCAATGACGGATAAGATTTCGGCGCACAGAAACGACTCGCAATCTTTGGCTACCGATGTCTCCATGAATTTATCGCATATCGTGGGTAAACGAGTCGATCCGAGACACGTCGAGTCGAAAGTGCCTAGCGATCCTCGTAAGAATAACAACACCCTTTCTGGAATTCAGTTTCTCTACATTTATTTAACAACTTGTTCACAATGTAAATTGAAACTCACGCCATCCAGATACAGTGAATCTTTCCTCCTATATTCAATTGAAACAGAGAACACTATGGAGTCTACAATCAATCGACGGATGGACCACAGACTTGAACAGAACGAGTAGGACGCGGAAGTAACCTCTTTAACTTTGGAAATCGCGTTTCTGCTTTGGGTGGGTGTGCTTCTATGGTATCGTATCTAGGGTACTCGGTAAATACTCTTTTTCCTCGAATCGTTATTCTATCAAGTAAAAGCAACAGAAGTCAGGAGCAAGGTCAGTTTGTAGAATGAACGAAAAAACAAACACTCGTCAACTCTTGATTCACTTCATGACAGTAAAATGTATCTGTCTTTGGCTGCTCTCATACACCCAACCAGAATACGCAGGTGTCCGATAATGATCTCCTTTCCCGATACCCAAAGATTTGTGCTTGAGCCTCTTCCTCCAGTACGTACAGATCGTATTGGAGCCTGTGGTGGTAAGCTTCTGCCATTGTACTCCTCCTACGTATCGGTATCCTTCCTTCCGCCCTCGGAGCGGACTCATAGGCTCCACCTAACAGAATTAAGGCGAATACAAGGTACATCTTCGCGACCTCATTCATGCAAAAAGGACGACCTCTGTGTCCCCGAGTGATGATGGGTGCAATCGGGACATCTTTGAGAAAAAAAGAGGAACAGGTTGCAAAAATGTTGAGTGCTCCACTCTCAAGATTCTGCAAACATCACATTGCTTTCTCTTCGCCTTCATCCCCACAACATGATCGCTGCGTGGGCTATCCAAGCGATTCCAGTCACTCGACTTCCGCTCGGGCTCTTGGAGCTGATTCCCGCACTGGCGCTTGCTCTCGTAGCGCCGATTCAAGCGCTGTGTCTGCTGCACCAAGCTAGCCGTCGGACTTTGGGGGGGTCACCCAACCATACTTATTATGTGTTTTTACCAGGGACTTGAATGATGATTCAGCGAGTTTCTTCGAAAACTGTTTCGATGGTTTCGGGAATAGATTTATGCGAGCTTGCCCCTTCGAGAGCGCGGCTGCGACCTGCGAGAAATCACGAGTTTTAGATGGGCCCATAAAGCCTTGAACAGAAAGCCGGGGAAGGACTTCGTGGCCACGTTCGCAACACAAGGAGATGTTTCATACCCACCTGGACTATGATGGCTTCGACGGTGTAAGCTGACGCCCACCCAGCAGCTGTCAACAACTCGAGGCATATGGCGCCACCTTCCATGACGAAGCCTCTTTCGATGTGCGGCGAAATGATTCTCACAAAGGGCGGAAGGAAAGGGAAGTTGTCCGGAAATTCAAAACTGAGCTGAATTGATGGTATGCCGAGTTCTATCATATCTTTGTGGAGCAAGCTCTCGGAGTCAACCTAGAAAGGGAAGCCGAAGAGCTTGATTTAAGTCCAGGGCATGATCGTGGTCAGGGCTCTTCGTACTTCTCAATTCTTGAGCATGGGACCCACAGGAGCTTCCGCGACCCACCGGAATTTCCTTTGTCGGCACGTATTCCTCTACGAGGGGACTCGGAGGAAAGGAGTCTTGCTATTTCCCCAGAATTCAGCCAGTGCTATTAGCCGAGTGTAGCTCAGAGAATAAGCGACTTCACTGAGTATATACTCGAGGTCTGGGGAATCTTCCACCCCCTTAGGAGACTTTGTTCCGAAAGAAGAGTCCCCCGCTTTGTGGAATCTCTTTCCCGATATCTGGGCTCCGGATCGCTCCGATTATCAAGAAGGCCAGTCCCCCCATCCGAACCCTCATTCCCAGAAATCACCGAGAAATGCTGTGACTCGAAAACGCGCCTACGGCTGGAAGATTGGTGAAGATTGTTGGGTTCGGACCCTGTCGCCCAATCATCGGCCGACACGCGTTGGTCAATGGAGTATAAAAGGAGTTGGTCGACTGGAGTCCTACGACGAAGTTATACATAGTCTCAGCGTTTTCACTTGGTCGTGGTCTAAACGAGGATCCCGCATCCGAGTGCCCCACCTCCCGTGGATATTGAAGCATCAGAGTAGCCAGCTCAAATAATGAGATATATTTTCGAATGTTTCTTCTCAAGGCATTCAGAGAAGCCCGTAAATAGACACTCTGATTGGAGGAATGTAAGGTTTCTGAGGTTCCATGCCCGATGAGAAATCTAATGTTCCCTATCGGCTCAGCAGCATATTCTCCATTTCTTGGGGAAACCGATCGGGAATCTGTAGGCAGATATCAGGAAACAGGTCAGGGTAAACATACCTGATGAAGTCTCACGATCCATTCGAAAAGGTTGCTATTCCTCAATTCCACGGTAAATTCCTGCGACACGAAGAAGAGACATCCGGTCAGAATCAGACTTGAGCAGAACAGGGATGAAGAGCTATTGAATATCATCGATAGGGTCCCCACCAGAGCTCGACAGCTTGAGAAGCGGTCAATTCCGCATGTTTGGCACGCGGCGGTGGAGACCTTGTCGCAATAAACTCTACTAACCGGAGATTGTTGTGACGCAATAATTCGTTGTATATCACGGAGCTCCCTCATCAGTCTCTTTGTCCGCACGTCTTCATTACGCTTCACAGTTTCTTGGAAAGCACGCCGGGTTTTGGCCGAAGAAGTGGGTTGAACTTTACTCCTCGCAGCTGTTAGGGGAAACAGTAACGGTTCCTTGCCTCCCGACTGTACGGATCGTCCCGGAGCATTTTCGTCGAATTCTTCGTCTTGATCATGACCATCATGCACTACGTCCTCGGGAAGCGCGATATTCGCCTCGAGTCCTCCATCTTGTTGAGCCTCCGCAACGTCGCTTGCCTTGATTCATCGAATTCATAGCATCAGCAGCTGAATTTATCACCCGTGGTCCGTAATGCGTCTTCGTGACGCCGGGTTCCCCCATCCAATTCCCTCCATCCACTCACCTCTGAATCTTCCTTGACATGCTCATTATTCTTTGAACTCACGACTTTGGAAGCATCTGGGAGGGAGCACCGTCTTACAGCGAGCACACAATATCACAGCGGCAATTATTCGTTAGCTATGCTATACGGAATTCGCATTCGAATTATTCTGATGTTCTCTTACCTGTTTGCTGGGCATGGTGAGCACTGCTCCGCCGATGAGATAAGCGTATCCATTCGTAAATGTTTTTAACTTTGAAAATCCGTCTGAGACACCGACGCCTGCTGCGTTTCTGACGCTGTGGCTGGAGGAAATTGTCCCGATCGAACTCTTCGTCTTCCCCTCGATGCAGAGCGTTAAGCTGCAGGGGAGACATGACGTTTCGAACAATGATAAATTCGAAAATGGGAAGGATAGCGCTGATCTAGTCCCAAACAAAAAATTCATCCCGAGAAAATATCATCCAAGTGCGGACTGCCTCGACGATTTCGTCGTCAACTCACCTGATCGGCTCTGATTTGATGAAGCACAGGGGGAACGACTCCGACGACTGGTGGCTGAATTTTGGCATCTGAGGAAGCCGACCCAAACCGCTCGAACAGCTGTCGCAACATTGGACCTCCTCAGAATGACCCTCCGGTCGAAGAGCTTTATAGAGTTTTCGAGCTTCTCCCCAGGAGCACGTCAAGAAACCGTTTCGTCGTCTCCTTCGCCGAGAGGGATTGTTTCCAGGTGTAGACGACGAGGATGTTGTCCCTGCAGGAGGAAGTTTGAAAGGTTCCAACAACGGGAAGCAAGAACTTTCGCGGGTCACCTGAAAGGGGAATTTCACAAAATAAGAGGAATCGTATAGCCTGCCTGGAACCTAAATCTAAATTTATCGATTCATCGGTCCGGTTCGATTTGATTGGTTTGGCCGGAAAATGAGGGGGATCTTTTACTGCGAACACAGTCGTAATCTCTGGAGTCCCGTCCCAACGACCCCCAGCGGAATCACGAATTTCCGATTCCTTTCCTTTCTCCGGAAAATGTGTAGCTGATCATTCAGACTACAGTAGAGTCGGAAATTGAAATGAAATTCGGCCATACCGATGACCTAGTCAAACGAGTCCGACTAGCACACAAAAATCTACCATACGAACCTCCGAGAGCCTCGATCGTCGGCGGACCCTCGACCTCTGTCGGGAGCGCTCCTTATTGCAGGAGGAGTGTTCACGCTTTATCCCGTAGCTCGATCCGATGAGATGAAGTTCCCACCGAACTCTCTTTCTCTCTTTCAACATCCACCAAGATGGCTGACAAGTTCCCCCGAACGTTAACCCATCCGGAGCTCTGGCCCAGAGGAGCTCTCCCCCACACATTCCGAGAGGGAGCGACCGAAGGCACAAGGGCCCTCTAGGGGCGAAAGGGCAAGCTCTTTCAAAGACGTACCATCGGGCCGGGGAGTTTCGGCTGCTGCGGTTTCCATCGAGCCCCTCCTTCTCGTCTCGATTTGTTTACTCTCCTGCCGGGAATGCACAGACCCATGATGACACATGGGGTTGAATACATCTCGGGATCGATGGCAGGGCGCGAAGAGCCTAATGACGTCAAAGCGAAAACGGCAGCTACCGATCAGTCGCCCAAATTCAAGAGATTTGAAGCATTCCTATGCAATCTGTTTTTCCCGTCCTTTTCTCCCACACAATGGAATTCGGCTCGTGAAAGAGCTCCGCGCTGAGCTCGATTCGGGTTACCGGACGGGTTTCGGCTCGAGAAAGTTGAAGACGAATCTCGCAGCCGCTCGTGTTTCTGCACAGACTTACATATATTGGAACTCATGCGTCGATTGAACAGCAGGGGACAGCACGCTCGGGAGCAACTTAGGGACATAAAAATATTTGATCCGAACTCAAAACCCATGATCCTTATAACATCGGAATGAATATTTCCTCGCGTATTTCTCACATTCTGGTTTTCATTCATATCTGTTGGGCATAGTTTTTTTCACGAATAAATCAAAGTCTTATTGAATATACAGTCTCTTCCGCCATCGGAGTCCTCCTGCATCCACGGTCCGCTTCTTCACTTCGCCAGTAAGCGGTAGTTATTATCCATTCCTAGGCTGATATTCTGCCCGCTGGTTGGCCGGAAGCTTGCTGACTCCGAGTTGCAGGACGGCTGCTCATTACGGCGTTCTCAGAAGGACTCGGTCCTCGCTGCCCGCATTGCTTCGACGACATCCCGCTAGAGACAAGGCCGAGTTCTTGAAGGCCGTAGCCATGAGTCCAGTTTGCGGGGGGAGGATGGTGTGACTACCCCAGAATTATTCTTCGTCAATGGAGATGTTCACGTATCCGTCCCGATTCCCGTGGCTTGTGACCACTTGGCACCCAAAGGGTTTCGGGACTGAACTGTGAGTCGCGTCAACATATACCAGCATGTCAGCATGTGATAGTATCATCGCCGCTGGTAGCAGCAGTAGGAGGTCGAGTCGGCGCCGGGTGATGATAATCACGCTGTCATGCTGCATGCAACGGAAGCTGAGTGGGCGGCGCCAATCGCCTGTGATAGGGTAGTCTCGATAGCCGACTTTTTCATCACTGGTGGCGTCGTGGAGAGCCTGAAGTGAACGCACTACTGGAGGCCGGGAGGTAGCGGTGTGGCGTCGGGTCGAACGGGGATGATGAAGCTCAATGAAGGATTTCGCAGGGGAGTCGGAGGGCTGAAAGCAGAAACTCAGGTTCTCAGGATCGACCCATGAGTAGTCGTAGGCTCTCGATGAGCGCGCCTGTCACTCCCGGTGCGACCGGGTTTCATGTTTGCGCGATCGCGGAGTAAGCTCCGGCGCGCCGCTTGGGTAGAACCTCCCTGGAGAGCAAGTTTGCACGAGATGGGAGTTTTTGCGTGAAGTCCATCTCGAGAAATGCCGCTTCGACCTTTCACTCCGTGATGTCATGCCGCGCCGTTCCTGTGGGTGGCGGCGTGAGCTCGATCCCGAGTCTCGGTGAAATTATTCCGATCGGAATTTACTTGGGGAGTTCCCTTACAGAAGAGCCGGTACTCGAGCCTGAAGCAAATTGAGGGAGCTTGTCCTCTTCGTCCAACGGAAGGGGGCTCCCTTTCGAAGTCATTGAATAATTCCCGGTTCCCGGAGCCTACCCATCGAAGGCAGGTAGATAATGACGGCGATAGGGCCATTGGATTTCGCCGCTCAAGGATTTTTCCCCCCACGTCACAGGTGAACGCCTTGACTGCGAAACCCAGGTTCAGGACCCTTCTTAGTAAGGAATAGCTCTTACAGCTCCCGGGATGGAACCAGGAGTACTCCCAATCGAATGATGCGGACGTCCTCTCAGAGTTACTCTGTCACGGGAGAAGAAGACTTTAGCTGCCTTCACATCACCGACTCGGTGCAAGTCGTGTGTGTCCAACCAAAGGTGCTCGCCCAACAATTTTCCCTTGAGCGACTCTCTCCCGCCCGCTCCATTTCCTCTCAATCAGTCAGTGCACGGTGCATGAAGCTTATTGAAGTCGCTCCTGATAATTGTGACAGATATCGTGCCCCTCCAAAGAATGCTCGTTTCATACTACCTCTGTCGCCTTCTGGAACCGATTCCCGAGTTTTCGGGGCCACAGTCAGCGTGTGCCCCCCCGAAAAAAAATCGTGGATACGCGCCTGATCGTGACGATGACGGAACTCCCAGAATTCACGCTGAATTCTTTCTTCAGCGCTAGAGTCCTCAGGTCTGTAATGAACTTCTTCCCCCTTCTGATACGTTGCAGTTCCTTCCACTACTCGTGAATAGGACATAGAATCAATCGCCGGCGCCGGGAGAATCAATCCCGTGTCGCGGCTACGGGATTGAATTAGGAGAACTGAGGTTGAGTAGCGACGTCCGGAGATGATGAATTTGAGCTCCCAATCATCGGTCTTGAAATACAGGGTGCGGCATCGGGCATCGTATATGTATGTACCGATTACGAATGCTTGTGAGAATTTTTCCTGACAAGATAACGAAGGTCTGTTCGCGCTAAAATTTGAATTAACCCTCGCCATTTCGCATGGAATCGGTGCGGTTCCGATAGCTCGCCGCTGTGGGAATCACCAGCTGCGGGAAACAACGAAATTCCCTACGGCTCCATAGGAAGGCCCTGGGCCTATGCTCCATGGGCTCAGTCGAATTTTTCCACTTTTTCGTTCTGGAAATCTCTGAGCTTCCGGTCACCAAATTCTCACCTACCGCATGTGGAATGGGAAGGGAATATTCGAATTTTGGCGCAAACAGACCTTCGATATCTCATCTGGTTCAAATTTTACAAGCATCCGTGATCGGGACATATACGATGCCGCACCCTGTACTATGAGACTCCCTTCTACGGACGCCCCGAGTGACGGGGGTAAACCTGAATGCATCATCGGTTCGTTCAAATAAAATAAAACCAGCACCGTCATTATTTCGGATTCGGCACGGCGCCCAGCCCTCCTGGCGTGTCTCATCCATCTTTCCCTTCCGATCCAATCGAGGAGGGTCCGTCGCGATGGCTGGGTCACCTTGACTATAGCCAAGTCACTCATGAAAATCTTGCAGAGACGTCCCCTGTTTCCTGAATTCTTTATGAGTCAGGACTCCATGGGTTATGAGTAAAATGGAATATCTCGGAAATGAAAAGGGAACCTGACGACGAAAGCTTTGTGTTCCAGACCTGATGATTCGCGCGCTCTTGGATAGATCGTACGCAAATGTTGATGGTTGCCTCGATGAATACAATGTCACAGAGAGAACACCCCCCAAGGGGGAGCTTGTCAACAATTTGAAGATGTCTTTTCTAGTTCATCTCACAAATGATTCTAGCGTGATATTTATTGTGAATATCGTTCGACAGTCGACCTCGGTCTGGTCATGGCATTCGCCATGACTTTCTAGGGGCGGGGTGTTTTTCCAGACGACGTTCCAAATTATTTGTACAGTTTCCGTCGGTCTAGACATTCAATAAACCGAATGCGACTCACTCAGACAGTAGAACTCGAAAAAACTCGTTTTGTATAGCTTACTCGACGTCCCGTATATTTATTTCCCTAAATAGCTTCCCTTGGTGCAAACAGATGCCTTCGGCCGAATTTCAACTAAGGATCGTCTGGAGATGTTGTCGATCACCGATGTTATCGATCTTGGTGCTTTCGACAGAAACCGGCGCTCAACCGATTCAGGACGGAAATACTCCCCAAAACTCCTCGATAAGTCTTTCAGGGCGTTTTCCAGCAAACTGCGTCAGCGCGGAAATTACCGCACGATCATGATGAGCCCTCGAGCCGAGAAGGATTATCGCAGCTCTGTTCAACGGCTGTCTTCAACGGGGAGTCGGTGAGTTCTCTACATCTTCGAAGGAGTTGCGCGACCCCCTGCGGTGCTGTAACCTCCAGGCGTTACATATCCCGGAGTGGTGGAGATCTGCATGGGCTGAGGAGTCATCGCAGTAGCCATTGCGTAGTTCGCCGCAGTCCCGTAGGCGTAACCCGCCGGGAAACCGGCGTACGGTGCGGCTGCTACCGATCCAGGCGTTCTCGCACCAGGAGTCGCCAAGCCCGGAGTCGCGATAATCATTGGCACAACACTCATTCGACCGCTGGGAGTCGCAAGACCCGGCGTCAAATACGGCGTTGTAGGGGCCGCGGCTGTAAGAGTTACCGATTGCGCTCCGGGGGTTTGCGCCGGCTGAGGGATCGGATCTTTGAAATGTTCCTTGAACCAGCGGAACAGGGCGTTCACAGAATGGAACATCTGTTGCCGGTATCGATAGCCGTTGGGCGTCACGGAGACGAACTCGTGTCGGCATTTTGAGCTTGGCTGGTACGATAAGAGGAATTTTCCGGGAAATTGCGCGCACGCGGTGACACAATAAGGGATCCTCGAGGGCGCCTTCCGTTTCTCTTCTGTCAACCATCTTTCCACGAGCTCCTTCTTACCGCCTTCGAAATCTTGGAAATACCTGGGGATGAAGAGCACTCGCGTTAGTTAGGGAACTCTCCCTCTCGACGAAAGCCTCCCGATCGATTGAAGCTTGGCTCTTCGCTAGTGAGCGTACCTGAAGTTAATTAAGTCTCTGGCGAAACCAGCCATGGGTTGCACATAGTTGGCGAGTATTTCATCCAAACATTCGAACTCCTCGCCATTGATGACCAATGATGAGCCCAAGGAAAAACTGTTCTCTTTTCCTTTCTCCTGGACGTCGATGTGTTGTAGAATGTCCTTATGGACTTTCCAAGTTACCGTCAAATGATCAACACCTGAGAAAGGGAACGAAAATAACGATCAATATTGAAGGCAATCAGATACGAGTCAGACAATCTCGGTCTGGCATGTGGGGAGGGGGTTCCCGAGCTCTGCGTGATATGCTGATGGTTTCAAAATTATTAGCGACCGGGACATCGAGGAAGGAATTGAGAAAGATCTACCTTTGGATGATGGCCGGATTACGCTTTCGCCTTGTTCTTGTCGATCCAGTATCTTGACAGCTTCACTAAAGGAAACATTGTGGAACGACGGGTGCACGATGACACGTTTAACGTAAGTTTGTCGCTGCTTCAACTTACTGACATCATTGACTTTCTTACGCTCTTTCTCCTCGGCCTCGTGATCGTAGTAAAGATCTTTGGGCGGCTTCCATTCACCTGCAGCGATCGAAAACCATGAATGAGATCCATTACCACGAGGCGGACTCAATGCTCCTCTCGGAGGATATCCAACAACGCATCCCCTAATAATAATTCATCCCCAAGGTTACCGTTTTTGTCGGCCAGATCGGAGCTTTTTGTAGTGACATCGACAGAAAACCGAGAGATATCGATTTTGGTGATCCTGCCGTGCACGATCTGCCCGATCTTCACTCGTTCTTCCGGGTTGGACACTCGTTTATCCGACAGGTTCTTTGTCGGAATGAAGCCATTCACGCCGTTGTCGAAACGTACTTTCACGCCCATGGCCTGACCAGGGCAATTACCCGCATCGAAATGATTCCACACTTCGGAGAGCTCAGGGAAATCGTTCTTTAGGCAAAACGGACACTGCCATAAGCCAGACTCATCGTTCCTGATTGGATTCGCCTGGTCGAGTTGTTCGCCCTGAGGCTTCTTCCGGGCAATGCCCGAAACTTGGCACGTGACGAGCTTGCCTACGAAAAACGTTTCCGGAGTCTCCTTCGTGAGGAGGTTGAATAGGATTTCTCGCTCGGGTGGTACGTATTCGACACGAAGATCTTTGTATCGGTTGTTCAGCTCGGCACGGATGTCGTACAAGGTGATGCTTTTGTTTCCGTAGCCTTGCCGTTCGAGTTCGACGGCGAAAGCGTCGAGATCGAGATCTTTGAGTTTGTCGGGATTCTCGAGAATCTCTTCGAGGGCGTCGGCTGGATTCAAATTCGCGTCCTCATTGTCATCGTACTCGAGCGCATCCGTCGCCATTTTCCGAGCCCATTCGTACATCTCTGGATGAACGCGCGATCCGTCAAGCATCTGAAAAGCGAAAATCCGTGAGTCAACTCCACTTCAGGAAGCTCGGCACTGATATTCGATGCGCCTCCGTCGCTCAATTACCTCGGCGTAGGCACTCGTGTTGTTGTCGAGGAAGGACCCGCTCTCGATGCGGATGAAACCCGCACAGTTTAGGAACACTTTCGGGCCGAGTTTCAGCGTTGTGACAAGACTCGTTCGACTGTCCAACTTCGAATGACTCTGTTTGAGGGTTTTGATCATGGCGTGCGCTTTTCTCGGACCCAAGCCCGATACGAACTGCAGGAGTTCCGAAGTGTGTGACTGCTCCATGCACCGATTGATGTCGACCCCGACCTCGTTTGTGCGATTGATGAGCTCGAGGGCCAGAGCCCATTGGAACTCCTCTTTAGGAACATTGTCTTGGAGTGGATGGTACTTCAGACAGAGGATTTCTTCGTCCGGACCGCACAGCTGACTGAATTCTATCAAAGGATCCTGCATTCGGCGAGCAAGCGAGACCGCTTGCTTCAGCAGAGGTGGATATTCGCGAAACTCTTGCTCGGCACGTTTCGAATTCGCGTAAACGAGAGCTAGTCCGCAATCGAGAAGCATGACCTGTACCGCGGGGAATTGGTCGTCGTCTCCGAGTTCTTTGATGACCTGCTCCACATCCTCTTTGATGGACAGAGCTTCTCGGCTTTCCGCAGATATGACGACGCAGTGCGGTTTCTTCTCGGCGATGAATTTCTTCAGTTTTGCCAGGTCGCTGATCTTCGCCGCTCTCTCCGACTCGCGCCACGCGTTCTTGCGTTTGAGTATATTTTCGAGGCGAAGGTAATCTGTCACTTCACCATCTCCATTGATGAGAGCTCCGAAAGCTGGGACATTCCAGTCGTTCTGGTATGCGATAGCGAAGATACGGACTCCCTCTCGCGTGTCAAAATCTTCCTCCTCCTGGATCCAGTCCGGAGGATTGTATGGGGCCACTGGAGAATCGGAAAGACAGAGGAAAGTAGTACGTTTGTCTCATACCAGGGACTAGGCGAAATGGTTTTGAGGTATGAGAACTCAATATGGCGAAAATCTTCTGAGCGTAACTCACCTTTAAGCCAGTTGTAGAACTTCTTCGACACCGAACGGAGCACATTATCGTAAGCTTCTCTCAGCAATCGCAGTTTGAGTTCTTTCTCAAAAGTCGGATACAACATCTTCGTCAAAGCGTGATTGAGAGCTTCCTCTCGTTGAGAGTTCCATTCCTGGACGTTCTTCGAGAACTCGTCTCGGTGATACAGTTGACGCACCTCACTGGCGTAAGTGCCGTTTTCTGTTGGTGGATAGAGATCGTTAGAAGCAATTCGAACACAGGGAGTCGCGATCGAAATTTCCGTGGGGCTGTCGTGAGCAGGGCGCTAGGAGAGTCTCCGATAAAGTCGCGAAGTCTTCGTTCACTCACCGGCGCATCCATCGCCATCCATACGGATGGATATCTTGAGCAGTTTCTCTTCTTCGGCCATGCTGAGCTTGAGGTACTGATCCGCTTGAAGGGATCTGACCGGCTTGTTTTTGAGGTACTTGAACGTGTAGCAGGCATGCGACTCGTCGATCTCTTTCGATCCCTTTTTCGTCGGAGCGACACAAAGTTTCGCTCGCTCGAAGAATGTTTCTCGTACGCACCGTCTGACCGTCGGATCGCGAGCGATCTCACATGCTACCATGTACCGGGCGCCATTCAGGACTTCGAGAGGGGTCTTGAGTCGCTCGTTGACGTACTCAGCCGCAGCTTCCAAAGGCTGCACGGGGAACTGGACGACCTCATGCCGCTGGTAATTGTCTCTGAGATTCTCTCCGAATTGCTGCGGCGTCAACCCGAATTTCTTAGCGAGTGCGCTCAATCCCATCTCGCGACAAACGGCGAAGCCGTCCTTGCGTCTCGATTTCTTCAGGAATAGCTCCTCCTCGCCTTCGTCCATCTCCTCTTCTTCGTCAAGCCCACCGTCGCCGCCGGCTTCTCTCGCAGCTCGCTGCCTCTCGAGTCTTTTCACGCGTTCTTCCTCGCGCTTTTTCTTCCGTTTCTGTAGATTAGCTTCCTGCATCGCCGGCAGATCCTGGGCGTAGTACAGGAGAAAGTGAAGGTAGACGTCTTTCAGCTCCTCGGGCGACTGAGCGTCTCGGAGACGTTCAAAATCGTTCTCTTCGATCTGTGACGAAAGGTCCGATGTTAGATTATCGTTCAAATGAGCCTCGGGAAGGGAACAGACGGAAGCAAATGCCAAGATGGACCCATCGGGAGCGATGGCTTACCTGTCTGAGATGCTCAGCCGCTCCATCATCGTTCAGAATTTGCTCACAGATGTACTCTTGCATTTTCTTGAACAGCTTCTCCATATTCTGTTTCTGCTGGCGGAGTTGACACCATCGCTCGTCCCATCTGCAATGAAGGTTTCCAACGTCACGCATCTGATCGTTTTGGGGGAAAATAGTTTCTTCTCTCCCGCCGCGGTGGAGAACAGACTGCCCTCCGACGCGTAGCCTACTCACTTGTATATGATCCACAGATCATTGATGGTCAGATCGGGCTGGACGTATTCTTTGCGATAGAACGCAATGAATGGCACCTCGAAGTGCGAATTTCTCATGAATCGCAGAGCTTCAGCGATCTTCGGGACTGCACTGCGGTTCTTCCGTCCTCCGAGCGGTTGGTGTCCGCTGTTCCGATCTCCGGACGATGAGGGGGAGGACGACTCCTGGCTCCCTGACGGTTTCTGTACGGATATGGTGGACTTTTGGAAACATTGTCTGTAGATCCACTCGGCTTCCTCCGCGATTTCGATCTCGTCCGCCGGTGTTACTTTGACGCTTCGCAATTGGAATCTCTCGGGTTCGTCTGTTGCCCGGATCTCTTGATCGCTGGAATTTGAGGTATCTCTAATTTAAGTTTCGCGCCTATGAGGATTATCCAGCCGCTGGCATATCGAAGTTGAGAGCGTCCCCTCACCGATCAGTGAAATGACCGCGTTCCAATTCGATGGGCTCGAATACGTCGAAGATGGATTTTTTCGCCGGGGCTTTCTTTCTTGTGACGTCGCTCTTCACCCTGACTTGGTCTCCTTCTTCCTCATCTTCATAGTCTTCTTCTTCTTCGGACTCCTCGTACTCATCTTCGTAAGCACGAACATCGTCGAAGTCTACGGGGGAAATTGATTAGTGGAAGGGGCTAGTTTATCCGAGGATCGCTCAGATACGCTCGAATGCTGTCAATCGAATCAGGACTATTGATATGGACATACCGAAATCTCCTCCGAAGATATCTTGAGCCTCTTGCAAAGCACTGTCCGAATATTTCACATGTCGCTTCTTTTTTGGCTTGGCGATTGGCTGGCCCTCGTCATCGACGATGAAATCATTAACATCGTCATCAGACGCGGATTCCGATCCGAGGTCTTCCTCCTCCAAGGCCTCGGCGACCGGCTCCGCTTGTCCTTCCTCTCCATCTTCAAACAATTCCTGAGCCAGAGCATCTTTGTCCTTCTCCTTATCCTCTTCTTCGTCATCATCCAGGACCTTCA